TGCTTACACTATTTATCCATTAAATAGCTAAAAAAATGTATAAAATATTTGTAAGTACTTAGCTTATATAAAATTTACATAGGACATATCAACAATGTAATTATCAGACACAGATATTACCTGTCATTCTCACTCTCATCCTTTCTTGCCCACTTTGCAAAAAAAGCTGTGATTTAAAAAAAAAAAATCATAGCTTTGCTAGACCTGATAATTATTTTGTATATAATCATACGAATATAAAAAAGTAGCATTAAAATGTATTTTAACTAATAGTCAAATTTTCTAGCACATTGTTACCATCAAAATTAGCAGCTGGCTTTGTTCTGGTTTCACCTCACTCCAGTCTAAACTAAATGACTAAATGATTTTATAGGTAATGTACTACACATTGTCTTATAAATAACCTGAATATACTGTGGATTATTAAGGCTACTAACCACTCTTGCTAAATGGGGTAAGCACAGAGATGGTGCCAATGATGTTATCTATCCAATAAAGATTAGACACAATAACTAACAAGAAGATATATCCTTAGTTAGTTTGCAACAATTTCGCCAAATGGAAATATTTCGCCAAATCTTCTTTTCTAAATGATTTACCAAATATATGCACCGTGGTATTTGAAATTGGTGGTATTATTACAGTAACACTATTGTATTTTTAGTATGAGATGACTCCTCAATATTAATCACTATCTTTAATAAAGATGACCCTTACTCTGACTTCCTTTAGAAAATACTTCCTTATGAACTATTAATGTTTAACAGCTTCTTGTACATGTCATAATTTCCCATCGTGCTGGCCAAACGAAGGTCTCTTCCTCTAGAAAGAACAGTCGAGTTCTCTTTTGTGTGTGGTTAATGTGTATCCGTATCGTGTTGAACTCTGATACACTCCTCCGGGTAGCCTTGGCATCGGGACTTGAATCTCTGAGTTTGGCTGGGAATGGCTTGGCTACTGATCAACCAGCTCAGGCATGATGAATCCAGCACACCGGACTCTCCCAGCCTTTGTGTTTGATTCTCCGGCTGAACTGGGGTTTGTTTAAGTGTGCAGCGTGGCAGAAGTGAGATGCGTCAGTGCAGGCTGGTGTGTGTGTGTGTGAACTGGAGGCCCTGGAGTCACATGGTTTCTCGTCTCTCCAGTCAGACGTCAGTGTTTGAGCCGCTCTCTCAAACTGGCTGCTGGCAGATGGTGTTTTATTGGAGCACTGAGGACTCAATGTGAGACGGACAGGGAGAAATACACTGGCCTAGCCCTCCATGGAAGCTTTTTGTTTTTTCTGCAATGAATGCAACACACCATTCCCATTAAAATAAATGGATTTGAGTTGTTTTGGCTTTAGTGTGATCATAAGCTCTGATACCATGGCATTGATACTGTAACCAACCAACCAAATAAACTGCCTTAAATGCCTGAGATGTGACCAACATGTTTAGTTCATAAAATCTACTAAAATGTAATTTATTAGTAGTAATTAATTCATAAATTTTCAGTTAATTTGTTTTTTTTTTTATATATAATTATTAAAATGCCCATATTATAATTTAATGAATCACATTTTAATTTAGACATTTTAAATGTAGATTTGCGAAATCTCCCTGTTTTTACTTTTTTTTAATAATAATAATAATATTTCAATTATAGAAGAAAAAATCACAAGGATTCCCATTAAAATAATTGGATTTGAGTTGTTTTGGCTATGGTGTGATCACAAGCTCTGATACCATGGCGTTGAGACCGTAACCAACCAAATAAACTGCCTTAATTAAATGACTGAGATGTAACCAAAATATTTTGCTACTTTTTTTAGTTCATAAAACCTACTAAAATGTAACTTATTAGTAGTAATTATTAAAGTTCATAAATTCAGTTAATACATTTTTCCCTAAAATTAAAATGCCCAAATCAGAATTTAATGATTCATATTTTAATTTGGACGTTTTGAATGTAGATTGGTGAGATCTCCCTGTTTTAACCCTTTTTAATAATAATAATAATAATAATAATAATAATAATGTTAAGTTATTAGAAGAATTACATTTACATTTGGGTAAACAATTGGTGACAGGTTTGATTGTTGGATGAGCTATTCCTGTCAAACAACAGCAGCTTGTTGCCTAATTTGCACAATGCTAATGTCATAATGTTTGGTACCATTTTTTTCTGTGCGTTTCTACTCATAAATTATGCGCAGCCTTAATCATGATTATTGGTAGCTAAACACATGGTCAAATTCGCTAAAATGTATAATTAACATGCTAGGGAAATACACTTTACAAATGACAGCAAATCTGTGGAAGTGGATTCCATGCAGCAATTATTTTGGCCATTTCTCAAATCACTTTTGACTGATGCATTTTTATTTTTAATTTTTTTTAATATGTTCACTTTTTGAGAGATATTTTACATTTCTATATGAATTTCCTCCCACTCTTTGAATTCCCACTCCCACTTTCCAGTAGCATCTAGCAGTGGAGTGCCGATAGAAAAGCTTGTGAAAGTGTTAATCAGTAGAGATAGGAACCAACAACCGAGTGTGTGTTATGTGCAGTCTGAACACGAGATGAGTCATCATCGGCAGGCCAACAGTGCGCTCTATTCTCAGCGGTGTTACAACACCACCACACAATGAGCAGTGTAGGCTTTGCCTACAACTACCCACATCACCCTCTGAAGATGCACGCAGTTTACAGACACGTGTATTTGTTAGCTATTAATTATTGCGTTTTATAGCAGACATGGGGTTCGGCCGCTTTAAGGTACGGTCACACCATTTTTCGAAATTTTGCGGGCGAAAACCAGTCATTCCAGTAGGAATCCATGCAATCTGGAGTTTCGCGTGAGGGCGAAATAATTGCCCACGCAGATTTAGCTCGTGTTCAAGTTGATCGCTCGGATTTGCCACGTTAACCAACAGAAAGCTGCTTGGGTCTGTCTGAGCCATGCTTCATGTGTTGCTACACTGTTGAATACAGACACTGGACCCGGTTTTGCACTCAATTTCACTAATTTTGATAATATTGATCTCTTGGCATAATCATGTGGGATCACAAGTGTTCAAAGTGACGAGGCAAAGCCAGTTTCATTAACGTTTTCATAGTTCTCTCATTACTGGTATGCAGTTGTTGCAGGAATACGTTACTTTAAAGGTGCTCTATGTAACTTTTAGCGGCCTCTAGTGGTGATGTTTCAGATTGCAACGAAATTTTACAAGAGCGCTCGTGCTCGAACTCATAGACAATACCGTCTATTACGCAAATATCTCGGCGAATACTAGACTGATTCGGCGAGCACCGAGCTCGTTGGGACCATCTAGTCGAGCTGAAAAGAACCATATACACTACCGTTCAAAAGTTTGGGCTCAGTGAGAATTTTATTTTTATTTTTTGGAGGAAAGAAATCAATACTTTTATTTATCAAGGAATAATTAATTTGATCGAAAGTGACAGTAAAGACATTTATAATGTTACAAAAGTCTTTTGAACTTCCTATTCATCAAAGAATCCTAAAAAAAACAAAAAACTGTACAACTGACAGACCAACAACTGTTTCAACATTGATAATAATCATAAATGTTTCTTGAGCATCAAATCCTCATATTATACTGATTTGTGAAGGATCATTTGACACTGAAGACACTGACACTGGTGATGCTGAAAATTCAGCTTTGATCACAGGAATAAATTACACTTTACTATATATTCACACAGAAAACAGCTGATTTACACTGGAATAATATTTAATACTATAACTGATTTTTGTTGTATTTTTAATCAAATAAGCGCAGCCATGGTTAGCAGAAGAGAATTCTTTTAAAAGTATTTAAAATCGTACCGACCCCAAACTTTTGAACGGTAGTGTAAGTTCCATAGTTTTTGGTGGTGTTTTCGCGGAGATATTAGCAGAAAACCATCGGGCGCGCTGCAAAATTGCGGACGCCGGTGACGTCACGATCTCAGAAGAAAATCGCTCGTCTCTCTGGAACTCAAAGACCCAGAGAGCTCAAATTCGGGGGTCCCAGGGGAACCCTTGCCCGAACGCTAGAGTGGCGGGCCTCGGGGACGCCCCCTACTGGATCGCCGTTCGCTGGGACCCCCGATTTCGAACGGCTATAACTCGGAGAGCCGGGCGAGTTGGACCTCGGGGGTGGGCTCGTTCGAAAGGCCCCGTCCAGCACTACGAACGATTAGAGTCTTGGGAATATTGATCAAAGATTGACTGAGATATAAGCCGAAAAACGTGCGCCTTTAACCGGACGTAACTCCCTGACCGTCTACAATAGACTGTATATAAGGAGAGAGGCTCGGGAGCGAGCATGCACGTCACATCCGTTGGATTTCGCGGTAAATCCGACCCGGAGACTTCACATAGAAATAGGAATACTGGCCTTCAGAGGTAATGGCAAAACTCGACAAGTGGATCATTTTAATGTGTGATTACAACCCCTTCACACACAGGCAATAAAAAAAGGATTCATTTTAGTAGAAAAGTTACATAGAGCACCTTTAATCCACAATATATATTGATTTTATTTAAAAAGTACACACTTGACACTTATGAGACATTTATGAGACAACTCTTCCCTGCCATTGACAGAATGTTCCAGCTTTCACTGTTATATGGTAGGGGGCGCTATTATGCCCCTTCTGAAAGAGTACAGAATCTCCTTATCAAAAGACAGCGAGCAATAACAGCATTACGCACATTGATGTCTTTAGGGAAAAATTCTAAATGTTGCTTTATTTTTTTATGATACTTTCCCACAATCAAGTGTTGATTTAAAAAAAAAAAAAAAAAGGTATGAAGTTAGAATAAAAGTTTTTTTTTTTTGGCTCTTGTTCTTTCTTTTGATGTATTGCATGTTTAGATATTCATACAACAAAAAAGCTCTGGGGGCCATGAATTATAATAAATGATCAAAAACGCTGGTGGGGAAAGCGTTAAAGAGAGAATGTCATGGCTTGTGTGATTAATGCTCTGATTTGTGTTTTTAATAGTAGAGGGTCTGCCTCAGGTCTTCTATTTTGGGCCCTGTGGGAAATACAACGCCATGGTCCTGGAGCTGCTCGGCCCCAGTCTTGAGGATCTCTTTGACCTGTGTGACCGAACATTCTCCCTCAAGACCGTCCTGATGATCGCCATTCAGCTGGTGAGTGTCCAGGCAGTGTGTCACCTGGGTGAGAAGAAGTGCATGCACAAGAGTCCTTCTGATGCGTTGCAGTGTAAGTGTGTAATTTGCATCCTTTGCTCAATTCCCCAGATTTCCCGCATGGAATATGTGCACTCTAAAAACCTCATCTATAGGGACGTGAAGCCAGAGAACTTTCTCATCGGTCGGCAAGGAAACAAGAAGGAGCACATCATTCACATCATAGACTTTGGCCTTGCGAAAGAATACATTGACCCAGAAACCAAAAAACACATTCCTTACCGGGAGCACAAGAGCCTTACGGGCACCGCTCGATACATGTCTATTAATACACACTTAGGGAAAGGTAAGTGTTGGATACCTCCCTAGTCTGATCCTGAAATGGACTTAACATTAAATTTAGCATGTCACTATCTCCACGCTTTGTGTGGCGTCTTGATTGGCTGTTTAATAGGGTTGGGAATCATGAACCAGTTCTTTTAAAGAGCATGTTTGGTTCTTTTGTGGTTGCATTGAATCTATAGCGCGTCAGTCATGATGCTGAGTTGTGTGTGCCGTCTAAACTGAATGTGATGATTAAGAGAAAATGGGCGGCCCAAGATAATAGTGAAAAAAAAAAAAATCACTTTATAACATTGGTTATGCTGTCCTCAGTTTGATGAAATTTAGGGTCATAAGTCTTAAATGCCTAAAAGGATTAATTATTTTAAGAGGTCTTATATTTGGGCATGGAAATACAGGAATCGAAATACAACCTAATATGATTGATTAAATCATTGAAATCATGGTCACACTTTACAATAAGGTTCATTAGTTAACATTAGTTAATGTATTAACTAGCATGAAGTAACAATGAGCAATACATTTCAAATACAGCTGTTCTTTGTTTGTTCTTGTTAACATGTTCACAGTGCATTAACTAATTTTAACAAATACAACGTATTAGTAAATGTTGAAATTAATATTAACTAAGATTAATAAATGCTTTTAAGAAGTATTGTTCATTCTTAGTTTAACTAAGGTAGTTAATTAATTAACCTTATTGTAAAGTATTACTGAAATCATTTGAAGTTTAATAATTAAATATGAGCACTTCCACATCCTGAAATGTATTTTATTTGCCCTCACTCCACATCAAGTCCTTTAAATGTAATGGTATTCAGAACGGGGATGAAAAATATAAGAATGTAATAGGGGTTAAACAGACATTTATTTTCGGCTCACAAATCCGTGTGTGTAAAATATTCTATAATATAATGCATTACAGAAGTTGCTTTGGAATAGAAGTAGCAGTAGATTTCAGATGATAAAAGAAATCTAATTATATTGTGGAAAATATGGCACTCACCAAATCACAAGCCATTACTTTCAAAATAAAAAAAAACAGGATATGTTACTGTTATGTTGTAAAATGTAAATGATTTAAAATGCTTAATCAAAAAAAAAAAAATCCATCATTTACTCGCCCTCATGTCATTATAATAAGACTTTTGTTTATCTTCGAAACACAAATCAAGATGTTTTTAATGTAACCAGAGAGATTTGACTTAAACTGGATGAACAAAAATTAATTGTTCTATAGATGAATGTAAGTCTTCAGTTTTGTTTTGGTAAATAATAAAAGTTATGGCAATCAAATCGGAACCAGAATTGTTAAATTCCTTATGATTCCCAACTCTACTGTTCAACCAACTTAGTTATTTTGTACATAATTGAATCTTTTTTTTTTTTTTTTTGCAGAGCAAAGTCGGAGGGATGACCTTGAGGCCTTGGGTCACATGTTCATGTATTTCCTCCGGGGTAGTCTCCCCTGGCAGGGACTTAAAGTATGTTGAACCAGCCTGTTAACGCCATTAACAATTGTTACTAATTTGTTCTGGAAAATGAGCTGTTGTTTTGTGCTTTGCAGGCTGACACACTAAAAGAACGCTACCAGAAGATTGGGGACACAAAGCGAAACACTCCCATTGAAGTTCTCTGTGAGAACTTTCCCGGTGAGACCCCCTTAAACGACATCACGTGCTTCACTTGGAGCAGCTAATCTTAAAGTCAACATGGAATTAAAATCGACCCCATTTTCTTTCTTAATGCACGTTCCTGGTCTTGTGCACAATTCATAAATGCACATTATTCCAAAGGAAATATAATGTTTGTCTTTTGTAATCTTTCATCAAAATGTAACAACTCTTTCGACTGACGTGGACCTTACAGAAGTAAAATGGGTTGTTCAAAGTTGTTTTGTTGATTTTAAAGTGCCCTGTTATGCTTTTTTAAAGGTTGCTTTTTTAATGGGTTGTTTTGAAGGTCTCCTTCAAAAGGTTTTCATGTATCCAAGGTAAAAAAACACTTACATTTTCTCATAATGTACATTGCAGCATCAGCCCAGTCTGTTGTGATTGGTCTGGTCTGATTGGTCAGATGGTCAGTCTGTTGTGATTGGTCTGGTCTGATTGGTCAGATGGCCCAGTCTGTTGTAATTGGTCTGGTCTGATTGGTCAGATGGTCAGTCTGTTGTGATTGGTCTGGTCTGATTGGTCAGATGGCCCAGTCTGTTGTAATTGGTCTGGTCTGATTGGTCAGATGGTCAGTCTGTTGTGATTGGTCTACTCTGCTCTGATTGGTCAGATGGTCAGTCTGTTGTGATTGGTCTACTCTGATTGGTCAGATGGCCCAGTCTGTTGTAATTGGTCTGGTCTGATTGGTCAGATGGTCAGTCTGTTGTGATTGGTCTACTCTGATTGGTCAGATGGCCCAGTCTGTTGTGATTGGTCTGGTCTGATTGGTCAGATGGTCAGTCTGTTGTGATTGGTCTGGTCTGATTGGTCAGATGGCCCAGTCTGTTGTGATTGGTCTGGTCTGATTGGTCAGATGGTCAGTCTGTTGTGATTGGTCTGGTCTGATTGGTCAGATGGCCCGGTCTGGTCTGATTGGTCAGATGGTCAGTCTGTTGTAATTGGTCTGGTCTGATTGGTCAGATGGTCAGTCTGTTGTGATTGGTCTACTCTGCTCTGATTGGTCAGATGGCCCAGTCTGGGCTGCGTTCAGCGCCGACAAAACGTTGCACAACGTTTTTTAAACTGAAACAGTGATGCGTTGAACGCACTGTTCTGATGATGCAAGAGTTGCAACTATGGCAGCTGAGAAAGGCCATTCTTTGTGTTCTTTGTGAAGAATTTTCGGAGCCTGATGAAGTCGGTATAAATATGTGTTTAATACTACAAAATATGCCCGATGTTACCGTTACTGCACTTGCCGCCCAGAACACAAGAGAACATCCCAGTCGAGTGAAGGGGTTTGTGGAAACTGAAATGGAAGCACATCTTATCTAATTCAGACTAAAGCACATCTATTTATCCTCACATACTGACTTTATTTGTAGGTCATACTGTTTTAATACCCTGTATTTTTTTTCTCATTTTTAGGAAAAGCACTTAATTACCCTTGTTTATTTCTATACCAAATGTCATACACTTGCATTGAAGCTAAAAATATAAACAACTACATCATTATGTTGATATCCTATATTTTTACAATAAAACTTACGACAAACATGTCTTCTAATATCCTCAGTTGTTGCGTATACCGAGCTGCATCGAACACATTTGTAAATGACTTTCCTTGAACCCATTGTGCGCGTTCACTTTAATACAGCGTGCTTTATATGCATGTTGCTGCTGATTGGACTGCAGTTCTGACACACCCACCAAACAAGAGAAAACGCATCTCAAACCCCGTTGCACGCCGTTTCCAGGAAACATGACGCTCAACCCGGAAACCGTAGCAAAACGTTGCGCACCGTTTTGAACTTGAACGTGCCCCTGTTGTGATTGGTCTACTCTGCTCTGATTGGTCAGATGGCCCAGTCTTTTGTGATTGGTCTACTCTGCTCTGATTGGTCAGATGGCCCAGTCTGTTGTGATTGGTCTACTCTGCTCTGATTGGTCAGATGGCCCAGTCTGTTGTGATTGGTCTACTCTGCTCTGATTGGTCAGATGGTCCAGTCTGTTGTGATTGGTCTACTCTGCTCTGATTGGTCAGATGGCCCAGTCTGTTGTTATCGGCCTACTCTGCTCTGATTGGTCAGATGGCCCAGTCTGTTGTGATTGGTCTACTCTGCTCTGATTGGTCAGATGGTCAGTCTGTTGTGATTGGTCTACTCTGCTCTGATTGGTCAGATGGCCCAATCTGTTGTTATTGGCCTACTCTGCTCTGATTGGTCAGATGGTCAGTCTGTTGTGATTGGTCTACTCTGCTCTGATTGGTCAGATGACCCAGTCTGTTGTGATTGGTCTGCTCTGATTGGTCAGATGGCCCAGTTTGTTGTTATCTGCCTACTCTGCTCTGATTGGTCAGATGGCCCAGTCTGTTGCGATTGGTGTACTCTGCTCTGATTGGTCAGATGGCCCAGTCTGTTGTGATTGGTCTGCTCTGATTGGTCAGATGGCCCAGTTTGTTATCTGCCTACTCTGCTCTGATTGGTCAGATGGCCCAGTCTGTTGCGATTGGTCTACTCTGCTCTGATTGGTCAGATGGCCTAGTCTGTTGTGATTGGTCTACCGCTTGCAGTGTGTGTTGGAAATTAAACACCCATTACTATATCCAAAGTTCAGCTGCGGATCTTCCTCATCACGTGATACACAGTGATACGAACAGTAACGATGGTGCCGGTTTTACCGTATCAATTCCAACACGAGTCCTAATCCTTCGTAAGTGCGTGGCAAGTGGATTGGCTGTGGCAGTGCAGAAAACAGCGTCGTCTTGACATGTTGACAACACAAACCAAACTCTTCCAGTCTCCGCTACAACTACTGTTTGAGGGCGGGTCAAAGTAGATGTTGTTCTCGGGCAGCCAATGAAGACCATAGACTGGCATTATGCAAATTTGTTACAAATCTACGTAGGTTTGAATTACTGATTACTCATTTCAGCAATTCAGAATCGATTCTTTCTTTTGGGAGACAATAACTCCATTCATCACATATCTTTGAAACTTTGTAGACCTTTTACATTCACAAACAGCTAGATTGCACATTGCATGAAATCTAAAAAAAGCATAATCGGGGCACTTTAAGACCAGACTTGCCTTATCTCTTATTTATAGTGATTATTGTCAATGTAACTGTCCTCATTTGTGCTTTCAGAGGAGATGGCCACCTATCTGCGCTATGTCCGGCGGTTGGATTTCTTTGAGAAGCCAGATTACGAATACTTGCGGACCTTGTTTACGGAGTTGTTTGAACGAAAAGGATATACCTTCGATTACTCTTACGACTGGGTTGGCAGACAGATTGTGAGTCAATATGTCGTCTTTATAATGAATTTCTGCATTCCACTCATGCTAGCTCTTTTCCAGCTCCTCCCTACATGGGTAGCTATTTTCTAAGGCATTATCACACCAAACAATTTGCCTGATTTGAAACATCTTTGCAAACCATATAGTAGTGTTGTCAAAATTACCGACTTCGGTACCAAGCACCTCTGATTGGCCATTGTACTCACGTGCTCAACATATATGTCTGTGATTGGCTACAATGATCAACGCTTCAAAAACATGTCTTCACCGAGCGCTTACACAGATACACACAGAAGCGTTTGAAAGCAGGAGTCAATCAACGGATCCCTAGTAGATCCACTGATAGATGCCACTTTCAAACGCTCCTGTGTTTATCTGTGAAGACAACATGTTTTTGAAGCGTTGATCATTGCAGCCAATCACAGACATATGAGCGCGTGAAAGCAATCGTCACATTTTAAAAATTTCAGTACTGACTTGGTAACGAAGTCGGTACTTTTTACAACACTACCTCATAGTGCCTTCAATTGACTGTGATGTTAGCATGTTGCTAAGCTAATAATGCAATGCTGTTAGCATAAAATTACATGACCGTTTTTTTATCAGTATTTTTTCAGCATTGAAGTTATGTACAGTCATAAGTAAAACCTAGCACAGTTTACTCCTCCCTGGAACGTCGCTCCCTATATTCACTGGGACACAGCTAGTTCATCTTTGGCCTTGAAACTGATGTTCTGTGTGTTTTGGCGTGTTTTCTCAGCCCACACCGGTGGGGTCGGTCCACGTGGACTCAGGGGCGTCTGCCGTCACGCGTGAGAGCCACGCACACAGAGACAGACCCTCCCAGCACCAGCCCTTAAGGAATCAGGTAATCTTCCACTGTTCATTGAGGAAACTTAAGATTGGCAAAACGTATCTTTATTACAGAAAGAGAAAATGTACTATGTTCAAGGTTTAGTCCATTTAGAAGGGGTGGATAATATTTCCCCTGAACCAAATTAAGTCTGGGTCATATTTCACCTCAAACTTATTTAGCTTATTTTGGATTGTGATATTTAGTTTGACAGTTAAATTACCCCCACATTCTCATGGCCGTATTGCAAATAAAGACGCAATACCGTTCAAGGTTTGAATGGAAAGTAATGCTTTTATTCAGACACATTCAATTGTTCAAAAGTAACAGTAAACAATTTTACATCATTACAAAAAAAAATCCATTTTAAATGTAAGGCTGTTCTTTTGAACTTTCTTATCAACCGTGATAATGGGAAATGATTTTTGAGCATTAGAAAGTCACACAAACACATGCACACTTTTGTTCCATTATATTACTGACATATTTTCTATGGCCTAACCCAACCCCTTCCCCTAAACCTTCCCATCAAAGACACGTGCAAAACACTAGATTTAAATAAAAACATGTTTTGGCCAATTCATAAAGCCTTTTAACTAGAGAACCAGTCAAATGTCCTTACTAGTCGGTTGTCATAAGTATCCAAACTTGTACACACACACTACAATTTTTATATTGTAATCCAAGTATAATGAGAATCATAGAAATTACCCAAAAATATCTATCCAGCATTACCACCACCACCACCACCACCAAAAAAAAAAAATCATAGTAATGACAATTTGGGGGAGGAAAGGGTGCTTGCTTGACAGACATGTCCCAATGCAAACAAAAAATATTTGGTTTTGGAGTGAAATAATGGCCTAGACATGTTGAGATTTCATGAGATTTTCGAGGGTTTCTGCAGCAACACATGAAGCTTTAAACCAAATCATTGACCCGTCCACTCGGCAGCTGGCTGATACAGCATGCACTGCTTTAGCATATCATGGCTCAGAGTGCATGCTGGGAATTTGCTAAAGAATATTTTTATATCGATTAATTTGCCAGTTTCTGTAAATTGCTTATTGTGCCTCTCTAACATCTGCAAGAGCAAATCAGCTTTGCACATCTCACAAACTTGCCCTGTGTCAAACTCATCTAGCTGAAGCAAACATTTAATTTTGGCTCATATTTGAGGTGCACTCAAATTAGTGCTTACAGTTCAAGGTTGAAAGATTGAAGTCATCCAACAATGATACTTTTCCTATTTGTTCCCTGAAAGTAAAAGTAAAGAGTGTTGTTCGTATGGTTTTGCAGTTACAGGTTGAGGGCGAGTTAATGAATTGATGACTTGTTTTCATTTTTGCCAGAACTCACGTCATATACACTTACCTAAAGGATTATTAGGAACACCATACTAATACTGTGTTTGACCCCATTTCGCCTTCAGAACTGCCTTAATTCTACGTGGCATTGATTCAACAAGATGCTGAAAGCATTCTTTAGAAATGTTGGCCCATATTGATAGGATAGCATCTTGCAGTTGATGGAGATTTGTGGGATGCACATCCAGGGCACGAAGCTCTCGTTCCACCACATCCCAAAGATGCTCTATTGGGATGAGATCTGGTGACTGTGGGGGCCATTTTAGTACAGTGAACTCATTGTCATGTTCAAGAAACCAATTTGAAATGATTCGAGCTTTGTGACATGGTGCATTATCCTGCTGGAAGTAGCCATCAGAGGATGGGTACATGGTGGCCATAAAGGGATGGACATGGTCAGAAACAATGCTCAGGTAGGCCGTGGCATTTAAACGATGCCCAATTGGCACTAAGGGGCCTAAAGTGTGCCAAGAAAACATCCCCCACACCATTACACCACCACCACCAGCCTGCACAGTGGTAACAAGGCATGATGGATCCATGTTCTCATTCCGTTTACGCCAAATTCTGACTCTAACATCTGAATGTCTCAACAGAAATCGAGTCTCTTCAGACCAGGCAACATTTTTCCAGTCTTCAACTGTCCAATTTTGGTGAGCTCTTGCAAATTGTAGCCTCTTTTTCCTATTTGTAGTGGAGATGAGTGGTACCCGGTGGGGTCTTCTGCTGTTGTAGCCCATCCGCCTCAAGGTTGTGTGTGTTGTGGCTTCACAAATGCTTTGCTGCATACCTCGGTTGTGACGAGTGGTTATTTCAGTCAAAGTTGCTCTATCAGCTTGAATCAGTCGGCCCATTCTCCTCTGACCTCTAGCATCAACAAGGCATTTTCGCCCACAGGACTGCCGCATACTGTATGTTTTTCCCTTTTCACACCATTCTTTGTAAACTCTAGAAATGGTTGTGTGTGAAAATCCCAATGACTAAGCAGATTTTGAAATACTCAGACCAGCCCGTCTGGCACCAACAACCATGCCACGCTCAAAATTGCTTAAATCACCTTTCTTTCCCATTCTGACATTCAGTTTGGAGTTCAGGAGATTGTCTTGACCAGGACCACACCCCTAAATGCATTGGAGCAACTGCCATGTGATTGGTTGATTTGATAATTGCATTAATGAGAAATTGAACAGGTGTTCCTAATAATCCTTTAGGTGAGTGTATTTAAGATCTTTCTAGTGATGTGAGTTCACAGTTGGTCTTTATTCTTATGGTTCTTGTGATTGAAGAGGAGTGCAGATATATTTAGAAATGCTTGGCTGAAAGACACAAGCGCCCTGTAAACTCGTCCTCGTCATCAGTTTAATGGAGGTTCTGGTGTTTAACGAGTCAATTTTCATTTCATTTCTTTGTTAAATTTAAACAATGCATTCCTATTGACTTGCCAATAAGATGTAGGTTACAATGGGGCTAAAGGCGCATTTGATTATATTCATTATATTCAGTTTATTAAACTCGCCGTTGCACTTTTCTAAACAGAAATTTGTCTGATTCTTGACGCGATCGAGTTTAGCAACGCAAAGCTTATTCTGCGCTAATCTAATCTTGTTTTTAAAAATGTTATAGTATTTAGCAAATGATAATCAATAAAATTAATGAATATATTTTCTGACAAAGGTCTTGTTAATCATTTTTAGTTTTGTAATTAACTCAACACAATCATTAAATCAATTTTACTATAAATAATTTATAAACGTATGGTATTCGGAGTAAAAAGACACGATAATTAACATGATAAACTTTTCCATCCGTCTGTTGGCACGACATGGTTAGTGTCAGATGGTCAATATCGTTTATGAAGTTGGGTGTCCACCTTCGAGATAATCATATTTATAATGAAACCAGAATTATAATTTATTTATAAAATATCATGTTTATTGTTGTAAAGCTATTTTAAATTATTATTGCATCTCCCTCAAATCTTTCAGAAACTTTCATTTCGTTCATTTCATCAAACTTTGCTGAAGTGATTGTTTTGAACAAGTATTAACTTGAATATTATGCAAAACGTACAACTTTAGCTGAAGTATTTTTTATCAATACTGAGCGTCTTTTGCTTTGCCCCACGCCATGTGGCGTAAAGGCCCCTCTCGCCGCCTCATAAATTATGATTTCTAATCAAAGCAAACCACAACATGTTTCTCCCTCAATGATCAATAAAACATAAATATATTTTCTGCAATATCATATCAATACAAGCTGGGTGACTTGTGTTGCTAAATGGCATGCAGTTCATTTTAAAATATACTGTATGGTGGAGAAAATGTTGTATTTGCGGTTCTACATTTCTAATTTTGCCATGTGCAATAACAGAATAGTGTTGTCTCTGAGGTATTCGTGGTAAATCAAGAGATTAAAACAATAAGACTAGCCGCGTTGAGCTAAATAACAATGATTCGTTTTCGGTCAATAAAAGTATCCAACCAATTCCTCACCTGTCTAATAAAATGCATAGTGTATTAAAGCGTCTTTAGCGTTTCCATGATTGCTATGGATGTAAAACTGGAAATCGAAGGTAGCGCGGATATGACGTCATTGACAGGTGACGCAATGACACGCAATCCCAAATATTTGGGATTATGTAAGTACACAAGTCAACACAAATATATAACATTGTTTCAGTGTTTTTTTAGTTATTTTAATCCAAAAATCTTACATATTGTGCCTTTAACCCTGTTGTACACTGCAGTTTTGGTCATGTGTCCAGAAGCAGTGTTCCAGTTGGACATAGGACTGTTGATTAATTGATATTAATATATATATATATATATATTTCTTTAAATATCTCATTTCAATCCAGGGCACAATAAATCAGGATTTTTCTATTTTATTTATTTATTTTATAACTCTAACTAATCTCCACTTTAACTGAATGTAACTGAAAACGAAATTAATTTAGATCCTACCAATAAATTAAGAAATGCACCAGGGGTTTGTACTGAAGCTGTATAAACTGCACATCACAATTTCAGAAATTGAATTTGGATTTTTGTTTGTCCTTGTGTTGACTCTGTCTCTGTCAATGTCTTGTCTAGTCAAATGGCAGAATATGCCCCATCAGTTTGAATTTGATGTAGCTGTAGATAGTTTGATCTTATGCTGTCAGATATTGCTATCTGATCTCCGTGTTGGATGCCTGATTCGCTACATGTAGTCTCCACTTGGCATTCGGCAGCTTGGAGAACGTTTTTCCCTTCAGTTTCTTCTGTTTTAATGTCTCTGTGTTTATTTTGTGGTGTTTTGCTTCTTGGTTTGATTGGACGATTGCGTCCGCAGTCACTAATGCCATTTCCTGGCTTTGACTGGCTCTTTTTGTTTCTTTGTTGATTTTCCTTTCCTTCATTGTGCTGCATGCCACCTGGCCTCACTCGCCCGCTCTCGCTCACTCACCACACCTCCTCCTGTCCCTGTCCTGCGCCTCCTCCACCCGCGCAGACGGCCATCTCCGACCGCAGAGGAGCATGGGAGGTGCAGCCCAACCGGCAGACAAACTCGTCCTACCTGACCTCTCACCTGGCAGCGGACAGGCACGGGGGCTCAGTGCAGGTACAGCTTCACCCCTCGCTATGTGCGCTCATGTCTGCAGCAGCACCTGCTCTCACACCTGACTACAACAGTTCCTCTATGGGTTACCCTCTTTGGCTGGTCTTGCACTTATTAAAACAACACTGGCTATGTTTACATGCAACCAAATAATCCGTTACTAGCAATCGGATTGAAAAGCCTTTATGTAAACGCCTTAATCGATCCGAATGAAGTTTCGATCATTCCTTTTCTAATCCGATCGAGAGGACATGTATAAACACGCACATTAACCCCAACACACGTTCATGTAAACACTACGTTCAGATTCATCAATTGGAAAGTTGTGCATGTAAACATAGCCAGTGTAGAAATGCTGCGTTTCATTCAAAGTTGGACATTCCTCCTCTCTCTGAATTCCAAACGCGTAATGTTCCAAAGTCCAAGCGTCATCATCACGTGGCATTCTATTGGAATGTTCCAAATGTGGTGTTTTCTTGTTCTATCACTTTTGCAAGTAGGAGGATGTCAATTCCAACTTTCTGAATTGAATTAAACGCAGCATAAGATGTGACGCAGACTATCAGGGAAATATGTTGTTACCTCTGTTGTATTACTTTGGTACAGCTATTATTAGGAAATGCTATTGCCGACTATCTCTATGCAATTTGTCACAATAGAGTGTGGGTTCCGGAAGTAAAAACTCCATTCATTTTCTCCATGGGAAATTGATTTTTTTTATGATAACTTGTAAACCTTTAAAGAAGACAACCATACTATGAGCTACAAGGTTGTAAATCAATGCTGTTTGAAGCCGTCAGCCCACATTATTCTTATTTTTTTTAAATTATCACCGATAACTACATAACCGATGATGCTGTACAGAAAATTCCACCAATCAGAGAAACAAGCAAAATGCACCAAAAGAGCTCTTTAGCTCTGGATCATTTCCATGAAGCACTGCAAATGATCCAATCGAGTCGACCTCCCTGCACTTTCCAAATACATAAGCACATGCATATTTTGCATTGGACTTAAAATATATATGTATTGTATATTTATATATAGATAGTAGGGGTGTAACGATACACGTATTCGTATTGAACCGTTCGGTAAGAGGCACACATTTTTAAACCGAACGGTTCGTTGGACCATTTTTCCTGCCGACCAAAATTTCGTTATTTCAAATGTAGGCGCGTCGCGCGTGGGCAAGCACACTCATAATGAGGAGATGCTGGCGTGACCACAACATTGCCCAACATCAAATGGCAAATGTAAGCGGAACGAAACCACTCGTTATTGTGTGTTTGACGGACCGTTTATCAGTTTGGACCAAAGCAGCGCGAGCCGATCTTGATCATCAGCACTGTCACTACACAGCCAAATCCAGTAAAGAAAACATTTGAGTTCGCCACTGAAGTAATAACATCGCTGCGAGATCTAGTGAGAAACATTCACATTTCTCCGTTATTAACGGATCAAACAGCGCTGAAACCAGGAAGAAACATTGTGCCATGAATGAACTATCCAGTGTCCACAGATCAGCAACATTCACCATGGGTTTACTGTAGTAACACTACTAACTGTAACCATGGATGTTTGGCAGGAATAGTCGGCTATAATGCTTTCAAGTAACATCACGTCGGTTTTATTTTGACATTATGAATACAGTTCCTGCCCTCAAATGTTAATCTGAACTAAAATAAACCTTTGTTTATAACTACTACAATATTACATTTCATTTTGTCCAAGGAGCTGTTTTGTTTTATATGCTCCTAAGAAAAGTCAAGTATAGCTCCATCATTGCTCAAAGTAAAAAAACATCATACTTTATGAAGTTAGTTTTAATAAAATGTAATTAAAAAAAATTAAATCAAGGAAATTTCTCTGGCATTTCTTTCTTTTTGCTGTATCAAAAACGTACCAAACCGTGACACAAGTGTATCGTATCGAACCGAACCGTGAATTTTGTGAACCGTTACACACCTAATAGAGATAGATATAGATATAGTTATAGTTTAGGGTCCAATTCTCACTATTAACTATTACTTTTGCCTCAAACTCATAGTTACTGATTGTTAATAGTTAGTAAGGTAGTTAAGTTTAGGATTAAGGGATGTAGAATATGACATTAATATGCGCTTTATAATTAATTCATTTTATACTAATAAACAGCCAATATCCTAGTAATACGCATCCTAATAAACAACTAGTTAATAGTCAGAATTGGACCCTAAACTAAAGTCTAACCACATTTTTAAGTGAGTAGTTTTATATTTCTCCATCACTTTTAATTCGATTTTGCTGTTAGCGATGCTTCATGTGATTTTCTCTCACTAAAGCCGTTAAGTCTTGTGCAGTCTTGTATTTTTGTCTTATTTTCAGATACTTTTTTGCTTCAAATCAAATTTTGAGGTGTTCTGATTCACGTTGTAGCTCTTTGGCTTGGTTCATGGCTTATAAGGCTTTAACAAAGATTTATTTTTAAAATCCCTATGGGAGGAATGATTGGAAAAGATATTTCCGGAACCAACGCTCCTGAAAAAGTAGCCGGACACCAATGGACTCTATTCAATGCATCTTTATGATTGAAACCGCAACAAATGCGCGGATTCACCATCGTGCGCTGCTTTCTTCACTTTTATACAGTAGAGGCCTCAGAACACTCTTTGAGCTTATTTTGATGGCGTCTTCATTCATTGTATTGTAGGAAATTATATAAAAATATATTGATGACAAAATATCAAAGCAAGTGGTGTTACATATAAGTGATGTAAGTGTACAAATATGTTTTGGGGCCACTGTGTTATTATTACTGTACATTCGTGGATCTGGTCAATTCTAAATGATAGCATGAATATCATAATCTGGCTACTTGAGTACATTTTTATTTGATTGACTGCTGATTGCAAAGTAATTTAAGCAGCATTTAAATATTCCAAGTTAAACTCAATTGACAGTATCTGTCGATTTGGGGGTAAAAAAACCGTCTTTCGCTGTAAAAACACGAGGAAATTATTTACTTGTGAGGAAAACGCACAGCATTACTCTAATGGCCCTATTGATTTTTTCCTTTGTTAAATGCGTTACTGTAAAAATGTATTTACATGTATCTACTATTCTATCTGTATATCTTATAATCTATTATAATCAATAGGTTATATATCTATTGTTATATCTATCTATGTTGTATTTAACCAGGAATATTTGATCAGTTCTCCCATAAGTGAAGTAGTAAATGATTTTCCTCAATTGCTACGTACGAGTAGTTGCACAGATGTAGTCTGAACTGTGTAATTAGAATAACATTATTACACTGAGGCCACAGGATAATTAGATCTTTCTCTTCTAACACCACAGGTGGTGAGCTCGACTAATGGTGAACTGAATGCTGACGACCCGCTGGCGGCCCACTCGAACGCACCAATCACAGCGCAGGCAGAGGTGGAGGTGGTGGATGAGGCCAAGTATGTGCACATGGCTTCTCACAGGTTTCTGTTCTTTGCCTTGTGTCTGATTGACACTAACTGTGTCCTTTAGCACATGATTTCCCCCTTGCCCTCACTGGTCCGTTCCCATCTCTCCCCTGTAGTGCTCTGTGTACCGAAGGTGTGTAAGGGAACGTTATATTGGGTACAATCATCCATTTTTAAATCTTTTTTTTATTTATCTTTTATTAGTACTTTTCAGTTTTGAATTAAATGTGTAGCATGCACCACCGGTCAAAAGTTTGGCATTTATTTTGCATGTTATTGAAAAAAGTCTCTTCTGCTTACCAAGGCTGCATTTATTTGATCAAAAAATACAGTACAAACAGTAATATTGTGATATTATTATTATTATTACAATTTAAAAGAACTGTTTTCTATTTATCTATAAAAAATTATAAATATTTGACACTTATTGGCACCAATTATTAGTTTTTGCTGCTTAATATTATTATTTTTTGTATACGACAATACTTTCATGATTCTTTGATAAATATAAAGTTCAAAAGAACAGCATTTATTTGAAATGGAAACATTTTGTAACAATATAATTGTCTTTACTGTCACTTTTGATCAATTAATGCATTCTGAATAAGTTTTTTATATATATATTTCTTACCCCAAACTTTTTAATACAGTGTCGATCACGTTTTCCCCCCAAATTATTTCAACATTGATAATAATGATAAATGTTTCTTGAGCAGCAAATCAGCATATTAGAATGATTTCTGAAGGATCATGTGACACTGTAGACAAAATCCAGCTTTGATCACAGGAATAAATTACATTTTCAAATATAAACAGTTATTTAGATTTCAATATATGTTTTTACTGTATTTTTAATGAATACATAAAAATGTAGCATTCGTAAGCAGAAGAGACTTCTTTCTAAAACATAATAAAAAATAAATAAAAAATCCAAACTATTGACCGGTAGTGTATATTTTTAACATCAGTGCTTTTCTAGACTCTTAGAAATTGCCCAAAATTGAATTTTATGCATTTCCATAAGAGTGGAAAAGGCAGTGTCCATAATAACTAGTGCGATTACACTCTTTAGTTTCATTTTCTTCTAAAGCACCTGATGTGCATTTGTGTTTGTCATATAAAACACTTATTCTCGTAGTTCTTTGATATCTTAAAGCCCTCTGTCTTTGATTTATTGATGCAAAAGCTTGAAAGTGGCGTAGACAGCAGCAGCGTTTATCAATTACCAGGACGGCACAAACACACAAGGTCGTCATGGTTATTATTACACAGTACTAATGTCACCGGAGGTCTTTCTTCTAGAGACCTCTCTGATCTCTTTCTCTTCTACATTTCCTTGTTTTCTTGAATATAGAAACCTCCTTTGTCATCGTTACGTATCATCATTTAAAGATTGAGCCTGTAATGGTAAAACACTGCCACTTGAACCAAAGCTTGTGCCTCAACGATGTTACATCACATTAAATATAACCTTAATATAAAAAGGAGAATCGTCAACCACGATTCACACAATTGTCCGATGAGAAGAACTTCACACTACTTGGCTTATGGCTAAATGTGTCTGGATACCAGATCATGCATTGTTTAGCATATAAGTAGAGGAGGAAAGGAGACCGTATGGTCTTTTGACGCTCATTCTTTTTATTTATAACGGTGGATGCTTTAAATTTGTTAAACCTTACAACTTTTCCTCTGTAAGAATAGGTACAACAGTTCTTGTTCCTTTTTCGGTTCCAACACAAACGTTAAAATCATTTTAATGAGATGGAAAAATTGGCTTTTGGAGATTCAGTTAGTTATATAGTATTACATCTATAAAAAAATGGTGTTACCATTGGTTGTTACAATTCATGTCACTTGTCACTCCTATAAGCTTTAAAATCTTAAAAGTTTGTAGTCAGAAGTGAGAACACTTTCCCCCTCACCTCGTCTAATCTCTCTATATATAACTGTTGTGATGGATAGATTATCATTACTGAGAGTTTAAAATTAAAAAATGGTGTTATAAACGTATAGCTTTGGTTTAAAGGATTAGTTCACTTTAAAAAAAACTTTTGCTGATAATTTACTCACCCCCATGTCATCCAAGATGTCCATGTCTTTCTTTCTTCAGTCGAAAAGAAATTAAGGTTTTTGATGAAAACATTCCAGGATTTTTCTCCATATAATGCACTTTGCTGGGCACCAAACGGTTCAAGGTCCAAAAGACAGTTTCAGTGCAAACTGTTCAACGGGCTTTAAACGACACCAGACGATGAATAAGGGTCTTATCAAGCGAAACGATCGCTCATTTCAAAAATAAATAACAAAGTTTAAGTTTAATAATGTCAAATGCTCGCCTTGCTCTGTTCTGTGATGCACGTTCGTGACTCTCCTGTTCGAACTCGTTCATCAAAATGAACAAATCTTTTTTCGAGTCATTTGGTTCATTTAACGACCGAAATGAATGAATTGACTCGGAAAAAGATTCGTTCATTTTGATGAACGAGTTCGAACAGGAGAGTCACACAGAACAGAGCAAGGCGAGCATTTGAGCTTATAAAACTTAAACTTTGCTATTTATTTTTGAAATGAGCTTGATAAGACCCTTATTCATCGTCTGGTGTCGTTTAAAGCCCTTTGAACAGTTTGCAGTTTGCACTGAAACGGTCTTTTGGACCTTGGACCGTTTGGTGCCCAGCAAAGTGCATTATATGGAGAAAAATCCTGGAATGTTTTCATCAAAAACCTTAATTTCTTTTCGACTGAAGAAAGAAAGACATGGACATCTTGGATGACATGGGGGTGAGTAAATTATCAGCAAAAGTTTTTTTAAAAGTGAACTAATCCTTTAAGATTGGAGGTGCTGCGTTCGAAGCTGTAAAACGGTCCAAACCTGTTGAATACTGCATTAATGGGTGAATGTCCAGGTCGTAAAATACGAAATATGAATTTATATTTTGCCTATTTAATTACAATTAAACCTATTGCTTAATAAATTGTTTATGTAAGTAGATACATGTATACGTGTATATATATATACCCCATTGACTTCCATAGCATTTGTTTTTCCTACTATGGAAGTCAATGGGGTCCAAAAACTTGTTTGGTTACCAGCATTCTTCAAAATATCTTCCTTTGTGTTCAGCAGAAGAAACAAACTCATACAGGTTTGGAACAACTTGAGGGCGAGTAAATGATGACAATTTTCATTTTGAAGTGAAATATTATTTTAATATGTGGCCTCGTTTAGGAGATGATCAACGATATACGCTTCACCTGTGACTGGTCATTAATGTTTTGGCTCATCATCTGATTTACTAAATGATTTTAAATGTGCTTAAACTCTTCAATATACACAAATCACAAAGTGACCTGGGTTTTGTGGTGTTTCTTGTTGCTATGCTTAGAGACAACTTCTAAACGGCTTAATGATGTATATATATATATATATATATATATATACAAGGCTGTGTGACTACATTGAGTTTTACACATTCACTAGTGGGCTGGTGAGCTGAGGACGACACTACATTTCTCCAATCCCCTTCAGTTCCTATTCTTCTCTTCCCCTTTTTCTCCCATTCTTGTTTTTTTTTCTTTCTGTTGATCATCTGTTTTACAATAAACGGGTATACAGAAAATGCCTATTATGATATTAGTTGATAAAAAAGCAAACTTGAATTGAGTAGATGTTCTAGATCTACATTATCCCCTGAGTCTGTCTCTCAATCTCTTTCTGTGTGTGTGTGTGTGTGTGTGTGTGTGTGTGTGTGTGTGTGTGTGTGTGTGTTTCTTCCTGTTGGTCTGTTGTCGCCGACATTAGGTTTGTCTCATCGTCTCACCTCTGTGTAATAATCTCTGTCTTTTCTCTTTTCACACTCTTCTGTAGCTGCGTGAAAATGCTCAACCTGTGGTGAGTCCCTCTCTCCAGTCCACATCAAACCCAAGGGGAGTGGACCAGCCTAGACTGTGGCCATAGAGATCACACTTACACCAAGATCCACTTACAGTTGTAGGCTAATGTAGCTATTCATGGTCTGTGAGTTTGAAAGGGAAAGAGGGAGATCTGTCCGCTCAAAGTCTGATTTGAGAGGCTGAAATACCCTAAAGTTGATTGGAGGTACGATGAGAAGCCTTTAATAGCCCAACTTCAGCTTATTTACAGGAACTCAATGAGGATGTCGAGGTCTCTACTTAAACGCACATATTCAGTGCCTTACAGAAGTATGCAGACCCTTAACTAAAGCTCAGATCTATACCACAGCATTATGACATGTATCTGAACTGATTGGTTCTGATTATTTTCTTATTTTTTTTGCAATTGCACAGACATTAAGATCTTCCAATTTAATTGGCAGAATGTTGCTTCATATTTTCCCCCCAAATTGTTGTATATCAATTGATAACACTTTATTTTACAGTGTCTGTTACACATGGTACATGTAATTACCATAGTAATAAATGATGCATAATTAGATGCAACTAACCCTACACCAAAACCTAACCCTATAGTAAGTACTGTACATATAGTTAATTATTATTACACAGTAATTAAATGTATAATTAATTAATTTCATGTTATCAAGCCCTTGACATCCTGAAATTCTGAACAGTTTCAGATGACAATTTATTTTCATTTTATGAGTATTTTTAATACAATCTCTTATTTTTACTAATTTACCAACCCTACAATAGCATATTTAATATTTTTTCCAGATATTTTATAACAATAAACAGTGTCGTTTCATTGATCTGATTGGTTGACGCAATCTAACTATTTTAACTCTTAATTCTGATTAATTTTCTGATTTGAACAGCCACATATTTGTTTGAGGGTGATTGACGGCATATGGCTAAAAAATTGTAAATGTTTTTTCCAAACTTAATTTCACATCAACAAAAAGTCCTTGGCATTCTGAAATTATCAGAACAACTATTTTCAGATGACTACAGTTTTATTGATTGTTTATCTGGACATAATAAATGTGGTCATTAGTATGGTCATCATCTACCAGGCAAGCTTAAGTATCCCTATTTTTTAACAAATCCCTAAATAAATAAATTTCTCACTGTTTGTGGACACTACTCGCATTCCCTTCCAAGAAGAAAACTTTTCTTCAACATTACGTTATTAATTGTTCATGACATTATTTTCAAAAATGGTTCGTGCTTTACACTGAACTTACAGTCCCTGTAATAGTTGTGTGTTAGGTCCAGGCAGATTTAGTGAAGGATCTGCATGTGTTCGCAGGGCACTGTACGTCCTCATTAATAACCGCAGTGAAGCGACTCAGCCAGCGCACGCTTGCGTCCTCTACAAACATGTTTAGTGAAGTCTCGCACTTTTCAATGTGTCAGTCTGGAGCTGTCCTCTTCCACTGCATGTGCCTTGTGTCCCCCAAACCCATTCTGTCGTGTTGTTGCCGTTTAACTTTCTGTCATCGATGCTTTTAACGAACCGTAAATGTCATTTAAGTTTCCTTTTTATTAACTTTGACCAGTTGTCGTTCATACGCAGCGTTTAGGTTGGTACGGATATACTAATGCACTGTTTTGATCAGCGCTGACGATATGTAGCATAACCCACAAATCTGCTTGATGTTTATGTAGATAGAGGTTGGAAAAATCAGCCAATCGTCCGGCAACACTGACGTTTACATGTTTGTTTGCTTTTCTTTCGCAGGTGCTGCTGTTTCTTCAAGAGGAAGAGGAAGAAGAACACGCCACGGCACAAATGAACCTCCGGCCTCACGGCGCAGTCTGTTCCTTTGGTTGTTTTTAGAGCGTTCAAATAAAGAAATTTTACAAGACGACAACAGCCGAGCCCTCCAAACGCGATGGGGAGCGATGTGTGAAAACCAAGAGGCATGCACACGTTGTCTCTGTGGGGATTGTCTTAGTTTTGTTTTTTTTGTTTCTTCCACTCCGTCTTGATTTAGGCAGCGACGGGCCTCGTCCTCGGACTGTCTCTGGGATCGTCACACAAAGCTAAGGATCTAAAGCACTGGAACAGCACTGCACTTCATTTGCTGTTTAGCTTTTTTGTTTTCTCGTTCTCCTCGTCGGTGGACGTTCATCTCTGAATGTGTCTCTTCCGCTCCACGACCGGTGCGATTATACAGGGAGAGAGACAAATTCGCCCAACGCTGGACCTTTTTTCATCCCTCTTAGCACCTCGAGACGAGACGGTGGCTTTTTAATTTCAACTTAACCCTCTTTAAATGTTCGTTTGTGTATTTCGGTGGCTGATTGTTGGTTCTCGCGCTGCCAGAAAGTGGTCGAAGCCTTAGAATATGCCTAGCGGATTTCTTCGTCGCATCTATCGGATTGAAGCGCAAAACAAATAACTGTTGTAATGATGCTAGCCGGCCTTTACACCTAAAACTTTGTGAAAGTGTGACGTAAGCAGCTGTTTCCAGTGGCGCTCGTCGTTCCACTGACTAGTATTTAAGCTGCTTGTTCTAAAGCACTCGTCCCACTTCAACCCACCAGCCAGTCATGCTGCTTTCCTCTCCTCTTACTACGATATCTTGTCGCTTTGACGTACAGCTGGCTGCTTTTCTATTGGCTGAGGTGGCCGGTAAGACTTTCCCTCTGCGCTTTTGTATCTTTCTGTCCATATAGTCACTTATTATTCCCTCGACCAGTTCCCGATCGATGTTTTCTTTTTGTAATGCCTGGAGAAAAAAACAAAACAAACTGCTAATTATTCAACCATGTGCCAGAGTGGCAAAGAAAGCCTCAACGTGTTCATAGTAAGCCGTAAATAATGCGATTTAAAGGCCGTTTGTTTCCTTTTTAGTAGGCGTAACCTGGGAGGATGCAGAATTACACTGCAAGACATCTCGATTTAATGCCTTAACACTGTTCGGCAGGGACGTGATAACTCCTCCCATTCCTTCATACTGACCTGAAACGCGTCTCATTCCCTTGCTGGAGAGGGCGTTCGAGCCAACAAAGCGAATTATGTGGCAGAAAACGTCAGCAAAAGTGGCCCGTTTGTAAATTCTGACTGGTTTGTTATAGTGGCCATACGCGATTTGAGACGGGGCAGCCCTTGACCTCTTGCATGGATGAGGCGGTCCTTTCCCAAACGCAATCCTTAAGACAGGAATTACGTCAAATTGGGTTATATGTGAAATGATTACTGTAGTTCTGTCGTCGTCGTCGTCTTTTTTTTTTTTTTTTACTCTTCGGAAAATCGCTAATCTCAGTCGTGATGTTGCCTTGCTCATTTTATTGTTTTTTTTGGGGGGGGGGGGGGGGGGGTTCACCTATTCACAGCATTAAATCCGTGTTTTTTTATTTTCGTGATCTTTCTAATGTATAGTAAATGTGAATTAATGTAAGATAAATTATATACAGTAACTATTATTTTATTTTGATCACCGTACAAAAAAAGTTGAGAGAGAAGCCATAGGAGTGTGTGACTGCACTAGAGTTTCGGCTGGGCCCTTGTTTACTGAATCCTACTGACCTCTGAACTCATCTTTCATAAGGAACGGGGGTAAACTGGGCCGTTTGACGAATCTACCGTGCCCGTTTTGTGTTTTGGGAATCCTTCTCGGGGGGCCTACGGGTTGCTTTGAATGCCGTGGATCGATAGATAGGACTGCGTTGGACCAAATAGATCCGCAAATGGCCACCGATTCTTTATTAGCATGTTTCCACCGCTCAACTCATCTGTTATCCAGCCATGTAAATAGTCTCACTTGACCCATTCACTTTCAGGAACGATTTCCACGATCAAGCAAACGGGAGTTGTGTTCATATATGCCGGTTGTAGGGACTAACGCGTATGTGTTTCCGATGTGACGGTTATTTAATAAGATTTTCCTTGTGCTTATCCACTGTGATGCGAGTCACTCTGGGTCTAAATTATTCTGTGAAAAGTACTTGAATGATAATGTTGGAAATCCGCGTCGGGGCGTGACTTTTTATTTAACGTTCTTCTCTTAACGATATGTATTACGTGCCTCGCTAGAGTTGGAAAATGATTTAGTATTTCTGGATGTGCACTGCTTGCTATCGCCAGGTGCGTCTGGCTCGAAGAAGTATGTTTTTTTGTTTTTTTTTGCAGGATTAACTCCTTTAACCCCTTAATTGACGTCCAAAGGCCTTGGCTTGTTACAAGCCACTCCGGAATCGTTTCGTGGATATAAGGGGAATGTTAAATTGTTGGATTTATGGATAAGGAAGCTAGTCCTGCATGTCCAGATGTGCAGACTGGATGGATTTTTTTTTTTTTTTTAGATTTTTTTTTTTTTTTTTAAGGCACCATCTGCTGGTTAAAAGACACTACATTAGACACTGAAATCATACTCTGATATGCTATTTGAAGTAGAGCTGACGTTATTCCTCGTTACTGGAATCTTGGTTAATGCGATCTTAATGACTACTGGCTCTCGTCGACTGCAAGGTGATGATGATTATTCCAAACCATCTTTAATTTTCTCTTTTTATTGTTTTAGGATATGTTCTTGTACCGTAATAAAGATGGTATCCTGGCATTCTGAGGTTTAAATACACAATTATTCTATGAGGAAGAGGCGTTTGTGTACCATTCCCATTCATTCCCTTTTGCTTTTGGTCACTGTAACGTGCTGCAGATGCACATGCAGAGAGGTAAACAAGAGATATTCTCCGAAGTTAGTGACATTAATGCAGATTTTATGTGCATGGCTTTTGATTCCCGAAAGCAATGGAAACTACTTGTGTAAAATGGGGCACTGAAGAACATAGTGGGCATGAAGTTGATACACTGTTATTCTGTGGCTGCATAATGCCTTAAACATGCTACTGTCTGTGCGCTTGGGTTCAAACATTGTGTGTCTGCTACAGTCATATCTCTCTCTCTCTCTCTCTCTCTCTCTCTCTGGAAAATGTAATCATTCCCGTCGCAAGATTTTAGTTAATGTGGGAACCTGTTGGATTACTGTTTTTTTTTTTTTTTTAAGGACCACTCATTTTTAATGACCTCAGAATGATTATATTACAGGAGTCTGGTAGGAAAGCACTGCAATATTTGACTTCTCTTTTTCACGTTTTTTTTTTTTCTTTGTTTTTGTAGTGTTTCTTTCGGTAAGGATGTTTCTGTACTTCAAACATTAAAAACTAAATTGTACAGTACTGCAAGAGTCATTCTCTTGTTCGGGTCATACTTACAAAGATACTTTAAATTTCATTGTATTATGAATTTATTGTGTTGAAATATGAATGTTACTTAAATGTACTTCGATGATTTTACTTTCTCAAGGGCTTCAACTGTGATGGACCCGTTTTGTCTCTCTCTCTCTCTCTCTCTCTCTCTCTCTCTCTCTCTCTCAAAAAATATATTTTGTTTTTAAGTTGCAGAAAGATTAAGGTCTTAATCTTATTTAAAATGCCTATTTTCCTGAGGAGTCGTATAAAATTCCATACTTAACCTTTCAAATTAAATTTTTATTCCCTCCACTCTTAAAGGGAAACTCAAGTTTGCACCCTTTTTTATGTAAAATAAAAGAAAATGTCTCTTAACCTCTGAGTGAGTCTGTCTATCTTTTCTAGAGCTACTTTTTGTCTTAACTGAAGAGTTCACACACAAAAAAATAGCATTACAGCTTTATTAGAGTGCCACCAGTTTATTACCATTCATAAGAATTACAATTACAGCTACAAAAAATATACTGCATATAAGTACCGGTAGCTATATAATTGTTCTTTTTTATAAAATAGTTACGTGCTTCAATTGTAGGAAATGTTTGTCAGAATATTTTTTTTATATATATATGTCTGCCAGTGCTTTAATTTTGTTAGTGTTTGTAGTACGAGGACGCAACTCATTCATTTTGGGCTACTTTTAGTAATTTGTATCCTATCTACTTAGACACGGTTTATAAAATATTGCTCCCAATATTGCAAAATAAATGTAGGCCTACCCTTCTAACAAAAGTGAAGGGATGTTGGCTTATAAAATTGTGTATGTATATATATATATATATATATATATATATATATATATACACGCATATATAATGTATAAATTGAATACATATATATACACACACACACATTTGGTAGTTGTTTCCTTATGTCAAATTTTTATGTTTAAGTGAGTTTGTTGTATTTTTTTTATCTTCGTTTTGTTAAAAAATATGTTCAAGTTATTAATAAAACTGCCGTTTTTATGTCTGCCATTAATTTGAAGCAGGTGATGGCTCTTATCCAGAGACTTTTATGTCACTTCCGGAAGAGTGTTATAAACTTCCGGTTCGGTCGATCTTCATCCTTTTCCTCTCTAGACCGTGTGAATATGGTGTGTATGTTTCACGGGGAATCCTTATCAATCCGCACAAATCCGTTTTTTTAACAACTCTCACTGCATTTTAAAGCACCGAAATGTTTTGTTAATGTTGTTACGATTCGTATGTACTGAGTATTTTGACTTTCTGCATTTGCTTTATGTAGGATTTTGAATGTAAAAAAACAGCGTCATCTCCCGCTTCACCGTTTTTGAATTTCAGACGTTAAAGTCTGCAAGCGAGAGCTAGACAGTATTATGTTGGATTTAATTGATCTATTGTGGTAATATAAACGTATGTGATGCTTTTAAACTGCGTGTTTATGGGTAAATGGGGGAAAACCCTGTTAAAATCATAACGGGTATTGACGTTAGCAGTGTTGCTAGTTTTTGTGAGCTAAAGGGATGACGTTAATTCTGTAATTTAATCACTATTGTTTCAAACCTGTATGAATGTGTTCTGTTGAACAAAAGATTTTTTTTAACCAAACAATTGTGGGGCTCCATTGACTTCCATAGTATTTTTTTTTTCATACTATGGAGGCCAATGGGGACCAGCAATTGTTTTGTGACCGATTTTTTTTTATTTTTGGTGAAATATCCCTTTAAATGTTATTAATTAATGTGATTACAGATGTTTTTGCAATATACACTGCATCAACAATCTCAATATTTACACAAGGCGAAAATATCATATTTTAACATTGAAACAAGTGGTTTCTTTAAAGCTGCTTTAAAACATGTATTGTGAATATAAACTTGGAGTGAAATTGAATTGAAAGTACAAAAGTGTACCATGTGACTCTGACTGACCCTAGAGTGTGTGTGTGTGTGTGTGTGTGTGTGTGTGTTAACAGGGGCGCGTCAGGACCAAGACAGTGAAGAAGGCCGCTCGGGTCGTGATCGAGAAGTACTACACCCGACTGGGCAATGACTTCCACATCAACAAGAGAGTGTGTGAGGAGATCGCCATCATCCCCAGCAAACCTCTGCGCAACAAGATCGCAGGGTGAGTAAAGTCCAGCACTGCAGATGGACGGACACTGACAACATGGTATCAATGCTTATCATGGTAATATAGTGAGATTCTTTAAATGATCTCGGATTGCCAGGGAAAAGCCCATGGTAGATGAATATGGTAGTCGGGGATCAATGATAAGCGTTTTAAAATCTTCCCCCCAAAAAAAGGGTTTGTTGGTGAGCAGCTTGGATTTGTCCATAAGAAATCTATAAAGTAAACATAGTCAAATACATGATGTCCTAAAATAATATCCTTAAAGTATGGTTACATTTTGCAGGTTGTTATTAATAAATGTGCCAATAGTTTTTCCAAAGTGGTTCAGTGGCCTAAAGCAGGGGTTCTCAAACATTTTGGAGCCAGGGACCCCTTACAGGGGAAAAACATTTCCAAGGACCCCCTCATATTTATAACAGTGACTGAGCCTAAAGTTAATGTGGGAGCGGTTAATGAAATACTTTGACACAAATAGTCTCGACCCAGGGTCATATGCAGGGTTTTCTAAATAGCATACTGAGGTCCCAAAAGTGATCTTGCTAGGGGGGTTCGGGGGCATGCCCCCCCGAGGAATTTTAGATTTTCTTGATCTACACGTGCATTTTAAGGTGTTTTTAAAGGGTCATGAAACCCTAAACCAAATTTTCTGAGATTTTAACAGAGGTATGTGTGTTGAACAACATTGAAGACAATGTTAGCATCTGTTAGATTTAATAGTAGGGCGAAAATGGTTAAATTTTAGTTTTTTCCAGCTATTTTCGTCTTCCGGGTTTAAAATCTTCATCGCAGGCTGTGACGTGGCAGTGCACAGTGTAGTGCGTTGATGACTCATCGGTCTCTCATAATTATTAATGAGACTGAGTTTTTATATCCTATGAGAAGACACGGTCTCTTAATTATTCATGACACCACGTGGATCTTTCCACAGACATGTCAAACTGTGATATCGCGTAGTAAAGGAGAGAGACAATCATGGGACGCAAGTGCCGCAAACATTTTACCCGAGAGAGCTTCGAGAATTGGAGAATGGTGGACTTCGGCCTTGTCGATGACCAATGCAAGTTACGTCTTGCGAGTAATGCGGTACCAAGTCCTGAGGACTTTTCTATCCCTTCAGAGTGTGTCTAAAATGTAACCCTGGTCATTTTACTTGCCTTTTGTTAAATAAGCGGTCGTTATGAACATTTTAGATATTTAGATAATATATCAATTGTATGCTTAATGCGGGAGACTTGTGAATGTGTAGTGTTGACGTGCGGGCCGGGCGACACCGTGTTGTGTGTGTGTGTACGTGCAGGCAGGCGAGCCTGCGAAATGATTCGGGGTCAGAGAGAGAAGCGGTAGGATGTGTGTTTGGATGAACGACTGAAAACTCTGAGATTATTGTTCATTATTGATCGTACATTGTACAGAGGTCAAAATTATTGTACAAATACGATAATTATCGTACATCTGGCAACACTGCTGGCTGATGACAGTTCCCCCTCTCCCCTGCCGTGCCACACCCACTCCCTCCCTTCTTCTCACAGCCATCCACGCCCATTTAAGTTGCATTTTTCAAAAAGATTATGAGCTAGACTTGAGCTGATAGAGGGGGGTTTCATGACCCTTTAAGGCCAAAAATTTTACTTTTTTCTTGATACCCAGAAAGAATGGAAGTGCAATGTGACAACATGTCCCATAGGTGGGGCACATTGTAACATGACCATATGACAGATTAAAATGTTATCTGATCTAATCAAACAAATATACAAGACAAACAAAACAGCTATACAACATAGTTCAAAACATATTCATTGTAACGCAGTGTGACAACATGACCCACTTGCACAACTGGGATTTACGTTGTGCCCTGCTATTCCCTATATTTCCTTTCCCGGTTGATACTTTGCAAACTGATTGTTTCTGTCGTTCGTTTAAAACTTCTATCTAAAACAGCTGTTTAGTTTAGCGATTTACATCTTATCTCGCACTTTATGACCGAATAACTGAAGCGTCATGCGGAAATTCGCGCTCGGCTTGCAGCTTCTGTGAACATAAACCCGCCTACTTTGATTTAATCTCCGACTCAAACATTTTGACATTGACGAGCGCTGTTAGTCTGCTGAAACCGCTCAGATGAGAAGGTCAGTTATCATCGCGATGTTTAATATCCTTGCAGCACCAAATTAGAGTTAATATTAGGTAATTATTTCACAACTTTCATTATACACATAGAAAAATTACAGAGGCCCGGACCTCAGGGACCTCAATTGTGGGTATACGACCCTGTCCCTATGCACAAATTTATAATTTACTATATTTTCCAGAAAATAAATTGCACCTGAGTGTGTAATACTTTGTTGCGTTCTTGAGGCGTAGTAGGCCTACTTCCCCTCACTCCACAGCAAATCCTTAAATTAATGGTATTCAGAACAAAACGAGAATGAAAAATAATACTATTAATAGATAATAATACAAATAATAATAATAATAGTATACAGACAACATTTATTTAAAACATCAAGTCTAAACGAATTAAGTTGAATCGAAACTGAAACTGCAGACGTTGGGCTCCTGCATCTCTCATTCGGTCCAAAGTTTCCATATTTGCGATGTAGCCTAACATTTGGATGCTTAACTATTTATGTAAAGAAAGCTTCATGCTTCAGTCCCAATATAGGCCTACAAGTATCAGCATCTTCACATTTGGAGAAATGAGATTGGAACAACAGCAAGTCGACAGTATATGATTGACCGTCACTGCCTTCATAGTGTACAACAGACAAATTAAATTAAGCAGAACTTTTTATAAGTTCGGTGAGTATTTTATTTTGATAATGAACAGGTTTTGATGTCAAATTAGCAGTGCTAGAACTGACATATTGTGCGCGCACACGAGACGCCGGCGCGAACACTTGGATTTTTCCTCAGCAGTGGAAACAAAGGAATACTCTTATTTATGGTCATACAGATAAGAGTACATCATTCAAAACGGCAAAGTGTCTATTTTTTATTTGTGTATACATTAAAAATGACTACAAAATGTCATGCCTTTTAAAAATAAAGAACACAACAGGATGCGCGTTCTGCCGTCTCTGTCTCCTTTCTGGCGCACGTGCCCAAAAATCGACCAAAACACAGCGAATACTTGACGCACAGACATAAGAAATATAGATAGATTATCTATCTATAGAAACCTTTAAGAGCCTACTTTTTTATTATTTGACATTTAATGCATTATATAAGTCACTTTGGAATAAATAGCAAGTTTTCAGATGCTAAAGAAAAAATGACTTATAGTCGGGAAAAACGGTAGGCTGTTATAAATTATTTCGCGGACCCCCTGGCTATAGTTCACGGACCACCAGGGGTCCGCGGACCCCACTTTGAGAACCACTGGCCTAAAGTGTCTGAGTTTTGCAAAATCTTGATTGATGTCAATTCTGATGTCAATTCTGATATTGATTGATGTCATGTAAAGATAATTAAAAATAATTTCAAGCCCTCTTCTGTGCCATTTGTCTTCAGCATAACTTAACGGTGTGAGTTATTATAAAACCAATAAAATAGCTTAAATAATTGTAATATTAATTTGCAATAAGTACAGAAAATGTTTGATGTAAAGCACATGTATAATGTAGGCCTATGAGGATGGATGGATGGAAATTGACATAGACATGTATTTCTCATACTATTTTAGCAAGATATCTATACAATATTTCTATATAATATCTTATAATGGATATCTTGCTGTAAAATACAGACATGAGACGGCCGAAACGAAGCCTTATCTTGTTGATTCTGCAGGTATGTGACCCACCTGATGAAGCGCATCCAGAGGGGTCCCGTCAGGGGCATCTCCATCAAACTGCAGGAGGAGGAGCGAGAGAGACGGGATAACTACGTCCCAGAGGTCAGTGACGGTCCATCCTTTAAAGATCGCAGTCTCCATTAAACACCCGCGTGATCTTATTCCTAAATAACAGTGATCCTGCTCTCTATTAAACCTTTAATAGCAAACATTCAGATCTTTGTTCTGGGCCAGAGAGAGCAGTTGTCATGTATAGATATGAAACGGATTCACTAGCTGTCTTTTCAAACACACAGTATCACTATTATTTCTGTCTTACAATCATTCAAATCATTACAGAAGAACTGGGATAAATGTATATAGTTCAGATATAAACACTGATGTCTACAGTAGCGATCAAAATAGAGTAAATCACCTTTTGAAAGTGACTTGAAGCTTTAAATAAAGATTCAATCCAGTGAATTCCTCAGGTTCTTCCTCGAAGAGCTGTTGTGTTCCTATAAACTGTTAACCCTTTATTTCAGGGTGGCCGCGGGTCCTTAAAAAGTCTTAATGTCTTAAAGTTTTCCTAATAAAAGGCCTTAAGTCTTAAAATGTCTTAAATACAGTTTTCCTAATAAAAGGCCTTAAGTCTTAAAATGTCTTAAATAAAGTTTTCCTAATAAAAGGCCTTAAGTCTTAAAATGTCTTAAATAAAGTTTTCCTAATAAAAGGCCTTAAGTCTTAAAATGTCTTAACCCCTTAAGTGTCACGGGCCCACCGGTGGGCCCAAATCCTTTACATTTTTAAAACCGTAATATCCTATACTAAACCTAAACTAATCTTGACAAACTATATATCATTTGAAAGCTTACAATCTCTAGTTTCGATATTTGGTGATTGATTTTCAAAATAAATTACAGAGGAGCCGTAATTTATCAATTTGCAACAATAATATTTTCATACTCTTAGACCTTTATTTTGAAATAGTGATGAACATGAAAAATCATGAAAGAAGGGTAGAAACCTCAGTTTGTTTTCATTCCAAGAGTTCAAAAGATAGCATCCATTCAATTATAAAAAAAAAAAAAAGGTCTGAATTTTTTTTTTTATATAAAGAAAAAAATTATATGATGTGGCAGGAAGCTAAAACGCACATGCATGTTCTTTTTATGTTTCTTAGAGGTTGAAATCATATCAAAATCTGCCAAACTTCTCATATTACTTCTGAATAGGATGTCTACTTCATAAATTGTATGAAAATTGTGGAAATAATGGTTAATATCACTCAAAACACATATGGAAATGGAGGCGCCCTTATATGGGCAGTAATGGAGTCTGGTTGTCATCTAGTGAAAAAGTTTGGTACTGCGCCCAAACAAAATCTTACTGAAAGCTCATTTTTTGAGATATCAACCTAAAATTCGAAACACAACTTGTTCAGATTTTTGGCTTTGATTTTTTTGCAGTTTTAGAGTCGCCCAGGTTTTGAAAATATATATTTTATATAAAATATGAATAATTATTTTTTTTACATTGTACATTTTCATAAACTCAAACTTCTATAACTTTTTTTCTGTTTCACTTTCTTAATTTATTTCACTTCTACAAGAATCTGCCAAATGTCTTCTTTAAAACAAGACCAATCTTACGTCTATATTCCAAAGCATTCTTGAATTACAACCATTTAAGTTCGAAATGTGCATTTTCATGTATATTCAAAAAAAGGGGGGTGACACTTAAAGGGTTAAATAAAGTTTTCCTAATAAAAGGCCTTAAGACATTTTAAGACTTAAATAAAGTTTTCCTAAGGCCTTTTATTAGGAAAACTTTATTTAAGACATTTTAAGACTTAAGGCCTTTTATTAGGAAAACTTTATTTAAGACATTTTAAGACTTAAGGCCTTTTATTAGGAAAACTTTAAGACATTTTAAGACTTAAGGCCTTTTATTAGGAAAACTTATGCAAGACATTTTAAGACTTATGTAAGTCTTAAAATTTTCCTAATAAAAGGCATTAAGTCTTAAAATGTCTTACATAAGTTTTCCTAATAAAAGGCCTTAAGACATTTTAAGACTTAAATAAAGTTTTCCTAAGGCCTTTTATTAGGAAAACTTTTTATTTAAGACATTTTAAGACTTAAGGCCTTTTATTAGGAAAATTTTAAGACTTAAATAAAGTTTTCCTAATAAAAGGCCTTAAAGAGCATATTGCAGGTTAAAAAAAAATCTAAATTAATATATAACCTTGTATGAAAATACCATATGAAAAGGTAATGCAGGATTTAAAATGTTTTAAAACGACATAAGGGCACAAATTTAGTAGATAAAGTGAGCGTTTCTATGACTGCTCGTAAAAACCGTTTTTTTTTCAACATCGCGTCATTTTACGTCACCAGAGGGAGGGAGCATCGGCAGCGCAGATAGGTTTGTATTCAGTACAGGCGGGTAAATTTGCTTTTTTATACTCAGAATGACAATTTGGAATGTAAAGAACAACATATTATACAGTTATTTGTTTTATTAGGAAAATACCATATACATAAAAAGAATTGGGCTTTTTTTCACGTTTTATAAATGACTTCACATTATGTAACGTTACATCTTTTGGAACAAACAAAAACAAAAAAAGCAATGAAAACATGTAATGCTTTGAAAGCACTGGATTTTATTCAAAACTTTTTTTGTATTTTTTATTTCCTGGCAGCTAATGTTAATGTGATATTGTGAATATGTACATGTTCTTGTGGCATCGAATTAAAAAAAAAAGTCAGTAAGAGCGGTCGTGAATCAGTGTTTTCGGTAGTTTTTGTATTTTAATTTATCATCGTCATCATGGTAAATTATTGTGTTTGGTAAATGGTAAATGGACTGCATTTATATAGCGCTTTCACAGACCCAATGGCCACCAAAGCGCTTTACATTTGCCTCACATTCACACACCGACGGTGTTTGTGGAGGTTGCAAAAACTCCGGCCTGTCAGGACATCGAGTCCACAGGTTTCCTAACAAGAAAAGGGACGGTGCTGTCTATCGTGCCTGTGTGCGGTGTGTGCAGCTGTAGAGACAGGATTTCTCTTCCGCATCGGCTTCGAAAAACGCGATCGTGTGTAGCGTACACCAGATCTGAGGAACAAAAACGTGTATATCAGGAATAAAAATAAATATCTATCTGTCTCTCGATGAGAAACCGCTAAGTTATATCACGTAAAGTTAGTCTGGACGGATATTAATGAGCATGACATACGCGCCTGATCAAAGCTTATAGTTTATTCTGTTATTGGTAAATTCCAATACTCCTAGATGACCAATAATAGCTTTGCTATTAACTGATATACGATGGTAATAATCGATATACACCTCACATTTTACCAAACAGAATGAACGATGCACTCTATTACACTATTAATTAAAACTCACAGTGAACAGCATTAAATATAAAAACACATATGCCTTACCTTTTTGTTGCAGTGCAGTTTTTATTGCAGTGGTATAATGTTTTGCCGACAGCACTACAGTCCTCGTTTTTTTATTGCTGCTTCCATTCTCCTGATTGCTATTATTTAATTTCTTCGTTAAAAAAACACCCAGGGAAGATTGAATAGGCCTGTTCTTTCAATGTTTACTCAGTATCTGACAGCTAGGCTAATCAAAAATACGCGCGATTAAGTGATGCAATAAACTGCGGCTGCGCACACTCACTCCACACAAGTTTTTTTATAATAATACTTTTTCAATAATGTGTGTCTCCTCTGACCGTTGTTCTGTCTAACATTAATCCTGGCCTGTCCCTGCTCTCTCGGCAGCATAGCAGGCTCATAATTGTAAGGCTGTCGTCCGTGGTCTGTCATACGAGTAAGTCCGAAATGTCATTGCGATCCATTGTTTTCCTGTTGTTTGAATGGTTTGAATCGACCGCTCTCCCGCCCGTTACGTCACGCCCGTCACGCCCATTTTCAGATGCGGAAGTAAAATTCTCTCACAAAAACGACTCCAGAAGCCAATGTAACGTATTTATAAGTATATTTTAACGAAAATCTAATTACTACATTGTTTTTCTATACATTGACTCGTTGGGTCCTCTAACCTGCAATATGCCCTTTAAGTCCTAAAATGTCTTAAATAAAGTTTTCCTAATAAAAGGCCTTAAGACATTTTAAGACTTAAGGCCTTTTATTAGGAAAACTTTATTTAATTCTTAAAATGTTTTAAATAAAGTTTTCCTAATAAAAGCCCTTAAAAAGTATTAAAATGTCTTAAATTCAGATTCGATGGGCCTTATATATTTCTGGTCACATAACCGCTAACATTTCTCCAGCCTGACAGACCCAATGTCCGTCTAATAACCAGTGAAGCATCGAATCGCGAGAATAATTCTGATTTTATTACATAAACAGCGATTGATAATGTATTTCTGGTAGCACTGTTGAGACTCGCCCGTCTCTGTGAGATTTTATAGTGAGAAATCAAAACAAACGAGCATAACAGCACACATTAAAAAAATCACAGAAGAAACATACTGAGGTAAAAATTCAAAATATTGAGTTTTTTTCTTTATTACATATGATATAGTTCAGTAACATAACGTTACGGGAGCTATTTTGCTGAATATTCTCACGATTGCAAATGTAACATTGATTTTAGTTCAATAAACAAGTAGTTAATATTAAATTACTTCATTGACTTAGGTTAAAGATTAAATATTACATATACGTATGTAATATAGTGTGTATTTCCATCACAGGTTCGGTCTAGTCTTAAAGGGTGTCTACAGATATAAATGAGTTAAATTTATTTGCTTATGTTGTAGTGATTATAATTTGTTGCATGATGCCAAATTTCACAATGATCAACATTGAGTAAAGACGTCATTAGTCCCTCGTTTCATGTGCTTGTTCTCTTTGTGCTCAGGTCTCTGCTTTGGATCAGGAGATTATTGAGGTTGATCCAGATACAAAGGAAATGCTGAAGGCTTTCGTAAGTTGATTTTACCTTAATTTGTGTTGATGTGCTGCAAATATTCCATCTGGAGGTTTTTCAGTGCTGTATAGTGTTGTCAAAATATTCGGTACTTCGGTACCAAGTCGGTACTAAAAAAAATTAAACGTCACGGTACCAAGTTGCGGTGGTACCGAGTACCCGGGTAAACCCGGTTCTGGATACGCATGCATGCTCGATGGGCGTGAGGTTGCGTCCTCTTCATGAAAGTGGAGCGCTGAGACGATCTGCTTGTCTCTGTGTGAATGAACGGCGCAGACGCGCGGTTTCATTTAAAGCAGCACTACGTTACTTTTCAACCTTCATAATATATTTCCAAGTCTCTTGTGATGGTGCATCGACTTACAATAGGTTGAATGACACGTCTGCCATAGCCTGACGGGGTCTGTAGCGTTTTTAATCGTACTTTTAAACTTCGGGTTTCGGGTAGTAACCGTATACGTCACTTCCACCACCACCCCCACTTCCTTAAAATAGGACTTGCGAGCCAAATGTTATAGTCATGGCCGAAGCAGCACAGAAAAACAAGAAAGCAAAGGTTTTATCGGAGCAAAGCAAAAAGAGAAAGTGATCGCGTTAAAGGCCGAACGAGGATCAACATTGGGCCAGCATTTTCTCGCTGGCGTGAGCTGAAGGAGGAGGAGGGGTGCCCGACCGATGCGGACTTGGCAAAAAAAAAAATCAAATGAAAGCCTGTGTCTAAACGGCGTGCACAAGTTTGGTAGGGTCTACATTCTTGCAAGTAAACACATAAGATGTACAAAATCATAGTTTAGGATACCTAACATGTCTGTGATATTTGTTTATTTGTCTTGCCTCAAGCTATAATGCAAATCGATTTGTAAAATTTGCAGATTCATTTATGGTAGCTTGATATTATAATATTGACGATATATGTTTATTATCAACCACTCAAACATTGCATTGAAGTATAATATAGATCCAGTAAAACGGTAACCAATAGACTAGGCTACTATAACGACGCTGGCTTGTAAACGTGAGCATCGCGATCATTTCTCGTTAGAAAAAAAATAAAACCCATGAAATTATATTCATATGACATGCTGAAATATGTGCCACTGTACCTGGGATGAAGACATTTCACACGCGACGCAAGCAGAACACCTGCATGTGACCTCCTCCTACAGTGTTCAGGGCTATCCTGGTTGTCAACAATTGCACGTGCATGTAGGATGACCGAGTTTACGACAGTAGTAGAGGTCTAGAGGACAATACTGTTTCCCAACTGTAGGGGGACCCCACCCCGAGAGCAACAGTTCCCTGGTGTTACACACACACACACACTGAAGCACGAGTGACGCTCACGCTGTTTTCAGTCTGCTGCCTCACGATATGATGACATGATTCATGATTCAATTCATCTCCGAGAGTCACTTCATGAGCATTTTACCGTTTAATTTGAGAAAAACTATCGTCATATCATACACACACAGAAACTCAAAGGTCTTCACGGCAACCCGTCAAAATAAAAGTTTGACAGAAATAGGCTACTTATAGTAGGCTACTGTACAATAGATGTAACTACGTCTCCATTAATTAAAAATACTACTACTAATAATTAGGGGTGTAAATCGGACAGTTAATCACGATACGATATCGATTCTCTCAGCCAGCGATACGATATTTGCCGATACCTCAAAAAATTCTACGATTCGATTCAGGGCTATATCGATTGATTAATCGATATTTAGATATTATGTGCTAAGTGTACACAACCGTTACGTTTATTAACTCCCAATACATCCAAATATATATAACATGAAAGTTTAATTAAACTCTTTGAAAATTGCACACCCTCTCCCAATTGGGACATTTACAAGTAGTTTGTTACAAGTAAAAAAAAAATGATATATGAAAATAAACAAGAACGCAGTTATCTGTTTTTGCAAATGAACTCTTCTGTTATATTAAAGTTCATTGAAAGGATTTATATATTTTATATATATATATATTTGTATGGCAAAAGCAGATATCTCCACATTTCATGTTTCAGAGTTAAACAAAGCCAAGTATTTGCTATGATACATAATAAAACACTTGGTTAATCTTTGTAACACTAATCTCCTCAGCTGATATAACTTAGACGCCTGTCAAACTTTGTTGTTGTGATTAACGTACACTCAATACAGAGAGCCTTTCACTTACCACTAAACGTGCTGTTTTAGCAAGATTCCGTGACAAAGTTTCAACTTTTATTTTACTTTTACGCCCCGAAGAAGATATCACGAGTTCATCAAGTTCGCTGAAATCCATCCTCGATCACTTTTAGTCAGCTTGACGAAACTCCTCTCAGCTAGCGCGTCTTTTCAAAGTGACCAGCAGCCTTGTCACCTGACCTGAATACTGCGCACTGATTTGCTAAAACAAACTTTTCGGGGCTTGTTGTTTCTGCTGTGAACTCGCGATGACAGTGGAAAATACTGGCTTTTGTGACAAAGGGTTCAGTCAATCTTGTCAGGCGTCTATTTCAGCGGAGAAAGTTTACGTGAGGATGTGGAGCGTGTCAAAATAAAGGTACTGTACATCGATATTTTATGTGTGGTATCGATGCATCGTATCGTTAGACGTTTGATCAATGCATCGATCCATATCGATGTATTGTTACACCCCTACTAATAATAATAATGTGTGCATAGAAGGTTGCTTATTTTTACTTGATTTTTTTACAAGCAATATTTCTCAATATCATCAATATTTTTTATTTAAACAATATGTAGCATTCAATGCTTTCATAAATTTACCATCATAAATAATAAAGTAATTGAAATTAATATTTTTTTTCAAATAGTTAAATAAATTGGAAAAATAGTTCAAACTGATTTTGCTGTGGTACCGAAATTGGTACAGAGAACCGTAAAATTTTAATGGTATCGGTACCGACTACTGGAATTTTGGTACCGTGACATCCCTAGTGCTGTAACAGCAATGGTTAAAGTGAACGATGAGGAAAAATAGCCGTCAAATGTCCTGGAAACAATGAGCTGTTGATGTGAAATGTTTTTAGTGTTGGTATACAGACCTGAACCTACATTAACCCCCTCTCTCCCTCTCTCTCTGCAGGACTTCGGGAACCTCCCCAATCTGCAGGTCACCCAGCCAACCATCGGCATGAACTTCAAAACACCCAGAGGAGTCTAACGTCATTTAGCACATTAATAAAGACTGCAAGGAAGAACAACCTTGTGTTTGTCATTTCTGATGGCCTGTTATAATGCAGTAAATCCTGCTGAAGCAAGTTAGTGTAACAGCACAGTCTAGAAACAATACAACTGAATATGATTAAGAAATGCTACACGTTTACAAATACTAAACTTTTAGCATTACATGAAAACCAGCTTTCCCTGTGGAAAAATGAACTTGTAAAAATATACATTTCTGACATTTCCATTTATGCCCTATTATAGAATGATGGTTAACTCTTCCCCAGCTCCGGCATTTGATGACTTTCACAAAACTTTAATGGCCTACAGAATATTTCAGTTTATGAATATCTGAACATACCAAAAGAAAAAATAGCTAAAGCAAACACCATTTTATTCTTGGTTTTTTTTATCAACTCTTGAATGTGGGTGTGTATAACTAAAGCAACATTTTAAATTAAAACCTGAGGAAATTGTGTTTTTGTCAAACACTATGTCCGGATCTTATTCACAATGATCAAAACACGGCTGGAGTAGATCGAGTCCATCAACTCCCCAAAGCTTCAGTCCTACAGCTCGTCTTGGGTCGACTAACGTTACACAATTTTGATTTAAATGCTGTTGACGATCGTGTACATGTGTGAACAATGCTTATATATATCGCTTATTTGAAGTTATTTCTGCGGCTGTTTGAATCTGTATATTCTGCACTGTTTCAGGAGACGCGTAATAGCGCCCCCTACCGTATAACAGGGAAAACACTGATTGGCCAAAAATTCAAAATGGCAGGGAAAGAGTTAAAAGTCCTCATTCAGTAATCGTGTCATACCGGAAAATTAAAGCAAATTGCAAAAAGAGGATGCAAATAAATAAACAGCCAAAAGCAATGTTTTTAGAATATTTTTTTAAAAAGCCACAGAGTATTTCTAGAGACAGCGAGAAGATCTTTGTACAGAAATAAGCAACAACATAATTCTGCATATGCAACACAGTTAAAACCTGCCGCTCAAATAATATTCCAGAGGCAAAAGAACAAATAAGACCAGCTGCCTACGCTAAACTATGACACTACATTACACAAATAGAGCTTTATATTCAAAACACAGGATATGTAAAAGTTTTCTTGAAATTGTTGAAAAAGTGCAATAAAGGTTTGACTGTGTACAACTTGATCGGTTATCCCAAATAGGTTGTATTGTTTTTACCAAGCTTTTTAACATGTTCCTATAGTTACCCAGAATTTCTTACAGTCCGAACGACATTCGAGAAAATGTTTGAGGAGACATTAGATTCATAAAACAAAATTATGATTGCTGTTACATATTTTCTTTGGGTAAAAGTACAGAACAAAACCAGCAGGGTAGGAACAGTTTTTTTTTTTTTTTGCCTCGCAGGTTGAGATTTTATACAAGTTCTTCATATGAAACGAATACAATGGAAAATAAAAGATGAGCACTGGGAGTTCTGCATAAAAGTCTTGTTGCATCAAGTGCCAAGAATGTGGCCTGTAAAATCTCACAGTGAATGTCATTCATTCATTGAGTCTGTGTAAGCTCTGATAGAAGAATTCAGACCAATGCAGCAAGAGGAAATCAACCATATAAAGCACTTTCAAATGTACCAATTTCATTCATTTATGTGTAGAACCTGAAGTTTTTGAGTTTCAGCACCGAGTCCAGCATGTGTGACGGAGGTCTACGCTGTCGTATTGACAGTTCAGCATTACAGAATAAATATCACAGTGTTGTGTGATAACCAACTGATTTCTGCCATTCCACACAAATTTAATAAGGCATATCTGAAGGGAACTCCCATTTAAAACAGGCAAAAATGAAAATTGCAAAATAAAAAAGCAGCGTGTCTCTGACTAAACGGTCAAAAACATTACTGTGGTGACAACGTGAGTCCGTATTAAACATATATACAAACTGATAAGTGTATATGCATATAAAACAATACAAAACATGTTTAAGAAAATAATAAGACATGGCACATTATATGACATACAAAAGAGAGAGAGACATCAATCAAAATGCTTAATACAAAATGCCTTGCAGAAATCAAAAGGACGTTGTCCAACGTTCACCTCGCTGGAACGGGGGGCAATATATATATATAGATACAAAAACATACAAAAAAAGACACAAATGAAACACTGTAAAGTGTGCCTTACAAGCACCAACACGTACACCAGCATATTGTAGCTTTCCTTTTTTCGTAGGATAATAAAATGGTGTCTTTTTAAACGGTCTCCACTAAAATAAAAGGAAACATTTACGTAGGATGCCGAGAGAAAAATCGCAATCATCTCGTTGAAGTAACCGCATGTCCTTTCTCAGAATGTCCTCGTTTGATGGGTTTCTCCTTCCTGAGAGCAAGCAAGGTATCCCAAACGTTATTGTTTCTTCCTATCTCACTCTCCTTTCTCTCTCCGTTTAGCGAATGATTGAGAACTCGTCCGTGCTGAGCGCCTCCCCGTGGCGGGGAAGCTCTAGTGTTATTGTGAGGATTGTGCTCAGGCTGTCGTGATGGCGTTTAGGTCCTTCATTAAGCCCTCCAGATGGGCCATTTCCTCCGTCAACTCGTCCGTCTCGTAATTCTGAAGGAGATGAAGAAGGTTACTGCGGGGGGGTGGGGTTGGGGTGAGCTGGGGTTTGAGGGAATTGGGTTTTATAGGGGAAGGTCAGTGGTACTGCAGAAGAAAAGCAGGGAATCAAACAGCACAGTTACATGCGAGGTGATGGATGAAGGGGGTACGGTGCATTATATCATTCATTTATACAAGCAAAATTTACAAAATTAATTGTAATGAGCAGACAATAAATAAAGCCGTTAAAAGGGGAGAGCAGGTAAAGGTTTGAGAGAAAAGAAAAAAACATGTTAAAACAGTATATTTGATATGTAACAGTATCCATAGAACATTATAGTATGCACTAGAAACTCCTAGATGCATAACGATGAAATGTATACTTTGAACACAATGCCAAATGTAGAAAGCAAGTCATTTCTACTACAATACATTGTCCTCATGTCCCTATCATAATAAATTGGATAAAACACTTTTTTTTTTTTTTTTGGAGCAGATGGCTAAATTTAAAGGGATAGTTCACTTTGAAATTAATTTTTGATATGTTTTAGCTTACTTCAAGGGCATCCAAGATGTAGGTGTCTTTGTTTCCACAGTAGTTTCAATTTTGATATTTTTAGGTCAAACCGTTCTTGTCTGTCAGTCATATAATGCAGGTCTATGGTCACCACCTCAAAGAGCATGCACAGAGAAGTCCAAATTACACATGATTTAATGACTCGTAAATGTAAGTACACATTGATGGCCTAATACACGAAACGAGCGGTTTGTGTGAGAAAACAAACAGTATTTATATCGATTTTACCTCTTGTAAACACAGCCACGTCCAAGTGATCTGAGGGCGCCGGCGCTTCGGTCTTTTCCGGAAAGCACTGGAAGTGATCTCTCGCACGTGTACGTCACTCATTGTTTACACAGAACAGAGATTGTGGGTAAGACGGCTAATTAAAATGGTACTAATTTGCGCTTATCCGGGTTGTTTAAACCGTCGTAAAAGAAAACAAAAATAAAACAATTGTATGAGTGACGTACACGCGCGAGAGATCACTTCCAGTGCTTTCCGGAAAACACCGAAGCGCCGGCGCCCTCAGATCACTTGGACGTGGCTGTGGTTACAAGAGGTAAAATCGATATAAATACTGTTCGTTTTCTCACACAAACCGCTCGTTTCGTGTCTTAGGCCATCAATGTGTACTTACATTTACGAGTCATTAAATCATGTGTAATTTGGACTTCTCTGTGCATGCTCTTTGAGGTGGTGACCATAGACCTGCATTATATGACTGACAGACAAGAACGGTTTGACCTAAAAATATCAAAATTGAAACTACTGTGGAAACAAAGACACCTACATCTTGGATGCCCTTGAGGTAAGCTAAAACACACCAAAAATTTATTTCAAAGTGAACTATCCCTTTAACTCTTCATTTCTAATCTTTTAGATGAATTGTATTGCCACTGTATACATAATCAAACTATATTTATTGTAGTTTAATCTCCCAGGCTTGACCAGAATTAATTATAACACAAGCATATTCAGAAGTAACAGAAATGACTGAAGTGTACATGGTTTTGTTAAAAAAAAAAAATTTTAAAGCTGCAGTCCGTAGCTTTTTTAAGTTAAAAATAATCCAAAATAATTATATTAAACAAAACTTATTCTGCCAGTGGTCAAAACTATCTGCTTGCCATAGCTAGATTCAAAACGGATAGCTTGTAATAATGATTGTAATTCCAGTGGTACTGGTGGGTTTCCGCGGGCAATTCGAGCATGTCTTTGCGTCATTACGTCACACCCGTACACATAAAGAAGGAGTTTCGGCTAGCCGGCTATACTGCGCGTGACGAGATGTTTAGATGTATAGGCTTTTCTCGCAGCACTTTACATAATTAAACTTATGGCATCCAGAAAGATCCAAACAACAATCATCAGTGTCAACTGGAGATTCAGCAGTTATAAAACCCAAAAGACTTCGTACTTCGGATTTAAGGTGGCTAGAGAAAGAGAAAGAAACCGTCTCATGCGAACACAAGGATTTAAACATCGGCGGGGCTTTTGAAAAGTGCGTGAACTCCGTGTTTTGAAGGGAGAAGAGACGGCTTTTTTCTGCTGAACAAGTAAGACATTTCAATAGTTCAATCGTGTAACAGTACGTTTTCTTAATTCACACAGTTATGGAGTTTTCCTTTGTTGTGCCTTTCTCGTTTTGCTATTATGGAGAATATGAATTCTGAACTACACAGGTAACCATAAAACACATTAAATTTAACATTAGTCACGCAATGCTGATGTGATGTTGTTAACATGAACAATTTGAGAACAGTAGGCTATAATTTGCACGGTTGCTGTAAATCGCGTTGATTAAATCTAACGAAGCTTATCATGTCGAATGCTTTTTCCCCCTTAGTTGGTCAGAACAAAAATGGATGTTACTTGTTCAGAAGACATTTTCTGATGAAAATTCTTATGTTGGTCAAACTTTCAAAAAGTGAATCTGTGATTCTGTATGCCAGTATCCACACAGCGCGGTGACTGACAGCAGCACTCGCCTCAAAGCACTGTGTTCATCCGCGCTGTTTCATGCCGATTTACAACCCACGTAAAGATGATAATTCCGCGAATCACTGCAGTTACAGATTTCGAACAGAGAGATGGCGACAAAGAGGAAAAGATACGGACTGCAGCTTTAAATCACATACATGGAAGTTTGTATAGTGAGTGATATTCCAGATGTTTTCTAACCTCTGTAGTACAGTGCATTATAGAAGCAAAAGTACTCACACTCCCTGCATCTTCATGAAGTCTGATGCCTTCCGAACCATCCGGTGCACTTGGAACTATGACAGGCATAGGAGTCCTCGTCCTTCCCAATGTACCGATAGAGGCTGTTTTAACTGAGTGAGGCCCTGAAACAATCACAAGTCAGTGTCTGTCTTTCTCCTTCTTAACCATGAAACTTTATACTATTCAAAATAAAGATGCACAAATTGCATTTATTTTTAGAGCATTTGGAGTGTGACAACTATTGGAACTGTACAAGGAACTGGTATAAATTAGTTTTCTATTTAAAAGACAGAACCTTTTCCATCTGTATTGGTAATTTGCCTTCCTATTCAGCAACTCTAAACTGTGGCGTCCCACAAGGTTCTATTCTAGGTCCAATTATATTCACACTGTATACGTTTAGGCTCATTTGAAGTGTGACAACTATTGGTACCTGCAACTGTACAAGGTACTGGCATGAATTAGTTTTCTATTTAAAGGGGTGGTTGATTATAATTTCACTTTTCTAACTTTAGTTAGTGTGTAATGTTGCTGTTTGATGCATAAACAACATCTGCAAAGTTACAATGCAAAGGAAGATATTTGCTTTTAAAGAAATTGCTTTTTAAGGACTACAACAAACGGCTGGTAGGGACTACACAACATTCCTCCCGGGTTAGTGACATCACTAACCCTAAAATTTACATAAACCCCGCCCCCGGGAATGCGATTTATAGATTATCATGACAGAATATGCTAATCAATGACTAGAAGATAACTACACATAAGCTACATAAATTCATCAACTAACCATACAGAAATGTCCTGTTGTTTTCTACATATTGTCACTGTCTGACTCTGATTTGAACATAAAAGGCTGAAAGTTTTTGAAATTTTCAGTGCATGTCTGTGTTAGGTAAAATGACACAAGCTGTTGAAGCTCTGCCCTCTGTGCCGCGAGCAGCAGCTCATTTGCATTTAAAGGGACAGACACAAAAACGGTGCGTTTTTGCTCACCCTCAAAAAGTGACAATTTTAACATGCTTTATAAAAAATATCAGTGGGGTATTTTGAGCTAAAACTTCACATACACACTCTGTGACTTATTTTACATCTTGTGAAAAGGGGCATTATACCACCGCTTTAAAAGACAGAACATTTTCCATCTGTATTGGTAATTTGCCTTCCTATTCAGCAACACTAAACTGTGGCGTCCCACAAGGATCTATTCTAGGTCCTATTATATACCCAATATATACGGTTAGGCTCATTTGAAGTGTGACAACTATTGGTACTTGCAACTGTACAAGGTATTGGCATAAATTAGTTTTTATTTAAAGACAGAACTTTTCCATCAGTATTGGGAATTTGCCTTCCTATTCAGCAACACTAAACTGTGGCGTCCCACAAGGATCTATTCTAGGTCCTATTATATACGCAATATATATGGTTAGGCTCATTTGAAGTGTGACAACTATTGGTACTTGCAACTGTACAAGGTATTGGCATAAATTAGTTTTTTATTTAAAGACAGAACTTTTCCATCAGTATTGGGAATTTGCCTTCCTATTCAGCAACACTAAACTGTGGCGTCCCACAAGGATCTATTCTAGGTCCACTTATATTCTCACTTTATACGTTTAGGCTCAATATTCCACAAACAGTACTTATGCTACACATGTTATAGCTTGGAATAGGGTAAATCTTGGTTGGCAACATATATATATATATATATATATTGTTTTTTAGCTCAATGATGATAAGAAGAACATATTTATATCCCTTAACTCTGCCAATGAGATTAGCTTTCATTCAATGAATGTGCCTGATTATGTTAAACATCTTTTATATGTTAAATGCCATTATTTTAGACACTACAGATTGGATCACCCAAGATAGATGTACATATCTGGTGTAAAAAGGGTAGTTACCTGTCTGAGACAGCAATGGAGTGCTAGGCAATGCTGCCGAGTCATACATGGGGTGAGCTGGGACGGCCGGCACTGCAAAACTCTTGAGTGGGTGTGTGGGACGAACGTGTGCTGTGGGCGTAGCGAAAGCTGGCTCCTCCTCAGTGACTGAGCTGTGGTAGCTAATGTCTGTCTCTGAAAGGTCAGTGGTACAGGAGGGCTGCCCAGACGGAGGGAGCAGGTCGGCACTAGGGGTGTTCCTTACAGACTCTGTAATTACAACAGCACCTGGGTCAGCACATGTGAGGTTTTGCATGTGAGAAACTTACAGACTGACATCATTAAAAAGCCTGCTTAAAGTCAAGATGAATCCGCAATAAATTTTACGTATTTCTGAGTGAAACACGAAGTGAAAAGGGGCCTTTCCTTAGTGGACTAAATGATTTAATCAGTATGGTATGCGTCACCAGAAAGAAGTCTGCCATTTGACCAGAAGGATAAGGGTTTTGAAATTTTGATTCGATGAATCGTACTCAAGACCAATAACGTGCATTTAGAAAACAGATCAGAATCTTCATTCCATGTAGACTTCAAGAAAGTAAATAGGTTAACTTTTAATTTCATGTTGCCTTCAAATTGGTCAACCATCTAGAACAGCTTAAACCAGCTAAAAACCATGTAATACCAGCTACCACTTTAAGTTGGTTTCAGCTGGAGGGAATATGAGAAGTGATACAAATGTTATGAAGCTTTTACTCGTCTAAAGCAAGTGCTGAAGAAGGAGGTATGTTCACACAGAGAGAGATAAAGAGGGAAGTAAAGAGATTCACTACAATCCCTTGGTCACCAACCAAGTATACCTCAATTTTGAGAGGAAAGAAGAACATATTCCAGCTTCATATGGAGTGACTCAACGTGGACTTAGGGCCTTAACAAAGGCCCACTGATGCACTCTCACCTGTGGACTCTGCCCTGTCTAGATGAGAGATGGGGGTGGCGATGGACCGTGTGCTGCTCTGGTGGTGGAGATAGCTGCGTGTCGGCGAGGCCAGGCTGCCCAAGTGATAATGATGGTGATGGTTATCGAGGGAATGGATGGGGTGAGCACTAATCACAGCTGCGAACGGACACACATAATAGAGCGCCATGGTTTAGACCTTGCACACAAGGCTATGAGATTATGGAGAGCATGGTGCATCTATAACATCTGCTCATGCAAACAAAGAACTACAGAGACTGAAAGACATGCTAGGTTAATGAATTATTGTAAGACTAGAAACATACTCTAGACAAATGCAGACGCAAATGCTTGGTCAACTCGCTCTCGTTCTGTGGTGCTAGGAAACCTCTGTACTCAATAGGGGTGATAGTTACCTGTTCTTATTTATGTAGTTAACTATAAACATGTAGAAAGTTAAAATAACTTTAATTTGGTGAGCAATAAACTGTTGCTCGGCCATCATAGCAGTTGACCTGAACATTTTGATGCATTTTGAAACGCAACAACAGCTAAAGACATTAGCATCCATGTACTTGAGTAGAGTATGTTTTTTTTGGCCTACAACTACAATAATGAACTCAGGGAACCTTTTTTGAGGACTATATGTTATTCTAAAGAGCATAAACTGTTTAATATCCTAACTGAAAGAAAAGGGGTCTGGTCCCTGGTTCAGGATAATACACTTACGCTGAGGGGGTTGTGCATCAAAGGGCATCATCATTTTAGGTCTCATTCCCCGACGGCTTGCCAGTGTAGACATGCTGTCCTCTGATTCATGGCCTGCAAATCAGACAGCGACCAGCTAATCAGATTGAGACAGGCTCCTAATACAAGAGCCCTGTGAATACTACCAGCTGACTTCCTAGAGTAAGTTGCCAAGATCATGTGGTGTGTTCACTAATGCAGTGAGACTCTATTGTTTGTCCATTAGAGGGCAGTGTAAACGCACACATCAGAGAGCTGTAGGAGTAGGCAGCAGCAGATGGATATCACCATTCATGCCACGAAAACAAAAGAAACAAGGCTGCCCGTTTTTTTTCCATTTTAAGCAAGGAACATGCCAATCTCAAGCAATAATGACAAATAGAAGACGTGACATTGAAGCATCCATCAGAAGCAGCAGCTGGAATGATGTCATGGATGATGCAGCAGGTGAAGGTGGTTTAAAGACCCCATGAAATTGTTAGACATTTCTTTACTGTGTTGATGTATTTCCTAATTGAACCGGAAGTTGGGTCTTTTTTTAAATAGCCAATATCCTTCAGTTTACATCATAGCGTGGCAAAACAATGATTTGCAACATGGTGTTGGGGGGGGGGCTTTCCATTTTACCAGAAGAGCAATACAATAAATACGACAAAATATCTAGGAGTTTACTAGTATAGACCTTATGTAGCCCCGCCCCTTTTTAGCGCAGCGCTCATAGTGTTCAGTCTTCCGGTTTGTATTTCCACAGCATGAAGGTAAGATCTTACAGATTTATGAATGAACCGCTCGGATTGGCATTAGTTATGATAAGTAAATCATAAGTAAATCCACTTTACCAGCTAATTACTCTTCGATAGCAAAGCCATAGAAATATACAGAGCTACCGCAAAAAAACTAAAGTTCAAGCACAACATCCTAAACATGGCTGCAAGCTTATTTCTCCGGCATATAAAGATGGCCTTAACAGACCAAACTTTTTGATTTCATGGGGTCTTTAAATCACAGTTCTTACCACGGTACGAGTTGCGTCTCTGGAGCATAGGATCCATGGAGCCGTCAACCGGGGTGATGTCTTGGGAGGATCGGGGGATTGGCGTGTCGGTCATTACTGGATTGGTTTCGGGCGATTTGTCAATAGGCTTTAGCTCCAAACGTTCGTGGTGGATCCAGAGGTCTGGTGGCTTCAGATCTTTGGAGTTTCCCTTATACTTGTGGGATCCATTGGCGGACTTGCAGGCTGCACGTTTCCTGGAGATCATATCAAAGAGTTTGAGGGAAGGTTGTAGCAAACACATTTACCCTTACGCCAGGACTCGAGGATTAGGACTGCTCATCATTAGGAGATCTGAACTTGAACTTTGTGAGGAACTTACTTCTTCTGCTGTGTTGTGGTACGGCGTGTACACAGGAAGGCGCCAACCACCACCACAATGATGGTAAATGCTCCCACGGACACAATGATGACAATAACCAGGATGTGGTTATCACCAGTGCCAGACATGTCTGGTTTCCCTGAAACGTGGAATATCTGCGGTTACAACGTTATAAGGAAAGGAAAATTGATCAAGACAAACTGTTACTTTGTCAAATTCTTGCCTGAAAGTTTTTAAAGCCTTGAATGTTTATGACAGAACGACCTGACAGACAGAAACTGAGAGGGAGTTGGTTGAGTACTGCTATGTGGTTGCTTGGGCGTTGGTAAGCTATTGCTAAGTGTTTACAAAGGGTGGTAAAATGTAGTTGATAAAGCATTGCTAGGTGGTTGCAAGGCACTGCTAAGGTGTTGCTAAGGTGTTGCTAGAGTTGATGTTAGGGACTAGTGTAACATTGCTATGTGATTGGTGGGGCACGGCGAAGCTAGATGTTTTCTTGGTTATTAATATACTGTTGATGAGCAGGTTGCATGGCATTGCTATGATGTTACTAAGGTGTTGCTAGGTTTTTATGGGTGGTTGATAAAGACTAAGGGATGGCATCGCTAAACTGTTGCAAAGTGTTTGCTAGGGTGTTAATATGCTGTTGATAGGGCATTGCTAGGTAGTAGCTAGGTTGTTATTAAGGTGTTGCTAGGTTGTTGTACTACTGGGTGATTGCTATGGAATTGCAAAGCTGCTATGCTATGCTAAATTGCTATGTTTTTTTTTTTTGGGTGATAGGGACTATTGGGTGGTAGTTATGGCATTGCTAGGTGATTGGTAGGGCACTGTTAAGCTATGTGTTTACTATATTAATAATATACAGTTGATGAGCTTTGTTAGGTGGTTGAATGCCATTGCTATGGTGTTATTATGTACTATTAAGGTGTTTCTAGGTTGTTGGGGGCTACCGAGTGGTCGCTAGTGTGTTAGCATGTTGTTAATAGGGCATTGCTAGGTGGTAGCTAGGTTGTTATAAAGGAGTTGCTAGGTTGTTGGAGGCAACTGAGTGGTTGCTAGTGTGTCAGTATGTTCATGGTAGGCAATTGTAAGATGCTGCTATGGTGTTGCTATGTGGTTGCTACCTTATGAAGGTGTTGCTAGGTTATTGAGTTGGTTGCTAGGGCCTACCGGGAGGTTTCTATGGCATTTGCTTGATGATTGGTGGGGCAATGCTAAGCTGGAGATAGGTGTTTTCTGAGCATTGGTAGGTGGTTACAAGGCGCTGCTGGAGTGTTAATATGTTGTTGATAAGGTGTTGCTAGATGATTGCAAGATGCCGCTAGAGTGTTGCTAGGTCATTATTAAGGTGTTGCTATGTTGTTTTGAGTGGTTGCTAGGGACTGGGTGGGGTTTTCTAAGGCATTGCTAAGCTGTTGCTAGGTGTTGATAAGGTGGTTGAAAGGCACTCCTAAGATGTTGTTAAGTTGTTGTGGGTGGTTGCTAGGGATTACTAGGCAGGTGTTATGCCATTGTTCAGTGGTTGCTAGGTGTTTGCTCGGATGTTAATATGATGTTGCTAGGTAGTTGCAAGGGCGTTGTTAAGGGACTAGTGGGTGCTTGTTATAGTATTTCTAGGTGATAGTAGGTATAGTACAAAGGCGTGTTTTTGATTGTCGCTATGCTACATCATTGTTAAGCCATTGCTAGGTTACTTCCAGTGTGTCTTTTGGAAACTTACCACCTGATCCAAAGCCTTGATCTGGTGATGAGGGTCTTCCTAGTTTCACTGGTCCTGAAGCTACAAGAGTTCAAATAAGAAGAATTGGCAAGTGGCACAGGAATCTACAACTCTCATTTAAAGTCGTGTTCAATCCATTGGTAAAATAACATGCAGCTTAAAAAGATAAACCACCAGCTGCACACTTCTGAGAAGAGCATGACGCTCATCTTTTGAGAAAAACTTGCTTGGAGAAAGACTGTTAGTAGTATGAAGGTGTAGCCACGTGCATCCTACTGATAAATTCGGCAGTCAGGCAGGCAAATAAGATGTTTTCCAGCTATACACCAACTGGATCTTTCTGTGACTGCTGATGAATTTCAGTGCGCAGGGAAAACAAGCTGCTCACTTCTATTTGAGGACATTAGTGGAATAAGAGAAGAGAGAGCAATTACCTTGGTCATTAGCCATTTTGTCAGAGGGTTCGGCTAGCATGGCAAAGCAGGAGAAGAGACAAGTTAGAGGGAGAGAGGCGTGCAGTCAGAGCTAAGCATGAAAGATCAGTGATGTCAGGGTAAACGCAAAGGGTTAAAGGGATACTCCACTTTTTCTTAGTGCACGATGTAACTACAGAAGAGTCAAGTTTTAAATAGGAAAAATATCGAAACTCTTTGGTCATTTTTTTTTTTTAGAAATGCTAATGGTCTTGTCCACTTCAATGATCTATGCTAAGCTATGCTAAAAGTGGTACCGCCAGAACCGGAGATCGGCTGAATGGATTCAAAAACGGTAAAACTCAACAGTTTAACTCTGGGGGAGTTGTAAAATGAGCCTATTTCCAAAAAAAGTGGAGTATCCCTTTAAGCTTGAGATTAGGTAAAAAATAGAGTATATGTTAAAGGACAAGTTCGGTATTTTACACTTAAAGCCCTGTTTTAAGATCGTTTCTGATGAAATAGAATGGTTTAAGTGTAAAATACCGAACTTGTCCTTTAACTCTTTCCCCGCCATTGACGGAAATTTTCGGCTTTCCATGTTTTCATTTTTATATGGTAGGGGGCGCTATTATGCATCTTCTAAAAGAGTACTGAATCTCCTTAATACATGCGAAGAAGATGCAGAAACAAGCGATAGCATATGTAAGCAGATACATATGTAAAATAACGCGATAATCAACATTAAACAGCATATTAATCAAAACTGTCTAATGTTACTGAATGAAATGTCGACCCAGGACGAGCTACAGGACTGTGAAGCTTTGGGGTGTTGATGGACTCGATCTACTCCATCCGTTGCTTACCCAAATGTTGATAAAAAAAAGAAATACATGAAGCTAAAATAAAACAGGTTTTTTGTTTTTTAAAAAGCTTCTTTTTTTTAAACGCTGGCAGGGAAAGAGTTAACATAATTTTGCAACCAAACCCTGCAGGAAAGAACAGCATGCTAGTTGGTCTCTTCTGGCGGTTACACCAGTATCGCATCGTATCTTGGGATTCATATCCCTACATATACTGGTCTTTTCATCAGGCAGCAGTGATTGTTCTCATTCATCAGATGAAAAATGTCTCAGTGAATCAGCTGGTTTACCTTTAGGAGTGCGAAACTGGACAGCTTCAGACATGGGACCCATCCCCTTGGAGTTGCGCGCCTGGATCTTGAAGTAGTAGGTGGTATCAAGGGTCAGCTCCTGAATTTGATGGGTTAGCCTGTTTCCCACTACTGGTTCAATGACCCAATCATGAACCTCTGCATTCACATCAGTGCTGTAATAAATGATGTAACCTGGGAAGGCAGAGAAAGTGATACAGAGGCATGTTGTAGATGATTATATGAGGTGGTCACAAAACACCTTTTTTGGTCCACTGACTTCCATTCACGGGATGCAAATGCAGACGCGAAACGCAAGCTCACACACATTTCGCTGTGTTCTTGAGTTTAAAGTTAGTGAATTTTGTATCATGTGAAGACGTGTGACCCTGATACGTCACACAGTGACCTCTTTGCTGAAGCAAAGGATAGCAGTAAAGTGGAGTAGAGTAGACAAAAGAGACACCGCAGTCAAAAGAGACACTTTTGTGTGTTCAAAGTCTAGTGTGACTGTGGTTTAAGGCAAAATAAACTGTCACTGTCTATAACCGGTGCTAAATTTTTAATAACATTGTCACCTGTGATCTTGCCATTGGCTTCTGAAGGCGGCTGCCAGTTGACGATGATGGTTCGTGGTCGTCCCTCTTTGCTCACTACAGTCACATCTTTAGGTGCAGAACTTGGGACTGGGGAGAAAGACAAAATGATTCAAGACTACAAATAGAGAAATTCACTCACACTTGATGTTTATTTCAAAGTTTAATGCTCATTAAGTGCGTTTACATGCACAACAAAACAGCCAAAAATCAGCTTATTGTTATTACTTTTTACTTGATGGGTTATTAAACTGAATCTTCTCTTGAAAATGGCATGCAAGTTTTTTAAAACGATATAAAATTAAAATGAACGCAAAGCCCAAAGTATACCCCGACCATCCGTGTTTCTCAACGGTCTGCACACTGACCGCGTGACGTAATTTTCATAATGGTGCGTTCACACCAAACGCGAATAAAGCGTCTGGCGCGAGTGATATCAATGTTAAGTCAATAAGGGCCGTTACATAGTCAACGCGAGCAAGCAACGCGAGCTACGCGCTCCTTTTCATAGTACACAAGCGTCACCGGCGATGCGTGAAATGCAATACACCGATCGCGCAGCAGGGGGTAGTAGAGTCTAGAGTCGGGTCACGTAATATTCAGATCAAAATGGCAACTGAAGAGGAGTGCATATTGCTGATTTTACATCGGCGGCAACAAAGAATGTATACGAACAAGCTCGCATAACTTTTCCTCTTCGCCCGCCATTGTATTCAAATCTTCTTCTTCTGTAAACATAATAATATACCTTTTTATGTACATTACTGTACATACGCCCCCACCGACAACGCATAGTATTGCGTGCATCGGCGCGTCGCGTATCAAAAACTAGGATGACACATTTGGCTACGCATCGACGCATAATGGCGGCCGAAGCGTAGCGATGTGTAGCCTTGCGTATGCGTACCGATGCGTTGAGTATGTAAGGGCCCTAAGACTCGTTTACGAGCATCTAGAGCTCCTGCGGTGCGAATGAGGCGTTTAGCACGGCAGACGGGAATTCGCCTCATTCGCGCGTCAATTTCGCTTCAAACGCTTTCTTTTTACACGCGTCAATTTCGCTTTGGACGCGAATGGATTTAAAATGTTCAAGCGTCCAACTAGACGCGAATTTGACGATCTATTCGCGTTTGGTGTGAACGCGCAAGGTGGAGCGAGCGGAACACGGAAAATGAATTATAACCGGGCCTTAAAGGTGCTCTAAGCGATATCACGCGTTTTTTAGGCCAAAACATTTTTTGTCACATACAGCAAACATCTCCTCCCTAACCGCTGGCTGCCTGTCCCCTGAACACACTGTAAAGAAACGCGATCTCTGTAGACAGCCCAGGATCCACACACAGCAACAAAAGCAAACTGCGGCGACCCGCTCCCCAAAACATAACAAACTGTTCCAGCCAATGACCGACAAGAAGGTTTTGGGGGGTGTGGTTTGGGGGGTTAGTGTGCGGATGAGGAGGAGGGAGGGTCTAGCTAGCCTCCGTTTTGTTTGACAATAGTTCGAACGTCAACAAGAAGTGACGTCACCCAGGATCACTTAGAGAACCTTTAAAGGGTTAGTTCACCCAAAAATGAAAATGTCTTGTCATTAATCACCGTCATGCCGTTCCAAACCCGTAAGACTTTCGTTCATCTTCAGAACACAAATGAAGATCTTTTTGATGAAATCTGAGAGATTTCTGTCCCTCCATTGACAGTTTACGCAACTACCACTTTGACTCTTCAAAAAGTTATTAAAGAGATCGTAAAACTAATCATATGAATTGAGCTGTTTAGTCCAAATTTTCTGAAGAGACTCGATCGCTTTATTCGATGAACAAATTGAATTGAGTCTTTTTATTAACATATAAACATTCATCAATTCACACATCAGTTGTGGTAAACTCAATCATGTTCGCTTCATTCTCGAGTTACGCAGCACGTTTGAGCTTCTGCAAGAACAGATGAGGTTTGTTTTCGCGAGTCAAACAAGTGAGGTTAAGCTTCTGTTTATGTTTGCTGATCAATGTTTATATGTGAGTAAAAGACTAGATTAAATATGTTATCATAAAGCAGTCTCTTCAGGGAATTTGGACTAAACTAAAATTCATTTGGATTAGTTTTACGATCTCTTTATGAACTTTTTGAAGCGTCAAAGGGGAAGTTGCGTAGCTGTCAATGGACGGACAGAAAGCTCTCAGATTTCATCAAAAAGATTTTCATTTGTGATCAGAAGATGAACGAAAGTCTTAGAGGTTTGGGAAGACCTGAGGGTGAGTAATAAATGACAGAATTTTTTTTTTTGGGTGAACTAACCCAGAGACATAGACACTCATATGCTGCCTCTCAATTCGCAGACTATCCATCCTAAATAGTATTAGAAAAATTGAATTAGTACGTCCCAAATCGTAGTATGTTTAAATGAGTGTTGCAAAGAGACCCGGATGGTCTACTATATCTGAAGTGCAGATCGTTGCACACTCTAACGCCTGATATTGCCCACAACCCATCGCACGTTGGACAAGGATTCGGTTAGAACTACAAACACAAGTGAAAAGTGTTAAAAAACTACAGACATGGAGGACGCGCGAGTCCGACGGTTATGTAGAAAAGTTTAGAAAAAGGGGTTTGAGTGATTAATTATCAGTATCTAACCTGACGAAAATTTATTTCTTCAATGTTGTCCACATTATTTTGCATCTGCTGCAGCATTGTGAACTTTTGTAAAGATACGTTTAGCCATTAACTTATAAATGCATAATTATATTCAAATTGCAAACACAGGTGAACGTGCTACAAAATTTCTCTCCGAAACGGTAAGAGATTAAATTAGATTGAATGGAGGATTTTAACTGTGACGAGATGATTGACAGGGCAGTTTACGGTGACATGATCTGTCCGTTAAAGATGTCCCAAAGCTTGCCTACTCTTTTGCTACACACTCAAAAGTATGTACTTTTTCTTCACAATAAGAGTACATACTTTTAGGGCGTAGTATAAGTAGGCGAATTGAGACGCAGCCATAGACACTCTTACAAAGCAATTAGTATTCAGTCACATGACCATGCAACACAATCGCCGCAAGCTGCCCCATGTAGAGTACGTACTTGTTTCAAAAGTTGTCCCGTGTGCAGTCATGCTCCAGGTGCTGGTCCTCCGGGCCTTCGTCACCATGACCGAGAACTCATACAAAGTGTTGGGCTTAAGACCCACCACCGTGTGAGTAAGTGTGGTGGTATTAGCCACCTAAAATTAATAAATCAATGTCAGGGGGTGTAACAACCAAAAATGATCCACCTTATCCTTGGATTCGGTTAACCATACCTTAAACTTTGTGTTTGCAGGTATGTTGGTCTTCCAGCGCACCGTGTAATAGCGTGCATCTGTGATCTTCTGGTTCTTGGGCAGCGAGTTGTCCGCCCATGTGACTTTGATGTTGTCGTGGCTCAGAACGGACGCCTGAACGCCCACGGGAGGCAGCATGGGTAAAGGTTCTGGTACTGGAGTGTATGGAGCATGGAAAAGTTCGTACAAATCAACATCAGGGTCTATGGGGTCTGCAAGCAAATTACACAATGTCCCATGGAAAAAATAAAAAGGTGAAAGGTGAAAAAAGGGAGCACGGTTACGTGTACAAGGGAAGGGTTTTAGGACGGGAGACACGTAACGAACCGGGAGAACGGGTTAATGGGTTAAAATGGGAGTGAGGAGGGGAGGAATGTGGAGGTGGGATTGGGAAAGGGAGAAAGAGAGAAAATATTGTATTAGAACAGGACATCAAGAGACCATCCAGAGCTACAGAGAACTACATCTACAATGAGTCAAGGAACTACATCAGCTCGGTTCACTAGCATCTACATTACATACAGAAGAAAAACCACCAATCTTAAAAGGTTGTGAGGGATTGACTTAGTGTTTGGATAAAGGTCCTAGTACACGTCACTTTCAAAACTGTTTTTGTCTACTAATATTTTAAATTTTCCACCCTCATGTCATTCTAAACCTGTACGATTGCCTTTTTTCCCATTAAATTGTATTTAATTTTGGTCTGTTCTTCAGATAAACCTATTGTTTAGATTTGAAAGACTTGTTGGTAACACTTTACTTGAAGGGGTGTGCATAAGACTGACATGACACCTTCGTAATCATGACATGACACATGAGGTTTTATGCATGTTTATGACGACTGTCATTAAGTGTCATTCGCTCAATTATGACATTTTTAATGCAAATATGACATTGTTTGAGATGTCTTTGTCATGACAACTTGACATTACTAAGACAACACAATCTGTCATTAATATGTCATAAACATGACATAGCAGATTAATTATCAAACTTAAGAAACCACTTAGCTTTATGGGTTAACATTACATTAAACTGTCAGGTGGTTGGTTTTGACATTGGCTGTCATGAGGCCATTATAACATTTTAAATGACAAATTCAATGTGTACCACTGTAGTCGAGGTCAAGAAAAATATTCATGACACTGTTATAATGCCTCATGACAGCCAATGTCAAAACCAACCACATGACAGTTTAATGTAATGTTAACCCATACTTAAGTTTGATAATTAATCGGCTATGTCATTTTTATGACAGGTTATGATGTATTGGTTTATGTCAAGTTGTCATAACAAAGACATCTCAAACAATGTCATATTTGCATTAAAAATGTCATAATTGAGCGAATGACACTTAATGACAGTTGTCATAAACATGCATTAACCCTCCTTCATAATCATGACATGTGTCATGTCATGATTATGAAGGTGTCATGTCAGTCTTATGCACACCCCTTCAAGTAAAGTGTTACCGACTTGTTTATAAACGCACAAGTTTGTATCGTAACAAAATTTATTACACCTTATATTTCTTGTAAGTTTGGAAAATCTATTGAATTATCAGGATTAAATTAAACTCATTTAGTATGCAGCAAACAAAATGTTAAGATCTGTTGCTCTAATGAATAATAATGCTTATACTGCAATTTGACCAAATGTGTCCCAGGAGGAAGCAGAAAAAAAGGCTTTTATTTTTCTTTCCTGTCTATTCATTGTGGAAACAACGACCTTGTCTAGGTCAAGGCACTGGAGATGCACATATTTCTCCACAGCTTTATATCAAGCTAAATCTTTCAAATAATTTCAATGCGCGGTGCTGCACGGGTTTGCTGATATGATACTGTCAAATACAAATATATAGGGAATGAATCTGGAAGTCTGATCCTTTTATAGATTTAAAGCCGTTTGCCTGCCTTAAATCACCTGTTTTCCTAAACGCTCCCTCCAAGAATAACAATTCGCAGTGGGAAAATATGCTCACTTGCTTTTATATGTGTAAAAACTGAGAACACATTCTTTCTGGCTTGTTTTCAAATGGAAAAGTGGGGAAAAAACAGGTTATTTTCCAGAGTGATGAAGCAGACCTCTTTCACACAGCACTGTAAGTATGTGAGGTTGATCTTTGCTTGTTCCCTGGAACTCACTGTCAAACTAGCATGCAATGCCTAACATAACACTACATATATAGAGCAAAGCATTGCACAGTATTTCACTCATCGAACACCAGTGTTGTGCTAGTTACTAAGAAATAGTAACTAGTTAAAGTTACTAGTTACTTCATTCAAAAAGTAACTCAATTACTTTGTTGATTACTTACACCAAAAAGTAATGCGTTACTGTTAAAAGTAACTTTTTAGTTACTTAAAAAAAAAAACATTCTTTAATGTTCCCATTAATGCCCTTTTATGCGTTATGGTCTATACAAACACAAAACTGACTTAAACAGAAAGTAATTTTTAAACACTATTTTATTTGAGTCAGACCAGCACAAACTGAATATATCACAAGGATTTCTGAGGTGACTCGCTATGCTGACTCGCGATCTTCGCAGTAGATGCGCCAGAGAGAAAGAGAGAAAATTGAAAGAGAGAATTGTTCTGTTTAAAAGTAGACATGTCTGTGAGGCAAGTAGGTTACCTTATACGCCGAGTTTCGGTTCATTTATGAGACGAGCTCCAGTTCACGCGCCGGCGCCTCCATTTCGTGATTATCTATCGTCTGCTATATTTACTTCTTATTTATTAAATCCAGGCAATTGGTTGATGAAACATTGATTAAAATTAAGATACAATTAATACAAAACGAAATTCACTTTAAAGAAAGGTTTTGTGCTTTCTGTTTGATGTCTCTGCAAGTATTAAAGCATCTTTTAGTGCCGCTTGCTTTTATGTAAAATACGAGACAAATCGCGTCCCTTATTGATTTTATACGGACGCGTAATTTTACTTGTAAATACGGGACAATTCCGTATTTTAAGGGACGGGTGCTGTAAACAGGTTAGGCTGTAGGCTACACTTCAGCCAAAATTAATTAATTTAAAAAAGTAACGGACAAACGCACCATATGGTAACGGTAACGGAGTTAATTTATTTAAAAAGTAATGCGTTACAGTATGAGTTACTGTCAAAAGTAATTGCGTTACAGTAACGCGTTACTGCCCAACACTGTCGAACACACATACTGTTTTACATCCAGTAATAGAATATTAAAATCTCTTTTTCTATGCTAAACATGTCTTTATATCCTGGAAGAGGGAAAATAGTCACCTTTACCTCTTACTAAACATTCCTACATTCTCTCTAATGGTGGAAGAGATGCTTGTGTGTGAAGGAATGGGTAAGCGAGATCTTCAAAGCCCTCCAGAAGATTCCCTTGAGTTCAGTTAAAGGTAAACCAGGAGAAATGAGAAATGCCATGTACCCCATTGCATGCTGGGAGGTAATAAGAGTGTACCATTGATCAAAACGGCAGGTGAGAAATCATCCGGTGTTCAATAAAGTGGCCAGCTTTAGTTTTTCTCTCTTTCATTACTTGTCCAGTGTGAATCAAGTTCTCTAATTATTATTATTATATAGCCATATTAATATATAATCACAACAATTTGGCCACATTATGCAGCCCTACAACAAGCACAACAAACCTGTAATCTTTGTTTTTAAATCACAAATCACAATATCAGACAAATTGCAATTTAATAAATTAAAAATTAAAAAAGTAATGATTTAAATCAAATAATGCAGCCCTACTACGTTGTCAATCATTCAGTAGACAAAACAAGTTGAAGTTGATATAAGTTCCTATGAGATTTTGTTTAGGCACTATACCAAAAAATGGCCACCGGGTGACACACACATTTCATAGATTTTTATTTTTATTTTTTTTATTATGTGTTCTCTGTCACAATATCACTCATATCACAAACAGCCACCACATATGGAACCTTTTGACTATCAAACCTTTCCGACCATGGGTTTTGTCAAGATTATTATTTTTTTTTTTATAAAAAGTTAATACATTTAACAATATGAAACATGACCCCGCCCACTAGGGGGAGGAGCCTGCTAAAAGGTTTTAAAGTAGCGTTTCCGCTTGCGGGATGTTGAGAGTTAAGGGGTTAAATCTAATTTTGCACAAAAATGTTTCTAGTTGCTCAAGAAAAACTGTACTTGGAAAACATTTATCACTTCAGTTGATAAAAAATTTCAATTTCACCATGAACAACGAGATCACCAGTGTTTTATAATGTTAATTATAATCATGTCAGCAAAGTGACTCATTTCCTGTGATGTTAAGATGTTCCTGTACGTCAGATATACGAGCAGTGTTTAATCAAAGCTCTGCATCTCCATCATGCTCAGCGCTATTAAGCAGCCCTTCAGTTGTGAAGCGCAGATGGCTTTATCTGCATCTCATCATCATGACAATTCCTCGGGTTGCTAGGAAGAAAAGCATTGGAGACCACCGGGGTCTGCTGGAGAACGCTTACGACGGTCTCTAATGAGAGAACCACACACGCAAACACTTATGCATAACCGTAGCATCAATATGATTACCTAGAAAGAACAGAAATTCAACAGAAACTTAAGAGACTTCAATGAGACATGGCTTAGACTCCATTAAGTTTCTTGAGCTTTTGTTATTTTAAAATAAATGTGGCATCATCATCCATAGGGATGTCAATTTACATAAATTCCCATAATCGATCGCTAATTTAATCAATTAATTGCTAACCATAACCTCAACATGTTACTCAACAACCACTTGCTTAACCAACACAAAAAAGGCGTCGTTTAAAGGGGTGATGAACTGCGAAATCAAATTTTCCTTGAGCTTTTGACATCTAAGAGTTCATCATATTATAAGAATATCCTGTAAGTTTCCGAATTGAAAACGTCCTTGTTAGTCCAATAAAAGCTTTTATTGACACCAGGCTCAGCAAACGACTCGTTTTTCAAAGTGGGGAACTATGACGACAAAGAGGATAAAACACCACCCCCGCAGAAGAAGATCAACGCCTACTTCAACACGGCCGGTTTAGCCCCGCCCACCGATTCGCGCATTACACGAAACTCATTATAATATGCAAAACTGTTATCCACTCACAGCAGTGGGCGTTTACTTCCAAGTCTTCAATGCGAGACGCCCATAAAAACCAAGCGTTTTTCAAAACTAGGGTAGAAAATAGCCTATTACTTATTCATTTTGATGTTTTTGAATGTAAAAACCAAGCGAACGTCATAAGTTGACCTCAGACAACAATATAAAAAAAATTAAAAAGCCAGTTCATGACCCCTTTAAGCGTAGAAGCTTGGCTTTACAGTGAATATAGGGAATACGGTGGATTTACTACTTGAACACAATGTCTCCTTATGGTCTTAATGAAGATTTTGACATAAAGCCATTCTTATAATGAATGGCTTTGTGTCATGTATATGTCATAATATAATGTGTATTTATGTAGCCTATGTATTTGGTTGTGGATTTATATATATATGACATGTATATGTGAGTATGCACTGTTTCTTGGTAGTTAATTGCATGTTTCTGACTATATTTTAGGAAGTTATGTGCATATGGAATTGATTCTTGTGTATGTTGATAGTTTTTTCCATGCAAGTGTTCTCTTAATTAATTAATGAGTGAGGTTATTTGGCTTGTTTAGACCCAATCAAGCTAATTGAAATCACGGGGTGGGTCAGATTGTAAGGCCTATATAACTCTGTATCAAATGTGTTTTGCCAATTGCCTGAAGAAGACCCAGTAGGGTCGAAACGTTGCCTTTTTTATTAAAATATGGGAGTAAGTAGCAGTGTTGCGGACATTATAATCTTTTCAATATAGGGAATACGACCATCACTTAATAAGTGCTTTTGAATTCGCTGACATATTAGAAGTGCTCTATTTTCAAAGTGTGAAAAATAACTGCTTTACATGAAAATGTGATCTGTAAAATCATACATATCAGAATTGTGTCATATATCATTGAAAACTAGCATTTGCTAAGTTTTTGTATGAAAAAGCGCATCTAATTGACACGCATGTGTAGACTGAATACACATGATGCTTTTGCGCCACTTTTGGTTTGTAAGTTAACTTTGTGAAACATTAGTAAACGTTTATTTCCAGCAGGTGATCTGGAACGAGCCCGAACACAACATAAGACAAAGCAATACGACTTCCAGGAGTGTTTTCCAACGTCAATTGAAAGTTAAACCAATGGAAACTGGAACTGGAGTGGTTAGGGACGATGTGTAGAGACCAATCGAACACTGTTTTACAGCTTGGGTTGGTTTGATCGCACAGATTGACAGGTCTTGGTTTACCATAGTTTATTCTATGTACTTCTATTGTGGCGTTTACACAAGTAAGTAGTTCTTATGTTCCATAAAATTACTTCTTTTTTTTTGGACACTTGTTTAATTACACAACTACGGCGCGCTCACTTCATTTTCCTCCTGTGTCTGCCATGCGTGTGTACACACACACCTCAAAACTACACACTCCAATGATGAACTTGCTTAATCAACCATTTATACGTTTTGTCAATTAAATTATTATCGACAATTAGGGGTGTGCGATATATATATCGTCTACGATAATATCGTGATTTTTATTTTAACGATGTGTCATCTGACATTAACGAATATGTCTCACTTTACAAAAACACACACATACACTGCGCGCTTAGTCTATTAAAAATGTGTTTATAATACCTCTAATATTCCAGATAAGGGGGCAAAAATACCTCTGTATGTCTTTTATATTTATATAATTTAATATAGTCACATTTTTTTCCCTCCAAAAATCAGCATGATTACAAATGTGATATTGATTTTATACACCACCACACAGAATATGCAATCATTAGCATTCCTGTTATTAGGAATACAGCAATGCCAAACATGTTTAATGAGGAAGTGAATGATTTAAACTGTTTTAGAACGAGTATATTGAAGCTGTGTGTGTGTGTGTGTGTGTGTGTGTGTGTGTGTGTGTGTGTGTGTGTGTGTTGTGTTATATGACCTACCTGACTGGGGTCGTGTGATGGCGCTCTCGTACACAGGGATTCCCTCCCCCACGTTGTTGTAGGCCTTCAGTGTGATGACGTAGTGTGAGCTGGGATCTGGCAGGAGAAAGACAATCATTTAGATAATCAAACCCACAGCTCCACTGAGAGCTCAGACATATTCATCATCCTCGCAGGGGTGCAGATTTAAACACCATTATTGATTCTCGCTCGTGTAATTAGATGATTTGCGAAAACTGAAATTATGCCGTTTCTTCTGATGAATATTTTTTCTCTTTTCTTTAAATGTGATTACAACGCTGTGAAGAGAGAGGGGTAAATCTCCCACTCTCGAGTCCCACAATCCATTCACTTAGTTATGTTTCCTTTCATTCACTTTTATAGACAACAGAGCTGTTTAATGAGTGCTACAGTACGGCATGTTTGTCTGATAAAGATGTGAATTAATGTTCACAATGTATGATTAAGAATCATAAATTGAACATGTTACCAATTCAGTTACCAAAAAGTGCAGTGGTATTATTGCAGGTTTGGGGATATAGCGGTAACGTTAACCCTCAGACGGTCTTCTAAAAGGAAAATTTTCTGTTTTGAATTTCTAAAAATCACAGCTTTATCGGAATGTTATGAAACTTGGAGACTTTTCTGGCATTAGGTATGTGAACACACAAAAAAATTGAGTTCATGATCCGAGCATGCTAAGTGGTCGTAAAAAAAATAGTGACGATTTTGGTCTTCGGTCAACAATGACCCCCCCATAGGAAATAAATGGGAAATTGACAAAAACACAAAAATTATCTACAAATCGGCCACGATGAAGAAAAAAGTGCTCAGCAATGAAGGGGTGAAACTCTAAAACATCAAGAGTGAAAAACATAACATAATTAATAATCATAATTAATATATATATATATATATATATAATTAATATAATAATTATTAAAATTATTAAAATAATAATTAATAAAATGTTATAAACCTTGGCAAAAAGTATTATTTGAGAATTTCTAAAAAAAAATACATTCAATCCACATCTTAAAAGTAAGTAATTTGGTCCAAAAACAACTAGAATTCACAAGCATCTCCATTTAGAGCTATACAGGCATCTAGTGGTAAACCCATGCAATAACATGATTTATTTAATTTAATGTTTAATAAATTGATTTTTTTTTTCTTTTTTTTCTTTTTTTTTTTCTGAAAGCCTAGTCTCTATTTTAACCGAAAATACTGCATAGAAGATAGGGGTGGAACGGTACACAGAAGTCACGGTTCGGTTCATACCTTGGTTCAGACATCACGGTTCGGTACGATTTTGGTGCAGTTGAGGGAAAAGCAAAACAAAAATGCAGAAGGCATTGTATTTTTTAAATAAGTTTTATTAATAAAGGCATAGAACCAGTTTATTTGTAGTGCACTGACAATAGTTTTATATAATTAGTTTATTAATTAAATTAATAAAAAGACAAAAAGACCTTGCGATATGTTTGGTAATTGTACCTGAATTAATTTAAAATTATTTTGCTATATTTCAGATGAATATATTATAATCCTTAATTTTGATTAACATTATTAATTGACAATGTAACATTATTCTCATCTGAATTATAAATAATTGATTTCTGTATAAAATAATACTACCATTAAAAACACATTCGATTTTCTTTTTTTAATCAATGTAGAATGTGTGAGATTAGCGCTCCGAGGACAAGAAATTAAAACCAATGCGATATGATGAATGTCTAAAAGATGGGACCCACAGACTGTTTTGAAATGGAGTTGGATAAATATGTTTTGCTTTTAAAACAGTGTGTGTGTGTGTGTGTGTGTGATTTTGGTTGGGTGACAGTTGTAGGTTACAGTTTGCCAAGAGTTTACAGTGTGACAAAAGCACAATGTTGTGTTTTATTGCGAGTGTACACAAATATAAGTAAACACTTTGCAGGTTTAATGATCTGAACAAAATGACGGAGTATGTTTTTTATGTTTCCACTGTTCGATCGCGCGCCTCTCTCTCTCTCTCTCACACACAGTTCGATCGCGCCCGCGCGCAGTGTTGCCAGATTGGGACGGTGATTTCCAGCCCAAAAGCTCACCAAAACCCGCCCACTACAAGAAAAAACCGCCCAAAATTTTACTGCCAAAATAATGTGATATAATTTCATTACCATGTCGTTTAAGGTTGATAAGCACAATTGGTATCTCCTTAAAACAAAATAACGATGGTAAAATAAAATAAAAAATAAATAAATTTTCCAGCAAAACAGATCAAAACAGGGCAATAATTAAGGAGCATTAGCCAATATGACTAAAATGTCCAGGTGGACACTGTCAAAACGGCAATCAAGAAATGAGCCGATGACTTTAACCCTCGGAAGTACACATTGCAGAACATAACGCAGAATTTAGCAGTCAAAACGGATTCATCGTTGATTCAAACCTTTTTCAGCAGCCGTCAGGGACAAGTAGAGTGCAGTCTGGATGGTGTAAAGGTGCAGATGTTTGGTTAGGCTAGTGTGCACATATGACATGGACAGGAATCGTCCCATATTTGATTTCAATTCAAGTCATTCAACTGTGCTCTCCTCTCAGAGTTATATTCACCATAGAGTGATCTCCTTCTACCTGTGCGTTTTTTAGAGTTGCTCACTACTGTACACTCTTTTGTATAGTAGGCTATGTCACTTTGCCGTAGCGATCACTTGAAACTTCTCGCGCTCAATCGCGTCTGCCTGCGGATCGCTGATTGGCTAGAAGTGCGTGCTCGTCGGTGATGTCAACACTAACGCCAGCTGACTCTGCATGAGCGTGTGTGTACAGTATGTCATGATGACTGATTTTATGGACTACATGCACTTTAGTTTCGTTTTTTTTTTTAACCAAGACTTTAAAATGTAGATGTTTGAAAACCGCCGAAATGACCCCAAACCAGCCCAAATTTTGACCACCCGCCCAAACCCTTTTTTACCCGCACAATCAAATTCAAAACCGCCCAATTGGGCGGGAACCACGCGCCTCTCTCTCTCTCTCTCTCTCTCTCTCTCTCTCTCTCTCTCTCTCTCTCTCTCTCTCTCTCTCTCTCTCTCTCTCTCTCGCACACACACACACACACACACAAGCATTGCAATCTTGACATCGCAGCCTGTTCATTATGCGGTCACGGTCACACCAAACGCGAATAGAGCGTCAAATTCGCGTCTAGTTCGACGCTAGTCCAAAGCGAATAGGATGCCGTATAAAGCCAAAGTTTGAAGTGAACGCGCGTTCAGAGCTAAGCCGATGGTACAGATTATGTGTCCCTAAAGAACCCGCGTATCTAACAGTAGTTCCGCATTACATTAATTAATTTGCACGCGAGTTTTATTTATTTTTATACCGTGTATTCTCCGTGTAAATTCGTGCACCGAACCGTGACGCCCGTACCGCTTCGGTTCAATACGAATACATGTACCGTTCCACCCCTAATAGAAGACAAATAAATAAAAAATAAAAATAAAATAAAAAATTCATTATTTTCAATGGCAAAAAATTTACCATAAATATTGCATAAATATGAATAAGTTCAATCAAATTGTCTCAAAATACTAAATTAAAAAGAATAAATATTATAGAACAAAAATAAATTGCATTGGTTTTACTGGGATGGAGGAAGTTTCATTTTTAGGTGTCCGGTCACTTCTGACCGGGAAGGCCGAGGATGTGACTCCGAAACGAAGACCGTCTGAGGGTTAACAATAGTTAACATTATTTAACATGAACAAAGAATGAACAATACTTCTATAGCATTTATTAATCTTAATTAACGTTAATTTCAGAATTTACTAATACATTATTAAGAATAAAAGTTGTATTTGTTAACATTACCTCATGCATTGTGAACTAACAAACAAATGTACAGTAACACATGTATTGCTCATTGTTAGTTCATGTTAGTTAATGCATTGTAAATGCAAAATGTAAATTACTAATGAAACCTTACTGTAAAGTGTTACCGATATAGCAATATAGGAAAAAACATGTTTGCAGCACAATAAGAAGTTTTTGTTTTTGGAAATGTTTTATGATAATAAAATGGTATTCTTTGAAGTATCAAGTGCCATCTTTGATGCATATGACAATAATTTGATATCATAGTAGACATCAAAACAGCACAGTAAATCATAACCATCTTATATTCATCATTTACAGTGAGACATTTACATTTCACGTGCATCACACTATACAGGTCAGGTAATCTGTGATTCATATAGTTACATCTAAACTATATTTTTGTCTGGTTGATTTATTTAATATGACAAGTTCAACCTGACTTTATTATGATACACCAACTGAAATGTTCACACAACTTATTATAGACAAATAAATAAATAAAATAAATTGTATGTCAAAAAATAAAATAAAAACTTTTTTTTTGTTTTACAAGTTTTAATATAAACTTTAAAAGTTTTAATTATATATATATATATTTTACCTTTGTATACCCATCTTCAATATAAATGTTTATATATCTATTTTTCTAAAAAAGTACTTTAAAAATGTATTTGAAGACTGGAAATATATTTTCTTGCCTCTTGAAGCAAATTGTCCAAACAAAACAAAATATATTTTTAATCTGAAATATATATATATATACTGTAATTCCTTAATCTGTGCTGTTTTGCACTTAGTCGAAATCGTATTGGGTGCAAACAAAGCGTCATTATTATAATGAGGGGTCTTACTCAAGTTCTCAATGGTGTAGTATCTCTGTTTGTAGTCCACTTTAATGGTCTGTGCGTGAGGGCTGCCGATCCCATAGCCGATAGAGTAACCCCTCACCACGATGTCCTGGTTCTCCGGGGGCGTCCAACTCACTACGATGCTGTTCACCAGAGGCCGTACATGTAAGGAGCTGGGGACGTCCGGCACGCTTGTCTCTGAAACCAGAGAACGAGACAAATTACACTTTGTCATCCTAATCCAGCACCAGTTTTCACAGGATTCTGCCTGTTTTTACCGTCCAGATCGCTCTCGAACGTCTCAGCCGTGGTCCAATCTGTGGCGGGACCCGTGCCGTTCACCGAAATGGCCGCCACTCGCAACATGTATTCAGTGCCTCGCTGCAGGCCTGGAAAATATAGAAATAAACTCAATACAGCCGTACAAGCTTTGTGAAATAAATTTTGTGATTTAATTTAATATTCAACAATATTATTGATCTGTCTGCATTGACACCATTATATGAGAACTGAACTGAGCTGGACGATGACATCACGGTTTTCTCCAGAACGGCTATATATATATGTATAAATTACCTAATTAATAACTTTTTACAACAAAAATGAAACAAAACTGAGCTGGAAAACGCTATTTTCTTCTGGAAACAAACTTTGTTGCATTCTTATTACAGTTATCACTGTAAAGCTGCTTTGAAACAATCTGTATTGTAAAAAGCACTATATAAATAAAGGTGACTTGACAACTTTTTAGCTAAAACTGCACAAATTAACTAGATTTGCACTTTTTTTTTTCATCTTCCTAATGCCTGGTTCAGATTACACGATTTTTTTTGTCTGTTACGATAGTCACTGTGTCAGATTACGCGATTGTGACTCCTAAAATCTTGTCGTGTCGTGGACAAGAAACATGTCAGACTACACGTTGCTTCCTGACCAGTCATCCTGTGCCGTCTTTAACGACGCGCGTATTTATTCATTTCCAGGATATGAATACTTGATATCAACAATTTAATTTTCACTAGTTAAAATTATAATTATTGATATCAGGAATAATATTTCTACTAGTAACAATGGCAATTTTTGATATCAGGAATTACATTTTCACTAGTAACAATGCTAATTCTTGACATCAACATTTACATTTTCACTAGTTAAAATGATCATTCTTGATATCAACAATTGAATTGCAACTAGTAAAAACTACCATTCTTGATATCTGTAATTGTATTTTCACTAGTGAAATGTCACCATAGGCTGCCATTCAAAATCAATTCTTGATATCAAGAATTTATTTCTTACTAGTTGAAATTCCCATTTCACATATCAGAAATACAATTCTTACTAGTAAAAACCTTTATTTTTGATATCAAGAATTAAATTGTCACTAGTTGAAATGTCTATTCTTGATATCAACAATTGAATTGCTACTAGTAACAATGTTCATTTTTGATATCAATAATTCAATTTTCACTAGTGACAATGTTAATTTCTGATATCATGAATGTGATTGTTACTAGTAAGAAAGCCATTTTAGATATCTGAAATAATATTGATATCAGAAATACATTTTCAGATATCAAAAATGAAAATTTTTACTAGTAGCAATTCAGTTGTTGATATCAAGAATAGACATTTAGACTAGTGATAATTTAATTATTGATATCAGGAATTCGCATTTTTACTAGTAACAATGCAATTATTGATATCAAAAATTATATTTCTACTAGTAAGAAATCAATTCTTGATATCAACAATTGATTTTGAATGGCAGTCTATGGTGACATTTCACTAGTGAAAATACAATTGTTGATATCAAGAATGTAATTGTTGATATCAACAATTCATATCCTGGAAATGAATAAAAGTTAAAATGGCTTGCCATAGCGCGTGATGTCATCGAGAAGGCGAAACTAGTAGTGAGTGACTTCCGGAAACGAACGTAAACAAACAATGGATGAAGCGGTGAGTGTTGGCTGTCCTGTGTTCAGAAAAACGTAAAAAAAAGAAAGAAAACCCGACAATGGACACGTTCCTGGATTGCTCGAAGAGGACAGTATGGGCTGTCAATCCTCCAAAGAGAACTTGAGGTAAAATATTGTTTTCTGTTTCCTTTTAATAACCTTTCCTCCAAGTCATAACTCCACCTAGTAGCACAATCGTCTCTCTTTCGTTTCGCCATTTTTGAAAGTTGTGTACGGAAAAGCTTCTGTGCTCCTATTGGTCAACCTCATACATGTGACGGAACCCGTCGTGGACGACCGTTAAAAAAATTAAACATGCTAGTCTTTTTGTCGTGATGTCGTGAAGCATCGCAGACGCGACGTAGGTTGTCGCCCACTATGACACACTATACGAGATGATTACGATAGTAACAGTGAAGTACTACATCTCGATCAACCAGTCAGCTCATTTCTCTGGAAACAAACAGAAAGACGCTTCACTCGATAACCACACCCACATCATCATCATCATCATCATCATCACCGGCTCCTCTGTGCGACACACTGACCTACAAGCTACAGCTTTGCCTCGAGCGCTGATTTAAACACTAGACTGACATGAACAACTACAATTTGAGAATGCCTGCTGTCTTTAAATAAGCCAGAGGTTGTAATTGCTTTAAAATGTTAATAAGCGTCTGCTTAGAGCGTCAAATGCGAAAGGCAGAGCTGTTCCTACGGCCTTGTGGGATCTAGAAACCCATGTCTTCTTTTAACACACCACTTCAAGCCTTTGAACTGAGAAATATCTCATCTCAACTCAACTGGAATAGAAAACAGCCATTATGCTCTTTGAAGCCAAACACAGCGTGACACCCATGAAGCTGTTGATATCTATTTGGGATTTCATTTAATTTTTACTTTTTGTTTTATTAATGGATAGAGTTTGTCACTTGAGGATCTATTTTTGCAGGCTCCTCCCTTTAGGAATATGTCTGAGAAATTAGTTTTTCTACATGGGTAAGGACAAAATTTAACTGGTGCCTTCTAAAAATAAAATTGGTCAGCCAATATGGGATTTCCAGTGGGTGACTATCTAGAGTATCAATCATGTACTTAATTTGGTTAACAAAATCAACCAATTTAATTACATGACACACTAATTAATTATTCAAATAGGATCAGGGCACATGAATAAATGTGTAATTTTGTATTAATTGTGCTAAATGGACATATTTTTGTATTGTCAGCATATTTTGGAACAGAGTTATTAATTGGCCCAAGTGGCACGGTTATTAGCTTCAAAACAACTAAATATCTGTTAGTCCTGAGTTCAAGGTCAAGGTCAAGGTAGCATTTATTGTCTCCCTTAGGAGAAATTTGTTTTAGGGCCCTTTCACACCTACCTTGTTTGGTCCGGACTTTCGGACTTTTCAATTTGGTCCGAATCAAAATTACAGGTGTGAAACCTCCCCCGGACCACGGTCCGGACTAAACAGATGAAATTTGGTCCGACGAAAAGAGGTAGTCTCGGTCCGGATCAAACTGAGCAAAGGTTTGGTGCGTTTCTAGTGTGAAAGCATTTCTGTATGGTTCGGACTTTCAGACCTTTGCAGGAAGATCCGGTGGTTCCCGCATAGCCGAAAAAACTGAAGGTGGCAGGAGAAATGAGCCGTGGCACATGGGGAGAGGAGGAGACGAGGTTTTTAATTGAAGTATGGTCTGATGACATAATAAGAAGTCAACTTGCAGTCTTCTCCTCCTTTCCTGCCGGCGGCGATAAAATGTTCGCACGACGAGGACGTTCATTTGGCGAATTTGGACTAGCCTTGTGTATAGTTGGTGCTGCAGGAAATTATGCCATAAAAATAACAATATAGTTGCAGCGATATGCGTCTGTTCATTCATGTTGTCAAAGTTACCCGCCGAATTGACAACACGCTGACGTCACGTCCATTTACAAACCAATCAATGTCAAGATGCAGCCCACACAGATGATGACGACAGGACGCGAGTGTGTCACGTAAAGTCCTTTAGTGCGCTCGCAGAATTGCAGTGTGGAACCAAAACTTTCTAAAAGTATAAAATGTATCAAAACGTGAACTTTGGTTCGGACCTTGGTGCGGACTTTCAGGTGTGAAAACGCCCTTAAAGTCTTAAATTTACCTTCATAAACCTGCAGAAACCCTAATGATTGGTTTGTTGTATCCCAAGTCTTCTAAATCAATATGATAGCTTAGTATGAGAAACACACTGAAATTAAATCTAAAAACTGAAAAATCTCGACGACTGATTTGGAGCAATGTTAGGATGAACGAGTCTTTATTTCAGGTCTATAACAGTGTTTAAAGAAAACTATGTGTTACACCATGTATCACAGTGTATTTAGTAATATGAGTAAATAGTATGGATGTGTAAACATTTTCTCTGCGATAGGTGGATTCTACCAAAAAAAGTTACCACCAAACCCGGAAGGAAGAGCGCACGGCATTGACCCGTGAAACTCATGCCAAGGCCGACACCACCAAATCCCAATGTCAAGATGCAGCCCACACAGATGATGACGACAGGACGCGAGTGTGTCACGTAAAGTTCTTTAGTGCGCTCGCATAATTGCAGTGTGGAACCGAACCAAAACTTTCTGAAAGTATAAAATGTATCAAAACGTGAACTTTGGTTCGGACCTTGGTGCGGACTTTCAGGTGTGAAAACGCCCTTAGACATGAGCTTACCATCAGTTTGACATGAGCTTACCATCTATGAGCTGATAGAGCTGCGATCCTGAAGTGATCTCCGCCACCTCGCTCTTCCTCGTCCCCTTCCTGTAGCGGATCTTGTAGCCGATGATCTCACCGTTCTGAGCATCTGCCGGTGGAGGTTGCCATCTGATCATGATGCTCTATAAAGTTAACAGTTGGGAAAACCAAAAGATATCCTCAGTATGACACGTTCTGATTTCCTTCGACGGCAATAAACACAGCCGCTGCATCCGAAAACGAAAACTTCCTGACTATATAGTAAGAGTACGCCAACTGAGTAAGTTAGTAGAGCTGCACAATTAAAAGATTACGACCTCGATTCAAACACCCACATGATCTCGTTCATAAGCGACAGCGATTCGGCTATGTCTGTTAAACCAAATCTGCGTTTGCACTGCCGCTGATCCAGATAACGCAGTTGTTGTGTATATATAAACAGATTCACTAGCTGTCTTTTCAACCACACAATATCATTATTTCCGTGTTATAAAATATTCAAATGATCACAGAAGAACTGGGATAAAAGTTCATAGTTCAGATATAAACACTGATGTCTACGGTAGCGATCAAAATAAAGCAAATCACCTTTTGAAATTAACATAACGCTTCAAATAAAGATTGTATCGATTACATCGTTACACCAGTAGGTGGCGACACGTGACTGTTAAAAAAAATCATTGTATCATTCATTCAAGAGATTCGTTCAAAAACGCTGATTCATCAACCAATGAAACAAGTCTTTATGAGTGAGTCGTTGAATCATTTTTAAAAAAAATAATAAATTCAAATTAATTAAACATTTGCAATAGACTGTAGCACTTAAAATTTTGCCAGAACCTCTAGTAAATTAGTTTGTTTAGTTGTCTGTTCAGAATCATGATCTCCATTTGAAACCAAAAAAAAAAAATCATGATTCTCAATTTATCCAGAATCAAGCAGCTCTACTGAGTAATATGACCGAATACATAGTATTCGAAAAACAGTAGGCGAAAAGTGACCTACTACTTATAGTGAGATTCTGAAGTGCGCATTCAATGGACACTTTACTATCCCATGATGGACACTTTACTATCCCATGATGGACACTTTACTATCCCAAGATGGACACTTTACTATCCCATGAGGCCGTGAAGGGACGCAACTGACGGCGTAGGTCACATGACAATGACAAAATGGCGAATGTAGTTCGTCCGAATTTCATTCACAACCCAATATTCATAGCTTGGATGCCAGCCCGAACCCCGCCCACAACATTTTTGGTCGGGAAGTTCGGTCTGGACTCGATCCATTGAGGAGTAATTATGATCGGTTCAGAAATCGTCGGTCCAATCAAATTGCCAGGGCGGGCTTTATACGATGATGGACAGATGATCTGCAGTTACGTAATCATCACGTTATCAAAGAGCGCTTGGGTTGAACTGGTTTCCCTCAGAGATCACTGCCGCTGGAGAACTGAGATGTATAGATTCAGCATCGCGTCTGTTGTAAAAGAAATCGACATTCATTCATTTAAAAAGACGAACAGAGAACTGCAATCAAGGCATTTGTCGATCGGAAAGATGTGTTTGCCGTCCTTCCTACGGGATTCGGCAAAAGTTTAATTTATCAGCTGGCTCCGATGGTCACTAAGAAGATGGGACGCAATGAAAGCCCTGTGGTCGCTGTGGTTTCTCCTTTGGTCGCACTCATGGAGGACCAAGTAAAAGAAGCAACACTCATTATTTTACTACTTCTTCCAGCGTGCGTGTAGTTGAGTTCTGTTGACAACTATGCGTAGCTCAACATACGTCACTTACTGCGTTGCTCTGATTGGTTGTAGGTCTATCCAATTGAGTGCAGAGTTTTTTTTTTCCTGGTTCGGTTAAGACACATCTCATAATCAAAGCCCAATGGAGCAGTATCAGACTCACATTCTGACTAGAATATGAGAAGTCAGGCTACAATATTCATACCATACAGAACATTATTTTTTAACGGTTGCAAACCAAATTTAGTACCAGTATGAGATTTCTAACACAGTGAGTATATTAGCGCTGCCATTTATTCATCAGCTTCTACATGCAAAGCCACCATAGTAACAAGCCTGAGCACAGGCATCTAACCCTAAGTCATTGTCTCCCCGAGGCATCCATTACAGAACGTGATCGTCTTCCACATAAAGCATGTGCAAGTATATCAGTCCCGCAACAGAGGGCATTGGGAGAGCAGTGGAGGCCGGCCTGCACCGAACCCATGAATAATAGATAAAGCTGTGAAGTGTAGAGGAGCCTGAGGGACTGAAGCTCGGGATAGATGGAGGAGGCCTGCGGTGCATGCTGGGATAATGAAGGCCGCCCAGCGTGGGTGGGGAATTAATTAATAGTATCCACAGTTGCCGTGTTCACGGGGCATGAGGGAATCAACCATATTAAATCTGCACCAAGTATGCAATTACTGTATTTCAATTTTCTACCAATTCCAGTTTACCCTGCTAACTGCTGCTTGTGTCTTCAGCAAAAACAAACTTGTTTTAATTGACTTATGGGTCACAGGGGTGTGCAAGGTGGTACCAGAGTGGGTCACTGTGTTCATTACACACACCCGGATTGAATTCCCCCTGTCTGTTGCGTAGCCCATGCATGGGGACCCGATACAGTCCGCGGGATCCCGCTAATTAACCATCTTCTCATGCAATATACAAAACTGAGAGAAGAAAGCTTCTGCCTGGGACTTAAAGCCTTCATTATTATTCAGTGCTAATTACTGAGCCATAAAACCCATTACAGGCTTGAAAGTGTGTGGATCTGTGTGTAACCATAATGCAAATAGACTTTAATACTACTGGATTGTTACAGTTTTGCGGTTCTGAACAGTTGCTAGTGTTTAAGTCTTGACCTATTGATGGGTTTGAAGTATTTGTTAAATGTTGAATGTATTTCTAATCACCCATACTTAGTACACACACGGTAGGTGCTATGTACTATACAGCAAATCACACTTTATTGTACAGGCCTGTTCTACATGTACACACTATGTACTTATTACAATAACTGGGTACTAACCCTGAACCTAACCATAACCCATTAGTTGCTGTATATTACCCAGTACTTAGTATGCTGTAAGCGCGCGTACTGTACAATAAAGCGCAACCCAAATACCAACTGCTTGATTGTTATATTGTCAAAAAAAGTTAACTATAATTTTGTCCAGCGATATATTAACTCTTTCCCCGCTATTGAAAGAATTTTCCGTCATTTATTACACAATTCCCCGCTATTGGCTTTCTGTGTTTTTGCTGTTATACGGTAGGGGGCGCTATTACACACTTTCTGAAAGAGTCCTCAATCTCCAGTAAAATAAAACGCTGACTGGACACTTTTTTTTTTTAAACGCTGGCGAGGAAAGAGTTAAAAGTTATATATATATATATATATATATATGCTTGATTGCTTGTATCGTCACATAAAATATGTAAACTATATTATCGCCCTGCTCTAATCTGCTAAATGCAACTATAAGGCATGAACACATTATAAACAAACATCACGATTTTCTATTACTAATAATAAACCATGTCTATAATTAATAAAAATACTAATATTACTTTTTATAGTGGTTACTTGTAAAAAAAAAACATTCACACAAATGTATTTAAATTTATTCTTTATCACTGGCATATTTTGGCCATTAATGTTTTTTGTTTTATTGATTTATTTATGATTATTGTGAGATAATTATTATTGTTGTTGTTGTTATCTGTATTGATGCTTCGGGGATACTGTCTCTAAAATAGTCATGGCAATAAATAAAAAAAATCTATAATGTTGTGGTCCTTAAATATGGCTTATGCTCTTCATCCTAAATCTTCAAACAAATCGATGTCAGACTCTTTGAGAACTGAGGTGCAATTATATTACGAGAAAATTAAAGTGTTTTTTTTGTTTTTGTTTTTTTACCATGGATGCATGTAAACCTATTGTATGAGATTACAATTATGAACTTTTAAAATACCATAATAGGGGCACTTTAACACTTAGGCTTAGGGGTTTGATCAAACTCTAAAAGCAAGTCATTCTTGCCTTAGCAAACGCCATGAAATAATAGTGCTAAATGCATTTTCACAGCAAAAGACGCTTGTCTGTATATGACTAGAACAATAAACACACTCATGAATAAAAACAACAGGAGGAAGACTCATATTCCCCGGCAGCTAAACAAATATAAATTGTATCTTGAGAAAGAGGGGGAGGAGAACACAGAAGAAGAATAAATGAGGATGTGAAGCTTTGTGACAGTGCACAGATGTGCAGTTAAATCTTCATCAGAGCTACTGTACACTTCACTGTTCACTGTCATACAGCCTTACCTTCGAGTTCAGCACTTCAACCGTCATGTTCTGTGGCGGAGCGCTGGGGACTGAACACAGGGAGGACAGGGTTACTTAACATTTATTACATGGGTCTACTGCATTCTGATTGGTTAATGCCAGTACTGAGCAGTCAAATCGTTTTATATATCAGCGATTCCCAAACTGTGGTCCGTGAGGGTACTGCAGGTGGTCCGTGAAAAGGCAAAATAAAATATAAAATATTATTTTTTTACCTTCATTTTACCAGAAAATTCCCATAACAAAAGTAAAAAGAATATGTAGGCCTATATTTATATAAAATGTAAATTAAATTGTCAAGTTATTGTGTGATTACTAAAATAGGCTAGTGGCGCTCGGCCGTGACGTTCAAGCTCAGTGTCGTCAGAACCACAACATGGATCGGTGAATAGCAACAGGTTAGGTGAGCATTTATTTAGTTGTTTGTTTTTAATATAGGCCTATATTAGACAGACGATACAAAGAGGAAGGGAAAGATGTGGAGGGTGACAAAGGAGGATATTACGTTCATATTGGGCTGGCAAATAGACTCCAATGGCTTTTCCTTTTGCCAACTTTCTTTTATTTTTAACCTGGAGTAACGTTAGGCCTACGTTACTGTGTTTTCATTAAATGTGTATAGGGCAGAGGCAAATATGTTCTCATTATCACATCACATGCCATAGCCTTTATAGGCAGTTTAGGCCTATATGAAACGAAATGTTTATAAATGGAATGAATAAGGCCTGTTATTATTTTAATTTCCAGTTAATGTTAGTTTCTTGATCTCGTGTTTCTGAAATGTTTTGCGGATGTGCTGTTAAGTGGACAAACTCAAGCCTACTTTTTGAGGACTTACGTTAATAATCTCCTAAAATCGCCAAAGGCAGATATGCACGATAGGCCGATAGGCCGTTGTGTGCAGTAAACTGTCTTTAACAAGCTTGTTGTACTGATGTGATGACCAGTTATAGTTTTAGTGCTAGTTAGCCTATTTAGAAGTGTGGATTAATTCAGGTAGGACTGTGTAGACATATTTTATTATGTGTATTATGAGGTGGTCCGCGAAAATTCTTAATTACAAATAGTGGTCCACGCACACAAAAAGTTTGAAAACCCCTGTTATATATGACCACTAAACTATATATTTAACTATTGTGAATGGCTACTTTCATGTTTCTCAAAGCACTATGGCGTCTACTGTATATTCAGGGCTTGACATTCAATTTGTTGCTCTCCAGCCACTGTGCAACTCAACATTTTCACAAGCCATAATTTTGACATGGGAAAAAAATGGCATAGATATTTGTAATATTATCTTGTAATATTATTATATAATTCGGCAGCAGGTTTATTAGGCTGCTGTCACTTTAAGACTTGACGCACGGATCCATTATACTGTTACACATGCGTTTTCTTTCTCAACTGTTTACGTTCCCTTAAAACATAACTGACTGTGTTTACGTGAATACTGATAAAGACCGGCATTTTGACTTTATTTTGTGTGCATTTCACTATTTAAGCGCAATAAGCAGCAAAAAAGAACTCAATTTAGTCCTTAGAAACGGCTTTATGTGCGCACACAAAATCTGCGGGAATGAGTAAAACCATGCGCAATACGTGCAATCCCATGCCGAAATTCAAGCCCTGTAACAGCAACAATATTCATCAAATGAAACGAGTGAGTGAGGAGAGGCGGGTCTGTGTGTCACTCGCTGTAGGAGAGACGAGAGAGAGAAAGTGCAGCTCGTATCGTGTATCTATTCTGCGGAAAATTTGTATTGGAAGCGTTTACAATATTTCAGTATCAATATGTAACGAAAAATCGATTTTTGACAACACTACATTGCACTTAGGTTATTATTTCAGATAGCTTTTTAAAAGACTACAATTGAACATCCCTCATATCGAAAATTCATCCCACCAAAGTGGCTAGAAGGAGTGACTGCGTTACACACACCACTGATGAAATCCGGTGTACTAGAAAAGGTAGTTAACTCCATTTCACAATAACCGTAAGAAAAATGGCCTAATTTTACAGTGAGCTTAAAAAATTTAACAGATGTCTAGAAGCTTACGAATCCCAGTTGAAGTATATCGTAATAACTCCAAAATACAGTTTCACGGGAGGTAACGAACCAGTAATTCACTCAGCATTGACAGGTATGGCATTAAGTTATTTTTGGACCCTGCTGATATTGCTCTGTTGACGCAGCTACAACAGGGATATAGATGATAGTTGGTTTATTATTGCCTAGTAGAGCTATACCCCTTATCATGGTTATTTTGGAGTGGTGGAAACTGACTAGCAAGACGAAGCAAAAAGAGAAGATTTACTGTACCATCCGAGTATGTGCGCACAGAAAGGTCCTCAGTGGAGACCCCAGGTCCATGTTTGTTGTAGGCCACCACTCTGAAACTGTACTCCGTGAACTTCTTCAGGCCAGTCATGGTGTAGGACAGTGTGTTCACATCCAGATCCTGGTGAGAGAAACACATGTCAGAGATATAGGCAGCGAATGGCGGAGTTATTATACACAGAGACTGCACCGATATAGAAATGTAAATATTTTGACTGATACGGACAATTAGACATTTTATTATATAAATATGATATAAATATACATGTGTATAATACATGAGTGATATTACAGAGGCTGGGTGAAGGTGGAGGTGGAGGAGCAGGTGGAGGTGAAGGTGAAGGAGGAGGTGGATGTGAAGGTGGAGGAGGAGGTGAAGGAGGAGGTGGATGTGAAGGAGGAGGTGGAGGTGAAGGAGGAGGTGGATGTGAAGGAGGAGGTGGATGTGAAAGAGGAGGTGGAGGTGAAGGAGGAGGTGGATGTGAAGGAGGAGGTGGATGTGAAGGAGGAGGTGGAGGTGAAGGAGGAGGTGGATGTGAAGGAGGAGGAGGAGGTGAATGTGAAGGAGGAGGTGAAGGAGGAGGTGGAGGTGAAGGAGGAGGTGGATGTGAAGGAGGAGGTGGATGTGAAGGTGGAGGAGGAGGTGAAGGAGGAGGTGGATGTGAAGGTGGAGGAGGAGGTGAATGTGAAGGAGGAGGTGAAGGAGGAGGTGGAGGTGAAGGAGGAGGTGGATGTGAAGGAGGAGGTGGATGTGAAGGTGGAGGAGGAGGTGAAGGAGGAGGTGGATGTGAAGGTGGAGGTGGATGTGAAGGAGGAGGTGGATGTGAAGGTGGAGGAGGAGGTGAATGTGAAGGAGGAGGTGGAGGAGGAGGTGGATGTGAAGGAGGAGGTGGATGTAAAGGTGGAGGAGGAGGTGAAGGAGGAGGTGGATGTGAAGGTGGAGGTGGAGGTGAAGGAGGAGGTGAAGGAGGAGGAGGAGGTGAAGGAGGAGGAGGAGGTGAAGGAGGAGGTGGAGGTGAAGGAGGAGGTGGAGGTGAAGGAGGAGGTTGATGTGAAGGTGGAGGTGAAGGAGGAGGTGGAGGTGAAGGAGGAGGTGGATGTGAAGGAGGAGGTGGATGTGAAGGTGGAGGTGAAGGAGGAGGTGGATGTGAAGGAGGAGGTGGATGTGAAGGTGGAGGAGGAGGTGGATGTGAAGGAGGAGGTGGATGTGAAGGTGGAGGAGGAGGTGAAGGAGGAGGTGGATGTGAAGGTGGAGGAGATGAAGGAGGTGGAGGAGGTGGATGTGAAGGTGGAGGAGGTGGATGTGAAGGTGGAGGAGGAGGTGAAGGAGGAGGTGGATGTGAAGGTGGAGGAGGAGGTGAAGGAGGAGGTGGATGTGAAGGAGGAGGTGGATGTGAAGGTGGAGGAGGTGAAGGAGGTGAAGGAGGAGGTGGATTTGAAGGTGGAGGAGGAGGTGAAGGAGGAGGTGGATGTGAAGGTGGAGGAGGAGGTGGATGTGAAGGAGGAGGTGGAGGAGGAGGTGGGTGTGAAGGTGGAGGAGGAGGTGAAGGAGGAGGTGGAGGTGAAGGAGGTGGATGTGAAGGAGGAGGTGAAGGAGGAGGTGAAGGAGGTGGATGTGAAGGTGCGGGAGGAGGTGAAGGAGGAGGTGGAGGTGAAGGAGGAGGTGGATGTGAAGGTGGAGGTGAAGGAGGAGGTGGAGGAGGAGGTGAAGGGGGAGGTGAAGGAGAAGGAGGTGAAGGAGGAGGAGGTGAAGGTGAAGGTGGATGTGGAGGAGGAGGTGAAGGGGAGGTGTAGGTAAAGGGGGAGGTGGCGGTGAAGGAGGAGGTGGAGGTGAAGGAGAAGGAGGTGGAGGTGAAGGAGAAGGTGGAGATGGTGGAGGTGGTCTCTAGTTTTACCTGCTCAGTGTCCATGCCCTTCTCCATGTGATAGATCTTGTAGTTTAGGATCTCTCCATTGCCTATGAGGGGCACGTCCCAGCTGAGACTCACTGTGGAGGGGGACGTGACCACTGCATGAAGGTTAGGAGCAGGACCAGGAACCTGGACTATTACATAGAGAGAATGGAGAAAATTTTGAAAAACAACATTATGAAAGCACTGTGTGTGCATATATATAAACAAAATTTGTATCTAATTTTATTTTTATTCATTTTTTAATTTAATTTAATTTAATTTAATTACCGCCACCTTTTGTCTGTCACTGTTTTTCTCTGATATGTCCATTGTTGCTTTGTCAACCTTGTTTGTAAAGCAGTCACGCCGATAAAGCGCTTTGAAATGGACGTGAATAGAGAGAGTGAGATCTCTCATGACAGTGGTGTGTCGACAGACGCCTCTATAACACACACCAGCTCAGGCTGCAGGATTGACGTGATTTCATTTGCTCAGCAGAGCGGAGAGGATGGAAATGAGATTCTATGTTGCTTAACTTTTGTTTACTTGCTAGGGTCATGAATCATTACATTCAATTATAGGCTCCGACGAGTGTCCGCTAAATCTGTTGTTTTCCAACACGCTCACGTCTGACATGCCTTCAGGGACTCATCATGAAGGGCCAATCCAAGCTGAGCTCTACATTACATGAAATATAATATAATATAATATAATAGCATGGACATTAAACAGCTGAAAGATGGCCAGTAGTTATTGAGCCGACACTTTTATCCAAAGCAACCCACAATACACTTATTAAAGAGACAATCCCACTGGAGAAACATCAATTGTTCACTAAAAAATTTAATACTCTGTCATAATTTACTACCCGTGTAACTTTACTTTTAAATTATGAATAATGTTCACGCTGCTCTTTTCCATAAAATCAAGCATAGAGTGCTTTAGCATACTTTTAAAATGAGTACTTACTATGGAAGCAATATACTTAAAAGAATATGGAAACTAAATGTAAATGTTATAGAACACTTAATTGCATGTTTAACTGGAATTACATAAAAATAAATTATTATTTAATGCAATTAGCTGAAATATAGAGTACTTTTTGATCCACTTAAGCACATCTTTATATGTAATTTCAGAATTTCCTCCTTTGTCTTTGAAATATTGTAAAAGCCTGCTGCTAATTGTACTGACAAATTATGTGCTTAGTTTAGTGTGTTATTCAACAAGTACCGTAAGTGTATTTCTTTAAAGCACAACAAACGACTATTAAAACAAATTGATTTTAATTACAAATTGCACTTTTTAAGTGTACTTAAATGTATTAAGAAACAAAATCATGACACATAAAGTGGCCTTTTACAGGTGAAACTCGAAAAATTAGAATATCGTGCAAAAGTTAAAAGGTGAAACTAATATATTATATAGACTCATTACATGCAAAGTGAGATATTCCAAGCCTTTATTTGTTATAATTTTGATGATTATGGCTTACAGCTTATGAAAACCCCAAATTCAAAATTTGAATATTGTGAAAAGGTGTTCATAAGCCATAATCATCAAAATCATAACAAATAAAGGCTTGGAATATCTCACTTTGCATGTAATGAGTCTATATAATATATTAGTTTCACCTTTTAAGTTGAATTACCGAAATAAATGAACTTTTGCACGATATTCTAATTTTTCGAGTTTCACCTGTGTATATCATTCATATTATATAATCTGCAAGTAAAGGTTTTTATATATTTTAAAGATTTGAAGTGCACATTAAATGCAGATCAAATGGTTCATATGATTCACACACTATATTCCAAGTCTTCTAAAGTCATACAATCGCTTCACGTGAGAAAGACACTAAAATATAGGTCACTATTTGCTGAAAATCACCACAAAGTGATCAAAGTAGACTTGGAAAATAGCTCACAAATATTATGGACTACTGCTATGGTGCCTTTATGTCCTTCCTGAAACATGACGGTCTCCGGTCACTTCAGTAAACACACACTTTCACTGTAATGTGAAGAGCAACATGAACGGTCCTCATATTGAGCTCCACAGGGGCTTGAACCACTTCACCACACGTCTGCAACAACTCTACGACTGCATTCATCCGGTTGTGTTTACACTGAACCATCTGTCATATTCAAGCTCTAATATAAACTGCATTCCATGTCTTACATGACTCATTTTGCGAACTTTGATCACGCGTTTCTGGCATCTTGAGTGAGAAATCGCTTTATCTCAGTTCCACAGACATTCGTTCTGTCCAACATCAACGGCTGCTTCTGATACCGGGATGGGATTAAGTGCGTTCGACGAGTGTGTGAGTGTGTGTATAGATGACTTGTGTTCAGATTCACCAGGATCTCCACGCAGCAGGAATCCCGCTAACACACATTAGGAACGTGTCAGAGCCAAGGACACACAGAGGAGCACGACTGACCCAGAAACAGCGTCTCCTGCGCCGAGTTCCAGCTGATAATGTTTCACGTTGATGGAGTCAGGCCATACACCTTCAAGAGGCATGTTTGCTTAAAAGTCAGCAGGTGTTTACCGTGTGTGCTTACCTCTATAATGAGATTTTTTTCACTGAGAAAAACTCCAGAGAAAATGTTCGGCGTAATCTCTAAGGCCCGAAACACACTCCAGACATGTACGTGAGCGTAAACACTACGTCAGCTTGATTTCATGCATTGATGCACACTGAAATTTATCAGAGCGTAATTCGTGACACAACTGTGTTAAAGTCCCCCTGTGGTGAAAATCAAGCTTTTAATGTTGTTTATATGTCTATGTGGTGTTTTAATACGCTTTAAGACAAACCATGTGTATTTTCTCCTTAAAACTGCAGTGAACCAAAGACAGTCTCAAAAACACGGTTTGAAATCGCTGGTGTTTCTGACGTCACAAACGACCTTGTAACCAATCAGATCAACGTGTGATCGCCAACCAGTGGATCTCTGAGCTGAGTGAGTGAGTGGAGGCGGGGCTCATTTGCATATTCATAGAACCACGTATGCTAAATGAGGCAAGGGTGTCGAGTTACATTCAAGCTATTTTAAGGCATATATAATTTTTTTCAAGGAAAAAATGGTGATCAAAGATGAGTTTTAAGGAATAAAATTATTGACTACAAGGGGACTTTTAAGTCAGTAAACATCAAATTTGAATTACTCCATGAATCTCATTAGGACATATTCTGATTTGATAAGTATGTTAAATGTAACGTTTGATCCTCTAGCAGTTAAAAAATAAAACGGGATGCATATCGCAGAGAACATTGTGTTGTTTGTGCTTCGGCTCTGCTCCTCCGCACGGATGAATGTGGTTTGAGACACTGGTGAACATCTTATGAGAGCGGATAGACTAATAAATAACAGTTTCTTTGTACAACCGGTAAATGCGTGTCACTTTGAATGAACCATGGTTAATTTTTCTCGTTCAAGCTGCTCCCTCACTATACAAGCCCCACAGTAGCCGGAGTCACTTCTCTCTGTGTATGGAAAGGACGTGTCTCATACAGGCGAATGATGCGTGTATGCATTTTCCCACAAATTACATCTAAGATATACTCTCACCGGCCACTTTATTAGGTACAGCTTACTAGTACCAGGTTGCCTTCAGAACTGCCTTAAATCTTCATGGCAATGATTCAACAAGGTGCTGGACACATTCCTCAGAGATGTTGGTCCATATTGTAATGCTAGCATCACGCAGTTGCTGCAGATTTGTCAGCTGCTCATCCATGATGTGAATCTCTCGTGAATCTCAGCATGTCCCAAAACTGCTCTACTGGACTGAGATCTGGTGACTGTGGAGGCCATTTGAGGATCGTGAACTCATTGTCATGTTCAAGAAACCAGAGATTTGTGACATATAGGCGCACATTTCTAACGCACTCTTTAAATAAATAAAAAAATACTGCGCCATTTACTTTAGACCAGGTTTCAGTTGGTCAATGGCTCAGTCTATTTCAGTCGCCTCAAAATAGCAACGCGCCAACAATGCGCCTGAACACCTGGTTTTCGGACCAGACGCCAAGGGTTAGAGTTAGGGTTAGGGTTAGTTAGGGTTAGGGTTAGGGCGCAATGCCATGGGCGCAAACGCATTTGCTATTTAAACAGTGTAGCGCAGGACCTGAAAATGAAAATTGCGTTGGGCTGAAACTAGCAAAACAACCTTGTGTCGCACCTGACGCTGCATTGCGTCGGGTGTATGATAGGACCCATAGTTTTCCTACATCTTTAAACTTAAAGCTGCAGTCCGGCATTTTTCCTCTTTGTCGCCATCTCTGTTCGAAATCTGCAATTGCAGTCATTCGCGGAATTATCAACTTTACGTGGGTTGTAGTTCAACACCCTCGACACGGCACAGCGCGGATGAACACAGTGTTTGAGGAGAGTGTGCAGCTGTCAGTCACCGCGCCGATGTGGATATTGTCATTCAGAATCACAGATTATTCTTTTTGGAAGTATGACCAACATAAGAATTTTCACCGGGAAATGTCATCTGATCTAGTAAGAAACATTCACTTTTGTTCTGGTTCTGACATTGCAGTAAATCGCGCTGATTAAATCTAACAATTGCTTATAAGTTATCATATCACGCAAAACCGTGCAAAGTAGCTATACTATGTTCTCTAATTGTTAATGTTCTGTAGCCACTCCGAAGTCCGAACGAAGTCTTTTGCATGTTACAGCGGGTGAATCTCCAGTTGTCACTGATGATGATCGTCGTTTGAACCTTTCTAGATCCGCCATCAAATTGATAAGTTTAATTATATCAAGTGCTGTGAGAAAAGGCTATAAATCTCTACCTCCAACATCCTCACACGCAATATAGCTTATACTAGCCGAGACTCCTTCTTTATGTGTACAGATGTGACGTAATGACGCAAAGACATGCTCGAATCTCCCGCGGAAATCCACCAGTACCACTAAAATTAAAAACATTATTACAAGCTTACCGTTTTGCATCGAGCTAAGGCAAGCAGAGAGTTTTGAACACTGGCTGGTTATGTATTTTATCAAATATGTATTTTGGATAATTTTTAACCCAAAAAAAGCTACGGACAGCAGCTTTAAAAAAAAAAAAAAAACATTCAAATTGGATAATATTTAGAGCTTTGAAGTGCTGGAAAAAGTTTGAAGCATTCGAAATCCTGCTTGAATTACAATCTCAAAAGGTGTACGAACCCTGAAATGAATAAAAAACATTATGCTATTTCTGCCACAATATCATGGTTACAGTTAGCGTTACTAGTCAAGTCTCCTTTATTTACATAGTGCTTTTTTACAGTACAGATTGTATCAAAGCAGCTTCACAGTGATAACATGAAAATAATACAATAAGGTTTGTTTCTAGAAGAAAATTGCGTCATCGTCCACCTTAAGTAAGGCAGATCAATAATATAGTTAAATATTAAATGTCCCCAACTAAGCAAGCCAAAAGCCAAGGCAACAGTGGCAAGGAACCAAAACGTTATTGCATTAAATCCATGGTGAATGTTGGTGATTTGTTGATTGAAAAGCCTTCTATAACTTGTTCTCACCTTCAGGCTGGGTGGCTACTCTCAGAGGCGCTGAACTCTCTCCAGGGCCGTTTCTGTTGTGCGCCACCACACGAAAGGCATACGTGGAGTCTGGCATGAGGTTCTGGATGGTGACCTGCATCTCTCCTGGACGACTGGTGTTCACTATCCTCTCCCTGTACAGGACAAGAAGCGGCATATGAAACAGGAGATGACTGCTGATTTGGTGGTTTAAAGCTTCTCATATTTGTCTGTAGTCAAAAGCAGCTCATATAGAACGGCGTTATAAATATGAATAAGAACAACATGTGACTTAAAATAATAGCAACAAATGAACAGAATACAATAATCAATAGCATCCATTATTAAAGGCTTCTCGGAGGGCGAAGGACACGAAAACATGCCTGAGTCACATTTCACTTCATAGTCAAAAATGCAAATAAAATATTTATTACATTTTTAATATGATGTTTTATTATAATATTCATTTATTATTATTATTTTAAATATATATTATATTTATTTATTTGCTTACATGACACATGTCATGAATATGAAGGAGGTTTTATGCATGTTTATTAGGGGTGTAACGATATTTGAACCGAACCGAAAAACCGCGATACACCACCCACGATACGTATCGCGATACTCTCATGGCGAACCGAACACGCCCCGCCCCCTGCTGCCCCGCCCAGCCCCGGCTCATTGCACCTCATTGTGTTATGTGTACACAACGAATACAGGGCTGTTGCCTAACCACCATTAACCACATATAATCGCAATAAGCTCAGTGTCTTGTTACTTTTGATAATAAGCAAGGTGTAATCTTTCAAATTATGTCTATTTGATCACGAAATGTAAACAATAAATGCCGTTTTGGCGCTCTTAGATGTGGCGTGACAGATATCACTGTATGCATGCGGCAGCGCGGAGCGCGATCATCTCTTCCTCAGTTACAGAATAAACATGAATGGACAACCGAAGGTATGTTGAAAGATACAGTATACTTACTGAAAGGCATTATAACTCGTGTAAACACTCAATCAGTGTTTCAACAGCGGAAATACGTCAATAAAACGCTTAGTTTTTCACATAGCTTTATATTTACCTCAGGCAAGTCATTCAGTGTCCACAGCTTGCTGGTTTGCTAACTCTTTAACTAAATAAATGGTATATATTAGCCTATATATTATATTTTACTTAACCTGTTTATGATATCTTGATTATTTAATGTATGTTTAAAATAGTTGTCATGAAAATAACAGCAACTGTGTAAATTATTATATAACTAACAAATTAGAGTAAAAACATGTTAATGCAAAAATTGCCTTATGTGTAGTTTACATGTTTTCATACAATTTGTTATTTGAGTGTTGATTATTATTATATCATTTAGGCTAAAAGTCTAGGCTCTATTGTTAAGCTTTAATGTTATAGTAATGTGCAAGTAAGGGCTGTAGTTTACAGCATTAGCAGATCATTTTGTTATCCTTGAGAAACGTTTACTTGTAATTTAATTAATTTAAAGACAAGGACACAATTTGTTCATTAAAGCACTGTTTAATAAAAAATAAAAGAACCGAACCGAACCGAGACCTCAAAACCGTGGGACGAACCGAACCGTCAGGTTTGTGTATCGTTACACCCCTAATGTTTATGACAACTGTCATTAAGTGTCATTCGCTCAATTATGACATTTTTAATGCAAATATGACATTGTTTGAGATGTCTTTGTTATGACAACTTGACATTACCAAAACAACACAACCTGTCATAAATATGTCATAAACATGACATAGCAGATTAATTATCAAACTTAAGAAACCACTTAGTTTTATTGGTTAACATTACATTAAACTGTCAGGTGGTTTTGACATTGGCTGTCATGAAGCCATTACAACATTTTAATGACATATTCAATTTGTACCACTGTAGTCGAGGTCAAGAAAAATATTCATGACACAGTTATAATGGCCTCATGACAGTTTAATGTAATGTTAACCCATAAAGCTAAGTGGTTTCTTAAGTTTGATAATTAATCTGCTACGTATGTCATGTTTATGACAGGTTGTGTTGTTTTGGTAATGTCAAATTGTCATGACAAAGACACTGACAGTTATGATGTATTGGTTTATGTCAAGTTGTCATAACAAAGACATCTCAAACAATGTCATATTTGCATTAAAAATGTCATAATTGAGCGAATGCCACTTAATGGCAGTTGTCATAAACACGCATAAAACCTCATGTGTCATGTCATGATTATGAAGGTGTCATGTCAGTCTAATGCACACCCCTTCAAGTAAAGTGTTACCCAAAAATTGTCCTAACCATAATGCATATGAATGTTTTACTTATTTTGTAATTCTCATTAGAATCTCATTACCATAATGCAGTATTTTTTAAAGTTATTTTAAATAGTACAAAATATACAGTATACAATGATTCATTTAAATAATCATTAATTATGATGAATACATACTTCACAAGATAAATACTAATAGATAGATGGATGTGTCACATGATCCTTCAGAAATCATTCTAATATGATGATTTGCTGCTCCAAAAACATTTCTGATTATTATCAATGTTGAAAACAGTTGTGCTGCTGCTCCATATTTTTGTGGAAACTAATACATTTTTCAGGATTCTTTGATCAAATCTTTTTGCAACATTACAAAAGTTTACTGTAACTTTTGATTAATTTCATGGATCCTTGCAGAATAAAAGTACAACATGTGTTAGCATCTTACTGAGCCCAAGCTTTGATACAGTAGTAGTGTATATATGACAGATAAATGACGTGCCTGTTAGTGCCCTCCAGGATGTAGTAGACGGAGTAGGTGACGTCTTCTCCGTGTGGTTCGGCGGGAACACGCCAGGTCAGTTTGATGAAGCGAGTGGACACCAGTGAGGCCACGACGTCCCGCGGGCCGGAGGGTTTGGGTCCAGCGCCGACTCGGGACCCTGGCATTAGATGGTCAGTAGTGGCACGGGTCAGTGAGGTGGGAGGGGGGGAGGGCAGGGCTACATCTTTCAGTGTGTGAGTCAAAGCAGGAATAAAGGGTGGAGGAGGGCGGATAGCGAAGTCACACAGAAATACAGGGAGGGAGGGATGGATGGATGGAGAGCAAAACACAGGAGAACACATAAAAAGAAAAACAAACAAAGAAAAACATAACACAATGGCTTTTCCATGACAGGAAATCAACAAAACAGTGAAATAAATCACAAAGAAACATGAAAAATGCAATCATAATGGAAGAATGTCAAGCATGTAGTTGGAGAAAAACAGCTGAAGTGGGAAAAATGACAATATTTTTCACCTTTATAATAGTTCATCTCAAAATTTGAGCAAAAAAATTAATATTGTTGTTTGCTAAAAATATGTCAAACACCTGAGATGGCAATTTTTCTTCCAGGATATTTGATTGTCGGGAAGAAAAAGACTTTATGTGAATGGGTTTGGTTGTGAGTATTAATAAATACATACATTTTTGTGTGGACTATTCCTTTAAGTAAAGTTGGGACAAATCCAAGCTTTTTGGGACGGCAGAGCATTCACAGCTTATGCTGGTCAAATATCTCGCTATTTTATGTTCTCTAAGGGAATTTTAGGAGACTTGATGTAACTGATGTCTTTCTTCATTAGATTCGATAATGCTTTATTGTCAGACAAGTCTGAAATGTTTCTCGCATGACAGTATCTGTTTACCACAATCAACATCGACATACACAAAACAATCGCAAACATTTCAGACATTACACATTACACTCCCTTAAAGGATTAGTTCACTTTAAAAAAAACTTTTGCTGATAATTTACTCACCCCCATGTCATCCAAGATGTCCATGTCTTTCTTTCTTCAGTCGAAAAGAAATTAATGTTTTTGATGAAAACATTCCAGGATTTTTCTCCCTATAATGCACTTCAATGGTAGCCAAACGGTTCAAGGTCTAAATGACCGTTTCAGTTCAGCTTCAAAGGGCTTTAAACGATACCAGACGATGAATAAGGGTCTTATCTAGCGAAACGATCGGTCATTTCAAAGAGGAATAAAAAAGTTAAACTTTTATAGGCACAAATGCTCGCCTTGCGAACTCTCCTGTTCGAACTCGTTCATCAAAATGAACGAATCTTTTTTCGAGTCATTGAATCGTTCATCAAAATGAACAAATCTTTTTTCGAGTCATTGACTCGAAAAAAGATTCGTTCATTTTGATGAACGAGTTCGAACAGGAGAGTTCGCAAGGCGAGCATTTGTGCCTATAAAATTTTTACTTTTCTATTTATTTTTGAAATAACCGATCGTTTCACTAGATAAGACCCTTATTCATCGTCTGGTATCGTTTAAAGCCCTTTGAAGCTGCACTGAAACGGTCATTTAGACCTTGAACCGTTTGGGTACCATTGAAGTGCATTATATGGAGAAAAATCCTGGAATGTTTTCATCAAAAACATTAATTTCTTTTCGACTGAAGAAAGAAAGACATGGACATCTTGCATGACATGGGGGTGAGTAAATTATCAGCAAAAGTTTTTTAAAAAGTGAACTACTCCTTTAAAGCATTACATTGCAACCTTACACTCCTATACTACGCTTATTACATCCAAAGTCTCTTGAACAAGTGTAAAAGCACCTTATAAAGGGTTGAGAGATGCACTGTGTTGAGATGTGCTCTTCATGTCTTATTCTGAACACACAGTAGGAGAAGAGACTGATAATAGAAGCACTCATTAGCTTATAGCTTCCCCTAAATGACAAAATCCATTAGACGGAGAACAAATTAAACATTAGTTGTAGCAATTACAGTTTTCCACAAAGACGAGCCATCAATGTTCATCTGTCTAGCCTCAGGGAGAAAGAAATGATATCACTCAGCATTTATCTCTCGTTCAGCTTTGTGTGGTGCGTGACAATCTCTCTAGCTTTTCTTCTTCCTCTGGCAAACTCCACATTTAAACTATATAGCTACAGCAATCTATTCCCTTAACATATTATAAATTCTAACAACTAGTTATGTTAAAATTGACCACAATAAATACAATAGAACGTGATAAATTCTGGTAAAGGTGGTCATGATGAGAAGTTTAAAAAGCTTTCTACTTTATATTGATGCAGGATGAGGATTTACCCTCTTTTCATCCGTCTTTTTAGTTGATGTGTCTGTTTTAGATCATGTTTGATTTTCTCCATAGCGTTTTAAAGTGGAACATTCTCAATACGAATTCAAAATGAGTTTTTATCGTGAACGTGCCTACGGTGATTCGCGTCACTCGCGCAAAATTAAACTAGGGATGCACGAAATATCGGCCACTATATCGGTATCAGCCGAATACCAGAACACCCAAGCAACGCCCTAGCAACAACCCAGAACACCCTAGCAACGCCCTAGCAACACCCTAGCAACCACCCAGAACACCCTAGCAACCGCCAAGCAACACCCTAGCAATGCCCTAGCAACCACCTGAACAACATAAATAAGCCATATCTCAGCTCCACAATATCGTACAGACATGTTTGTTGGCTCGTATGCAATCATGTACAACACCCTAGCAACAACCCAGAACACCCTAGCAAAGCCCTAGAAACACCCTAGCAACCACCCAGAACACCCTAGCAACCACCTAGCAACACCCCAGCAACACCCTAGTAACCACCTGAACAACATAAATAAGCCATATCTCAGCTCCACAATATTGTACAGACATGTTTGTTGGCTCGTATGCAATCATGTACAACACCCTAGCAACCGCCTAGCAACACCCTAGTAACCACCTGAACAACATAAATAAGCCATATCTCAGCTCCACAATATCGTACAGACATGTTTGTTGGCTCGTATGCAATCATGTACAATACCCTAGCAACCGAGTGCCGAGTTTTGCCACTGCAAGACCCACTTCACATTTTTCTTCAGGAAATGAACATTCTAGTTTATAATGTTATCTTTATCGGCCTTAAAAGAAAATTAGGCCGATATATTAAAGCTGATAAATAATGTATTATTTCCTTCAGCTGAGACGCTTCAGATGCGCTACTGTTCAAGATGATGGTTTTGAATTGATTGAAATATGATGATTGGAATCACTTCAAAAAGAAAAATACAGTTAAGTGCAAGTCTGTCATAAAGGCTACGTAAAATTATGAGAACATCATTATAATTGTGTGCTTGGGACGTGGCTTTGTAATCAGGTTCTCAAATTATATAAAAATTTGGATTTAGATTTATCAGCCAATATATCGGTTATCGGCGTTCAAATGTAACGAGTTATCGGCCAAAATGTTCATATCGGTGCATCCCTAAATTAAACAATAGGGATTAAGTCATTTTGCGCATAATTGGTCTGTTCAGTTCGTACGGCTTTTTAAAATCTCAGAACACGCTATGTACATAATTAGGCTGATTGTATAATGGCCTGATTTTATGATTCGGTGTGAGCGCTCAGCGACATGTGAGAAGTGCCGATACGCAAGAAAAAGTGAGGGTACGCTACAGATATAAAGTGTTTGGACAACATCAATTTGTCAAGTATGTCATCAGGATCATCAGCCGGTCTGATGATGAATGCAGTCATGTGACGTACGGTGGTTAGCAGAGGAAGATTAATACTGGTTCTGTTCATAGCAGAGAGCAATAGCTGGTGCCACTGGAACAGATGGTGACTTCGCTTATTAATGATACACACTGGAGCTAAGCAAAAAGGTCAAAGGGCCTTTGATGTAAAAACGAACTATTCTTAACTCCACTTTTGCTTTAAATCGATGTAATTATGCGTTTAATACTCAGCAAATGGTATTTCGAGAGTATGCAAATTAGTTTCTCCTTTTAAACAGAAACGGTTGCTCAGAGCAATGATGACTATATACTATGTAGGTCACCAAGAATCATATTAATATCCTAAATGGGTAATTGTACTACATGAGGACATGGGAAAAACAGCCTCATTCAGCTCCATGTATTTATGATGTGGCTGTCGGAGAGAGTGTGCTAATAACCAGTTATTGAGCTCCTCCTTTCATCTTACACAGACGGGTATAGACTGAAATGACCGCGGTACAGGAGATGTGACACAAAAAGACTTCATCCATTGGCAAATAAATCTAACACGTCTCTGCTATTGATCTGAGGGAACATGCTATTATCGTGACGGGTCTGGAAGGGGTTTTCATATTGTGTGAAGGCATAAAAAGTGGGTTATATCACTCTTTCATGCGCGGGTTCATGTTCTTCACCGGCACTCATGTCCTGAGATCAGACAGGTCTGACTAATGCTGAAATGTGGAGCAGCTCTTGATCTATAGACACTGCCTAAAACCTCTATAGGAGTGTTTGAGGAGGAGCTAAATCACACAGATCTCTAGGGTTTTACTCTCTTATATTTCTCTTATTAAAAAAAGGTAATTGATCATTTATCTCACAGTTCTGATAACTGCGAGTTTTTTATCTTACAATTCATATCCCGCAATTCTGTGAAAAAGTTGAAGATATAAATTCGTCAAAATTTATATCCTGTAATTCTGACTTTATTTCTTCCAATTCCCTGTTTATAACTCACAATTACGAGTTTGTAACTGACAATTCGGACTTTATTTCTCTTTATTCCAAGTTTATAACTCTCATTTATCTCAGTATTGACAGAATTTATATCTTGTAATTCTGACTTTATTTCTTCCAATTCCATTTTTATAACTCATAATTCTGACTTTTTTTAATTGCGAGTTTATATCTCACAATTCAGACTTTATAACTCACAATTATGAGTTTGTTACTGACAATTCTGACTTTATTTCTCTTTATTCCAAGTTTATAACTCTCAATTATCTCATATAAACTCAGAATTTTGAGAAAAAGACAGAATTTATATCTTGTAATTCTGACTTTATTTCTCATAATTCCAATTTTATAGCTGAATTGTGTGATATTAACTCAAAAATGCGAGAAAAAGTTAAAAATACTGAGATATAAACTCCCAATTAAAAAGGCAATTGCAACTTTTCATCTTACAAGTCTGTCTTAAGGTAATGGTTA